AAACCAAACAAAAAAAAAAGAAAGAAAGAAGATTGCCCCTAAAAACGGACCACCCAGCATGCGACTCCGGTCCTCAGCTACTTCTTCCTACATTTCCAGTCTGTCTGTAATCGGGGCTGCTTGTGCTGTGCTAAGTCAACCGGTCAACACTGAATCCGCATGGCCCTATTCGTCTAACAATACACATAACGGTGGCTAAGAGCTTCACGTCAGCAAGCACCTAAAGCAATAACACCATCACATCATACCTTTCCTCATTCAAAAAGCATACTCGCTCGACGATAGGACAAGGAGCCCTGTAACAATTGGAAAATTAAGAAAGATCACCAGAGTCAACAAGCATGCATCTCAATATCTGACTCACTCTCCTTAATTCGTTTGATGATCATAATCAAAACTTACTGCTCAGAGTTATTCTGCTAAAACATTCCGCTCATCTCCTCAAAGACACATACTCTCTGATATCCCAAACCTAAACGCTTATAAACAATCATATAGCCACAATAAGCAGAAATTGAAATCCCTATAAACTCATGCCCAACATATCAGACAACAAAACCCTAAAACCCTAAATCCACACGCTGATTACACAAGACAACCTCACTACTCGTACCTGTCAAGTGATAGACGATTCACTTCAAAATTGAGTTAATCTAAAAGTTGATATCATCTTTATCCTCCTCGGCGCACTGATTGGTTGTTTCTCGCTTGAACTGCCTAGTTCTCACAGTTCATCCATCTTTATCACCAATCGCCACGTTTAAATAAGGACATTGACTTTTATCAAGCGATGATTTTTATACTTAGATATCAGCAAGCAATCAACTTGATAGTGGATTTCACCAATTCAAACTAACCAAAACGTAGACCTAATATCAATAACACAACACCTCGCACAAGCTCTAACTACTTGCACACCGATTATATTCAGTCAAACAAACTCTATGAATTACCGAGCAATTTCAATTCATTTAATAACAGTTCATTATTCAATCTCATCCATCACTAGTAATCACCAAGTAACGCTAAAACTAAGCCAGAAAGTCAGTATTCTTGAGCAGATAATTGAACCATTATAAAATTGTGGAATTATTCAAAAATAACTTAACTCTCAGCCCTCATCAATAGAGGAAACAGCAAACACTCCACATCGCGACAATTTTGATAACAATTTTCACCATTTACTTATCGTACACGCAAAGAAGGCGAAGCGCGAGCCAGCGAAGAGGCCAAGTGGTTCTCAAGAGCAGGCTTCGTGGAGTAGGCCCACGCTTGACTGTGTTATCTATCAGCAGGGTTCGCCTGTTCCTTGCTTAAGGAGCTGAGGTTATCCTTCCCTCAAGGCCCATGGACTACGTACTCTTTGACCTAAGGATCGTGAACACTCAAAAGCCAGTACCCTGTCATCCGCCGAAATAACTCGAAGTAAACTATCTTTGCGCTTCATTGCGTCGCTATAACCCTAAAGGCTTTCTAGAGCTCGGCGGGCCGTCGGCTGAGCCCGGCGGCGCTGGAAGAACTGCCACTGTGCCCCAACTGGATGCGCTACATGCAAGAGACCAAACTTGATGAAGGGTGGTGATTGCAAGATTTGGCTTTTGCGTTCCGGCCTTTGCGGAATCTCTATAGTGTCGTATCTGCTCGTTTAAATTAAACTTAACTTCTACACTCTGCTTGTACAAGTCTAGACCTTGTACTAAAAGCTGGTATTACAATCAAAAACAGAATTAAATACTTGCAAAATGAAATTCAAAACATGTAAACAAATGATATCATCTAAAAGTTAAATTAAAGAATCTAACAGCATTCCATTTCCATTTTCGATATGTAGATTTCCATGCCTGTAACTATTGCTCACAAAGTTTCTCATGCATGATAAACTGTAAAATTAGAATATATTGGCAAACGATATCAACTTCTTAAAAACATTTTTATATCACCATTAGAGAGGAAATAATCATTTCTTCTTTTCCTTTAATAATCTCATTGAAGTGCAACCTTAATTTCCAAAAAAAAATCCAAAAGTTAGAAAATAAAATAATTAATTATTATTTAAAAATATGACATAAAATAAAATAAAAACTACCAAACCCTTCAACCGAAGCGGAATATTACTCCGGCCTTAATTTTGCACATATCGTCAATCTCCGCACTTTGAAGACTGCATGCCTATTCGAAACGCGCAATTCTGAGCGTTCAAGACTGCATAACTCGTATCACATTGAACGCAAGCTTTATAGAAAATATCAGAAGGTACAAAACTTTCAAAAACTATTGCTAATCAAATTGGAATTACAAAAACATTGGCGGGAAAAAAAAAATCATGCTTCCTGCCCTACATAATGTTCCCTTTAACCACTCAAATCTTCCCATGCTCATTCCTCGAATACACCTACAGAGAACATACATTTTTCTAATGTAAATAAAACAACAAATTCTAAATAAATTCCAATCATCACATGGAGGAATACCCCGTTAAGCCTGCATAACCAAGCAAAAAATAGACTGCAAAATTTCTCAATGTTGGAAATACAGTGGGAAGCCACGCCTTTGCTATCATCACTAACGACTCTGCTTCTTTGCTACTCTTTCTTAACTCATAACAGCAGATTGTATCAGAAATCCACGAGCTTTCCACATTGCTTGCTCTCAATATTCTTCATCGCCTCCATGGCTGTCTCTCTCACATCCTTCCTCGCCATCATTATCAACTGCCTTGACCTTCGATCCAATGCCTACTTGGGCAAACCCCCGGTTCCAAGTCCCCTCAAGCAAAACACAGGCTTTACACCAACTTCTGTGCATTAAGCAGATGCTTAATAAGGATAAACACTCGGTAACCAACCAATGCAAAACTGATAAATCTCATAAGTTTTGTATACATACCCGTAAGAACAAACGATTCTAGATAGTAAATAAAAGGAATAATGTTGTCCAACGACGAAGTTGCATCATAACGCAATCACAGTCAAAACACTTCGGGATCGGCCCACGAAAGAGAAATAAATGCTTTTTTTCCACCAACGCAATCTCAGGAGTTCAAAAGCTACATGTAAGTTTTCCATGTGTCACGATCACACACAAAGCAACACTTACCCTGGCTCGAAACTGATAACCACAACACGTCTCACTATCGTCCCTGCCTGGCGATTTCTTTGCTGGAATGTGGAGAATTCTGAAATCCCCGCTGATCTTGGACTGATGTCAAGTATCGGCCCTGGGTCCTGGCATTGGTAAAACCATGCAATAATTATGTTAACATATTGCTGAGGGTCGCACACGAGAATTTTCCACCAACAGCTCCCCTCCCTCCCCCTTTTCAAAAACTAAATTGTTTATATCGCTATGCAGTAATTGCAGGGGCTGGACTCAAAGAATCAACTAGACATGACTTCATCATTCTTATATCGACGACCAACAAAACCATTAGCACCCACCCAAAGAGATAGGAAATCCATTGGGAAGCTTTTCAAACACAACTAAGGAGAGCAACCTACAAGCATTAGAATTACATCAGACAAGTCAACCTTGGACGTGGCAACAACCTGATCCTCTCCATCCTTTAATGAACTGCCACGAGCAAAACCAGAATGCACTTGGGAGAAACTCCTATACCTGCAACAACACACTCGTAAATTTATAGATGTGCAGAAAACCAGAATACAAGAGCAACAGTATACCACAACAAGCCAGACAAGAAACTTTGCTACCTCACATTCAAGAGCACTATCGTGGACCAATATCCCACACAGCAAACCCCAAAACACCGTCTACCTTTTTTATGGGAAAAAAAAAAGACAGGAAAATACTGCTGAGAGGAGAGAAGAGAGACAGAGAGAAGAGGAGAGAGAGAGAGAAGCAAAAGAGCAACCCCGAAGGCATACTCTATCACAGAATCGGAGATTGAACACAAGCATTACAAGGGTGGAGAAAAGGAAATGGAAAAGTGAACAATCTACTCAGAGCTTGAAGAAGCTAGTCCCCAGCCTCTCTTGGAAATAGGCATACGTGCCAAATCTGGGTTAAGGTTCTGCACCCACGTTCCACATACCAAAATAATAAAACAACAGAGAAATTGCATAAATCACTTCAATGCTTTTCAGGCTGCTAATAAGGATTATATAACCAATCTCCTTTCTCATAGGCTGTCACCTTGACAAGGCTTGCACTTGAATTCGGTCTCCATCTCACCAGTCTGTTATCTGAAGTCGCATCTGCTCATCTTAAAAAAGTGAATAGCATCTAATTACTCAACCAAAGAAAACAGGAAATACAATCAAATAATGCTCGAACAAAACACACTTAATTTAATACTCATACTTACCTAGCAATAATCAACCTCGAGTATCATTCCAACAAGCAACCGTTTTCAGCAATAAACTCATCTGCATTAATATGTCCCAGTTAAGCAAGCTTGACCTCTACTCTTCATACACTGCAAGCACCCCTCGACTCAAGGGCAGCTTTTAACAGATGACAGATCAACATGACATTCTCATTAAATTCATTGGATATTATGTTCAAAAATAAACCCCTTTTTTTCCGGGAGGAGATCGGTTGTCTCTAATGTTAAGAACAATGGATCGGGAGGAATGAATGAGGAACACCACAAAGGTTGAAGGATACCCCACGAAAGGATTGCAAGAGGCAAAGAGTTAAATGAGATAATTAGCCAAGAGGGCACCCGTATATACCGACGCGAAAACGTGAAAACACCCACAAAAAAGTGCAATTATGTTCTTTAACCGACTCATCTTTAGCAATCTCATCCATTGTTCTCACTCGCATACAACATCTTGTAGGATAACATAATCTTCAAAGTATTCCATACTGAGAAGTAACAGTCATAGAAGCAGGAAGCATTAAAAAATTAAACACATCGCCACGCAAATAAAGAAGTTAGAATTGTCCTACGAAAAGATAGCTCCTCACTGTCATAAAATGCGATCCAAGGGTATGCATTACGGCATACCGAATTTCATTTCTTTTGACCGTTTCAAGTGAATCAATCCCTAATACACCCGTAATCCCTCTCATCCAACTGACAATAGAAGAGATCGACGCATTTATGCCGACGATTTACTCTGATAATACATAAGCGAGGCACGGTTGCAATCTGCAAAACTGGCCCAGAGAGCCTATGCAAATCCATCAGAGGACTAACAAATCAAAATAAATAAGATAACCTGGTAAACAACCAGGTTGTTAACATCCACAGAAGAGAAGCTAATCACCTTTTCCACCAGAGGCACCAAATACCAACACGCTCACCAGGCTGACAAGTTTCGATGGTCCCACCAATCACATTGTGTAATCTCTTCTCTTCCAAATACACTTCACTACCGACAACATCCTGCAATATCTTTCTCCAGCCAACTGCAAACACAAGCGTTTGTTTTAATCGCGTGAATACTGAAGAACTCAAAACTGAAAACAAAAACAACCCTGAAATTCACAAAAAAGGATGCACAACTCACCTGCTCTTAAGGAGTTTTAGGCTCTTTCCTAAGAGATCCGCTTCTTGGTTACAGAGGCAACAAAGACGAGCCCCAGTCTCTTGGCCTTGGTGTCTGGCTTCCTCCATGTCGAAGTTTCGATGTCTTCGAGCGAGGAGTCAAGTCTTCAGATTGTATTGACAGATATTTGCTAAATTCTTGTGGTTTAAGAGCCATCCAATTAAACAGCATAAACTCAGAAATGAAGTTTTTTAGGGTCTTCTTCTGAAAAAAATCGGTCCGGTGACACAAGGCCAGTAAGAGGGCGATCTGAAGTGTTGAAGGGTGTCTCGAGTGGGGAAGACGAATAGGTCTCTGCTACAGAAAAGTAAGATTAACTCATCGTCATCGACATCGAATTAAGGCGTTCCGGACAATTAACACACCTTTCACGCACAGCATATACTGTTGTTTACTTTCCCTCAAAAAAAAAAATTTTTTTCTTTTTCCAAAGCAAACTGGTAAATCAATTATTCTCTCACGTCCAATGAATCATCAATTCACTTTACTTTTTAATCATTATTAATTAACTCTTAAAGCATCTAACTATATCTTTTTTCTATTAAACTTCCTTTATTCTCAAAATCTTCCTTAATTTTAATTATTATTCAATCTTCAGAATCATATTTACTTTAAAAGTTGAAATAATAAAAAAATTTATAATAACATAAAAATTCATTTCTAGAAAGAGTCATTGTACTTGCTCAAAATCAGTAACTTCTTGAAAAAATTTAACTGTTCTACAATTTTTAGAAAAAAATTGTTTGTTACAACAGAGAACTTTTTTTTTTTTTTTTTCGATTTTTTTTTTTTTTTTTTGGAAAGAGGTTATAGAGAGAACTCAATTTGGATATTTTGTTTCAATTGATTTCTTTATTTTATAGTTCGAAGTATCGAATATGAATAAATGCGGCCAGAATAAACCACTTGGGCAAAAGGTACATTTGTCTAAACCGCTTCAAAAGCGAAACTCAAATGCTGTATAGTATGTATTCATGGTTTATAGCACAAACACTAATTAATACACAATGAACCCAAAGGGCATATCAGCAATCGAGTACAACATGGAGAAACAGAGCTCCATTCCTATTTGTACAAGAATCGTACAAAATCAAACCAACTTGGGACCCTGAAAGAAGAAATAGTTTCTGGCATTCCATTCCCATCAATTAACACTTCAACTTATCAAAAACCATCTACCGCTCAATTATCTTGCCCAGGGTCACTCTGAAGCCATTGCCGTATATCGTGTTGTAGCATCTCCATGTAATCCTGCATAAAACAATAATCACCTTGACTTCATGCATAACATGAGACATAAAAAGGAAATATATTAATGAAAAAGAAACTGCACTGCTGCTTCAATACATCACCATGCAGTTTGGCTTTAGCCAAATACAAAATTGAGCAGTGTGAATAAAATGTTTAGAATAAGAAAAACTTACATTAACTATATCTTCATTGTTGCTTAACTCACGCACAATATCCTGGGATCTGCTTTCATTGCCATTAAACCTCACAGCATTTTCAGCGACAGCATGGAAAATATCTCCAGGTGCATTAAAGTGTTCTATTCTCTGAGCCACTTCCTGGAGATCAATCTAAAACACAGGAACAGGAAAACAGTGATGACAGAAAAGAATAGACCATATTTGAAATTTAACTCAAAGAACTGAAATAATCCTTCCCCAAACATGACAATGAAGGTCGTACTATAGTTTTATTAATGTCTTGTATCCTGCATACTACAGTATACACACCTGAACATTTTGATCATTAGACTTTTCATTTCCAATCTCTCTCCTTTCACTGTGATGCCGCTGGGGTTCAGGTTCAACAGAAGAAAATGGCTGAGCAGCTGAGCCACGGCCGAGAACCTGGGAAACAACTGGCATCATCTGTTGCACCATCCTTGAAAGATCAAGGCCACTGCCTTGGCCACCTCCTACACCCGAAAACATGTCCCCAAGGTCTTGGCTTTCAACCTGCTGAGCAATTTGGCTGACAGTACTCATTATTTGGGGGTTCTGAGTGAGTTGCTGCAACATACTCCTCAAAACATTGGGAGAACCAACACCAGTTTGCTCTGAGAAACCTGTCAACAAACCATTCAAGGAAGGGCTATCTATCACCTGAGACATAACACTAGCAGTATCAAACTGGCTATTGGAACTTTGCTGAGGTGGTCTGCTCTCTGGGTTCCCATCCACAGATGGAGGTGTTTGACCAAAGTGCATCTCATTTGCACCCGCCCTATTTGCACCAGGGCTCCGAGATGCAAGAGATAGTAAAAGCTGTTGACCACTTGTTCCAGCATTTAGGCTCTGACTGACAGGTGTGTTGCTTGCTCCATTATCACCAGTCTGGATTGATGATTTTGGTTGCCTGGTTCGTCTCTAGTCACATTAAAGATAGAGAATCAGTTTTTACATCTTTCTTTTATTTCCGCAACAAACAGGATCATGGGCAATCCAATTGCACAATAAATAAAATATTCAAAACATTCAAGCAGAAGTGTACTGGCACATGGATCCTATAGTAGAACAATCCTGAATCTCATAGCATTGAGAGATTTAGATAACTAAGCATACATAAAGAACTGGTTATTGCTTCAAAAACCAACCTGACAAGCATACCAAGAACTAATTTGATAGGCAGGTAGGACAAGCAAATCTACCATCAGATATTTTTAACTGGTTACAATTATGCACAAAAGGTAGTAGAAAAACAGATGTCGGTTTTTATATGACATCTACATGTAATCACACTTCAAACATACAGAGCCTCATCCTTATTACTTGATCCGTTGAGTGGTTGATATATTCCATGCACTTTTCCACTCTCCTAAGTTGGTATAAAGAAAATTAATGCAACAAAAGATCAAGTCAAATTTGCTTACAAAAGTTTTAATATATTATATGCATTCTATTACCAAGCAAAGGGGATATTCTATTGATAAAATAAATTAAATTAAATTAAAACTTGAAACTAAAAAAAAGACCTAAATCGCGCTCCCACGTGATAAATGGCCCGTTTAAATTAATTTCAGAAAGTTGGAGACCGATAAATAGCGGCAGAGCCAACAATCTATCGTCCACATTACCCACTAATACTTCAAAGAGTTGGGTTTTATCAGAGACAGTGAAATATTTTATAAATTTAAATTAAATGAATCAATAAGTAAATTATCCAAGGATGAAAACTACCTTGCGTTCCAAATTCCCCATCCCCAATCCAATTGGAACAGCTTGGGCACCTTCTATAAGATCATGCTTCTCACTGGAACTTGGAGCATTTTCTGAAATTTCTTCTGACTTTAGGGAGCTTTCTCCACTTGAACATCCCAACGAACAAGATGGGACGTCTTTCAAGCCCACAAGATCCTCCTTAGCCTCATCATTACTTGCTTGAAATTGATTATCTTGATTCTGATCATTCTGAATAATTTAGCATTGGCCAGGAATCATCCCCAAAAAACAAATTATACACTTACTCTGCACAAAGCATACCTTTTGATCATGGCCTTCTGTCATTTGTGCAGGTAAGGTCACAGTAGATTGGCCTGCCCCATCAGCTACAACACTATTAGGTTGCTCATTGCTTGCAACATTACCTGCTTCGGAATTACAAGAGCCAGCACATAGAGAGAATATTTTTATGACCCTAGAAAGAGGCAAAAATCTTTTCATAGTTTTTGTCAATAAACAGCAAATTACCTGATATATGCTGGTTTTCTCCCTGTGTGCCACTGACAAGATTTCTTAGTCGTGAATTGAATTCTGCTATCACAGAGGATATTTGAGTAGGGTCAGACAGAGGCTGTGAAACGGAAACACCGATACCAGGTTGTGCAGCATTTGAAACAGTAAAACTAGTAGGACGTGAAGGCACTGCTGCTGCAATGACATTTCTCACTGGTAGCATCCGCACTGTGCCTGAACTGCCTGAAGCAGTACCATTGCCTTGCTCACCTTGCATTCCCTCCCCATTACTTGCCTGGGTACCCAAGGTTGATATAACTGGAGTCAGTGAAGTACCTGATAAAAAGGGGTGTCAAATATATCTAGAATAAAAGTGTGTATTGGAAATCAATTTGTGTTTTGCTTACCAGCATGTATATGGATATTTACGTTCCTTGGAACACTACTAGTACCAACAGGACCAAAAGCCATTGGATTTGATTGTAGAGCAGAACCACCAAAGAGGGAATTGGTTTGTAGAGGAAAAGGCTGTAAAAAAAAATCAATGAAATACACATATAGGCAGCAGCATATCAATGCCAGAACAATCATTTTATGAATAGATAAATGGACTAAAATAAAGTAAAGTAGCTTAGAATTAAAATGGAATTAATCCACATTCCCTAAAACAACGTCGTCAATGTTTAACATACATTTAGGATAACTCTATTTTGTTACTTGATACAAATGACCTAGATGAACAATATTATTCCATCAGATGCCCGTCCAAGATGCTGCCATTACCAACTCCCATATTTTTTTTCATAATTTGTAGTAGTTCAACAATACTGAGCAATTTGTGACATGCCAGCAATGGACATTATATTTTCAAGCATGCAAGTTTGAAATGAAACTGGCATATATAATATTTTACAAACCTGAACCATTATAGGATTAGCCCCTGATGGAGATATATAAACTGCAGGTCCAGGATTTACAGAAGACTCTGCCTGCAAGTTGCAACAGAACCATTAAAATGATATTTAAATCACAGGCTGAATAGCACTGAGTAAGCATTACTCCATACAGGAGATTGTCCCATACGCATCGTCAAGATTGTCCGACCAAGCTCCAAAAGAAGAGCACCTAACTGCTGCATTGCAAGGCCAACTTGCACTGATTCTGAAAGAATTTGGCCCCTGACAGAAAGATCATTAGAACCTCCCTCTTGTTCCAAGCGTCCTGCAATATGCTACAAATTTGCAGCACATTAGAAGTAACACAATAAGATTACAAGGTTTTCAGAACAAATCAGATTGGCGTATTTTAAACAATTCACAGTAATGTCCTTCTATCTAGTTAGACATCTAGATGCAAATACTCTTGCTACAAATTCAAATACGTGCAACTGTTTAATTTGTCACCTTAAGTCCAATGAGTTACAAATAAGCAACAATGTAGTTAAAGCAGGCGGAATATAATAGAATGCCAAACGAGTATGATTTAGCACAAGGCAAAACATTGTAATCATCCAAATACACGAATTTTTGAAAGAATTTGATATCACAATCCATTGATGCTATCCCAACTAGAATAGCTATGCAGTAATTGTTAGAGCAAGAACAAATTAAAATATTTTCCTAAATCCATGAAAATTTAGTGGCAGACAACTATAGCTAAAACAAGAGTGAAAAATGTCTGCCATAAAGGAGATTTCAAAAATCAGCATCAATGACTCTTTGCATTCAAGCATATATTAGTTGATGTATTTCACAGAACATTTTATGCTGGTGAAGCTCACCAGAATGTGACCATACAAAGTTTTTTGGCAATGAAGCAAGAACTATTTCATGGTTAAAATCCCGGCAAAGATGCAGCTCATGGAAGGCCAGAGCATTAGAAAAGATAACAAGGGGGAGATAAAAGAGGTAAGGTTTTGGGCCATAGAGCTTACAGATAATGCAGTGATCATATGCCCACCAAAAAGCCGTTCTGCATGTCGCAGGACAATGCTCAATGCTTGCAAGCCCCGGGCATTAGAAGGTAATTCCAGCATTGGGACATCACCTGAGCCGTCTGAAGATGTGTTTGGCTGATACCCTAGGTGAAGCAAAATGAGTTATTGTTAACAAGTTTCAAATGCAAATACATGAGGTAATGCCATTTCTATCATTACCATTTTGTGCTAGTGCCTGCTCCATACGTCTCATAAACTCTGAAAGTGTACTCAACGAATCCGGAATTGGCTGAAAAAAGAGAGACAGAGAGAGAGAGAGAGAGAGAGAAATTTTGAGAATTTTTTTTTCTTTTAAAAAAAAGGCATACTATAATTGCAAGCAAACTACAGATAAGTGAACATTTTACTACCGAATGAAGTGATGGAAGAGGTACTGCTGCAGTCAGAGGAATTTGCATGACTTGCGGTGGTGCTTGAAATGGTGATTGGCCAGGCACAGACTGTGTTTGATTTCCTGCTTGACTTTGACCACCAGCACTGCTTCCTGATACATTGGCCATTTCATTTACTTGAGAAGTCTGACTCCCACTAATATTTTGCTGCAAAGAACAAGTGTTAATTGACATATAAAGAGAAGAATCATTGATTCCTTCGAGCAATCAGAGTTTCTAATCTATATATTCTCCTTTAATGCAGTTTATGAAAAAATACAAAAATTAAAGGGTGATTTCATCAATAAAATAGTAGAATTAGCAGCAATGACTACACAAACAAAGAATCCCTGTTTAGATATTCTAACCATGTTAGGAACCATCATTATCGGTGAAAAAGAGTGCGACAATGCCAGCACAAGAAATTGCCAAGAACAATTGCAATTCACAGTGCTGACTCAGTTACTTACAAAGATTGTCAAATTTAGTTGAAGAATAAAGGAACAATGACGAGTGGACATTGTCAAATTTATTTACAACAGGCATTCATAGATACATGTGGTGGAGCTCTACAAATGATGAGTGCCTACCATAGTAGAGGACTGCATGCCACCAATGCCATTAGTTGCAGTCTGACCGCCAATGCCGAGAGAGTTCAGTACTGTACCAATGACCTGCATAACAAACAACATAGAAGACATATAATGGGGGCAGGGTTCACACCTTTCACCATCAATCCCAATCCAAGGTCTCAAATAAGCAGTTTAAAAACGCACCCGACTGAGATCTGGCACAATGCCTTCACCTTGTTCCCCAACATTAAAGGTCCCGAGAACTACACTGTGTGATATTTGCCCAACACGATTTGGGAGGGTGCCAGCACTAGCTTCATTTCCTGCCAACCCAAGAAGAAATCACCATTCCGTGATTATCGAAGGGACAGCAAATTTGAAAAGGGAAAAGGATTTTTTTTTTTTTTTTCCTTTTTCTTTGGGAGGAAAGAGAGAGGGGGGGAGGGGGGCTCAACACCAAATTACAGAACAACCAACAAAACTAAACAGATACCTTGGCTACCATTATTTGCACTTGTGTTAGAGCTTGTATCAGCTGAAGGTTGCGGCTGTGTTTGTTGTCTTGCAACCAAGTGCAAGGTATGTCCATTCTCCACTTCTAAGAATAGTCAAGGAACTTGACAAAAAAAAAAAAGAAAGAAAGGTAGCAGTACATATATGTCCTTCGATGCCTAAGATGAATGTAATACTATTATAGGAAGAAGAATCAACTGTCTCGATGCTGGAACTGAGAAATAATAAAATGCAATTTTACAAATCTTAGAGTCGATAAATTTACATAAACTAGATGACTGGATACGATATTCAGAAAGGAGATGTTCATCCTTCAACACCTTTCCTCTGAAAATCAGTCTCTGTTGACCAACTGGAACACCAATTGCATTAGCTATTTTCTCCTTGAATGCTGAAACTAGCATCTGAAAATATTCAAAACCACATTAGATTTTTTTTTTTTTTTTTTTTTTTTTTTTTTTTTTTATGAAAATATTCAAACCACATTATATTTTTTTTTTTTTTTTTTTATTTGTTTTTGTTTTTTATTTTTTTTTTTTTTTTTTTTTTTTTTTTGTTTTTTAGGAATTTATAAGCAATATGTCTACACCAGTCCTGCACAAGTGTATCCCTATTTTAAATCTACCAAAGGTATTCTTCAGAACTATCAGGAGTCAGGACTAAACTATTACAATAATATATATAAGTACAGAATTGTACAGTTTTTGAGAAGAAAAAACAGAATGAGAACCTGATGCTTACATTTTTATCAACCCGAAAACTGTAAATCTGTGAATCTAGAGTCTTGATATTGAGCTCTAGAGTTGCATCTGAACCTTCTCCAGATGTAATGCTTGTACTGGAACCTTCATTCGAGTATTGATTTGCCATGGTATCTAAGCAGCAATCGAAGTCTAAAGCACACACAACAAAAAAGTCTTATAATAAACACAACCAAAGTAATTAAACTATTTCCCAAAATCGTAATTAATGTCTTCAAACCAATTAGGCAAAGAAATGGAAAGTAGGAGATATCAATGATGAACTAACAATAGAGCAGAGAAACCAATTATTATGAGGCAGCACTAAGTTAAAGCAAATACAGAATTTAGGCCAGGAACAATCACACAAGGATCCACCCAAAAGGAACTGCATATCAAATTAATCCTTCATTAATCAGCAAAGAAAGCAAAATAAGAACATACAACATCTGTAAATTCAATTTGTGGTCAACCCCACTTCTCAAAGCAATTACTCATTGGATGATCTTTGTGGTCAAATCACTTATCCATTGATTCATTTTATAAGCAACCACAAGAGTTAAAGTTTCTAACTAATACCAAGCATCTCTCCTTCCGCTGCTATCTCCACTTCATGCAAGACAACTGAAACATTCAAAATTCTTATAAAAACAACTTCTGTGTTTCTATTGTTGTAGTTAGATTCATTTTTGTCTCAAAAATAAGAAAACAAAGTTGACTTTAAACTTTTCATTCAGATGGAAAACTCAAAAAAAATGCTTGATAAGCGTACAAAAATTGGGGATTGATTAAGGGCTCATAATGCACATCAACATAAGAAAAAAAAAATCCTAAACGAACTATATAATTCATGTCATTAACAATGATTAGAAACATTTCCCAGCTATCAGGATGTAGAATTGCCCGCCCCTTCAAAATGTCGCTTGCCACTAGCTCCCTTGAGACAAAACATACATGCAGAATTGAAGTAACACCTGCCCCCAGTCACAACAGACACAGAGATCCATTTTGATTTCAAATCCAAAGCAATCAAAGTAACACTAACTAAGGCATCATATGTCAAATTGATGACGAGTGAAGTACCATTCTACAGAGATTTCTTCTAGGGTTTTTAATAAAGAACGTGAAAATGTACATATCGTGATTAGATACGAAACTAGTAGATAAAAAATTAACCTTATTTTCTTTTTTCTTCTCGTTCCTGTGTGTACGTTGAGAGCCTAAGATTGGAGAGGAAGATGAGAGATCTGTTTTCTGTATTTGATCGCTGAAGGAATTACTGTAGAGAGATTGTACAGATGACTTTGGGTTGAAGCTAAAAACTTTTCTGGGTTGGCCGAGGTTCTAGCCGATAGGGGCGCACGCTTAGCCGGGTTGAGGCTGGGGCCTGGGATGGATTCCAGAATAATCTAGATGAAGAAACGATGTGTTGACATGGAGTCAAAAGCAAACGACATCGTTCTATATTTAAGGCAAAACCGGCGTTTGGTGCTGGGCACTGGCGTTCATTTTAAGTAACAAGTTACGACAACCTCCACGCGCCTTTGCTTTGCCGATTTTCAGCAACTATTCAAATTTTATGTGCGTCGCGGCAAACGACAAATTTTTTATGGTTGTCCGTCTCAAACCACGCCCAAATCAACAGATCCCGTATAAGACCATTTTGATTAACTTGCGATTTAAAAGACCACTTTACGAATAAATATAATCAACAAATATATTAAACTTAGTCTCAGGTCATTTAAATAAAAGAAAAATTATTCAAACTTTATTTTACACAAAAAAAAAAGTAATTACAGCAAATAATTAATTTTAATATTTGATACTTAGTCAAAATATTTATTTTTCATGCACTCATTTTCATTTCAAATGTCACTTGTTATCCCTTAATTAGCATTATTTAATTAATGTTTATATTAAAAATCTTATTTTATATTTAATGTTCCATAACTTGTAATGATATTTAATATCTTACTATCCATGTAACATGTTATTTATCTTTCATACATTTGTAAAATTGTTCAGACAATTATATTTATTATTACAATGAAAATTTTACTTTTTGGATTATAGAGACACCAATGAAAATTGTTAAACCTTAATAAAATATCAAATATTTTATAATTTATATGAAAAGGACTGATTTTTGAACTTGATTATAACCATAATATTATAATTAATTATAACATTAAATGACTGGTAATTTAAATTAAATTATCACGATGATGATTAATATTCATATATAGTATTAAAACAAAAAAAAAACGATGAAATGTAATTAATTACTCAATAAACACAAATATTGTTAAGCATTAATATTTAAATTTAAATTTAAATTTATTATTGGAAAATAGTAAATCATAAGTATGAACAATAAGTATAAATTAATATCGAGTATTTGTCGCTCTTGATTTGACTATTTAAGGATCATTATTTAGCATATAAAGCAAAAAAAATCTAAAAATTGTATCGTCAATGCTAATTAATGTAGAGAAATATGTGATATTACCAAATTTGATTACTTCATAAATAACATAAAATCTCCCAAGGTTTAAAGTATCATATTTTTGTTTTCAATGCAGGAATAAATTTACATATTTAACCATATAAAAATTATTACAAAAGTGAAATAAAATCTCAATTCAAGCTAACGGATGATTTCACGTTTTGAATTTTCCTTTGAGATGGCATTTCAAATTTAGAAGTTACGACATACTGATTAAACAGATCCTCAAGGCCTTAGGCCACTGCTTTTCTGAAAAGTGAACGATTGCATAACAATAAAAACTGCAATTTTAAGAAAATGTCAAACATGAACATAATAATAAGTGTGATTGAGATCGGCAATGACGAAAAATTATTTTGTTTTCTTTCTTTCTTTTCTTTTTGCTGAGAACATTGCAGTGCTAAAAAAAAGAAAGAAAGAAAGAAAATTTTCCAATTTCAAGATAATGACAATTTTTTTCGTTTAACTGAAATTTGAAATAACACTTACAGATTATGAATTAACGAAGAAAAGTCAATTTCAGTATTGTCTGTTTAGTTAAATGGCCTGCAATGTACTGCAAAGACCCTTCATGCTTTTCTCTTTGGCAGTGTTTCGATATATGTAGACTTGGCCACGGTCCCGGAACCGGCGGTTCCGGTTCCAGAAAAACTGGAACTGGAACCGAACCAAAAAGGTCCGGTTCCGGTTTGAAACCGTCCTGTTCCGGTTTCGATCCGATTACAAAACCGACGGTTCCGATTGGTTTTCCAGCGAATCGCATAATTTTAAATTTTAAATTTTGAATGCCGGTTTAAAAAAAATTGGTTTTCCAGCGAATTCGATAATTTTGAAAATTTTAATATTTTGAATGCCGGTTTAAAAAAAAAAAAATTATTTGGAACATTAAAAAATTAAAAATACACTTAAATAAATTTTAAAAAATTTTGTAAGATCGCGGTTAAAAAAAATTTATTTTGGAAACATAAAAAATTAAAAAAAATACACCTAAAAAATTTTAAAAATGTTTGAAGAACCGGTGTTTAAATAAAAATTATTTGAACTATAAAATATTAAAAATAAAGTACAGACACCTAAAAGAAATTAAAAAAAAATATCTTCAATTAAATTTATTTTTTTTTTAAAAGACTTGAAATTGGTTTGAGTGGTTGAACATATTATTTAAAAAAAAAAAAATTGAACTGAAATTTTTTTTTTTTTTTAAAGTTTGAATCATAATTTTAAAAAAAAATGGGCCTTTGTAACTGTAATTTTTTTGTTTGTTTTGTTTTTTAAAATAAAAAAAATTTAAGGTTGGCCCCTACGTATCCTCTTGGGGTTTTAAAGAGGAATCAAGCCCCACGTAGTTTTACTTTACCTTATGATCAATTTTCACCCTTTTTTTTTTTTAACGCTTAATCGCTATTTGCACCACGGTTGAAATGGTTTCCCCCCGTGTTGAGGACTCATTGTTATGAAATCAAATAAGATCCTTTCAATTTTTCCTTGTCTTTTGGATTTTCTTTTGGGTCTGCTTAGTTGTTCGGTCCTTGGGGGGTCCAAATCGATCCACGCATGCTGTTGTGCTTCCTAGTGAATCGGGGTGGTGCATAAATCGAGATCATGTTGTCAAGTATGGTTTTTTCCCTCCCTTGACTAAAGCTTGTTCAACCGCAACAGTGGGACAGAGCTGCTAAATTTGTCTTTGCCAAGTAAAGAAAGATATTGGAAAAGTATTTGGCGTGAACGACTTCCGCACCAATGCTAAAAAATTAGAAAATCAAGTAATCCTGCATAATAATCATCAACCAACTTCAAAAAGAATTGTTAAGATATTATCAATACTCGAGAAATAGAAATTGGATTCCCCTATTCTTTTTTTGTCTTTGTAGTAAAAACTTGTTGAAGCACACCAGAACACCACTTACCTCTTTGTTGTTTGAAAATTGTGGAATAATTGATTGAGTAGATGAACTAGAAACTTGAACAAATTCATTATATAATTGCATAATATTTTGTTTAACTTCATGCATTACTACATTTATATTAACATTATCTTCTACTACATTTATATTAACATTATCTTCTACATCAAGATTCAATACTTCATAATAAATAGTCAAATAATCACATAAAACATCCATTCTACATCTAGGATCAAATATAATAGCAACAAGATAAAGGGGTGCTATATTTTTAAAATAAGATAACCATTTTTTTTTCATTGAAAAAATACAATCTTTTAATAAATCATCATTTTGAAATTCTTGGAGTGCATTAACAATATTAATACACAGGTAAAAATAAATGAGATGTGGGATAATAAACCCCACTAAATTTATAGGTAGCATCATTAAAAATTTTTAAAATATCTAAAATTTTTGTACAAATATTAAAATTTTTGGACAAAAATCTCCCAATTTTGTGGAATATATATTAATATCTCAATATTAATTTAATAACAAAGCAATATATTCTTTATAAGAAAAAGACGTCGTTTAGTAATTCATATGTTGAAATTCCAACGAGTTGAACAATCCCTTGGGAAAACGTTTTTGGTTCTTTTTAAATTATTTTTCCTTTACCAAAATTTTTAAGCCCAATTTTTTCATTCAAAACTTGGGGATGGTGTTCCAGTAAATATGAAATAAGCTTTTTTTAAATTGGAGATAAAGTAATCCAAGAATTTTTAAACCATCTTGTACACATAAATTTAAAACATGACAATATCTTGTACACATAAATTTAAAACATGACATACACATCTTATATGAAAAAATTTACCACCAATATTTGGTTCACAAATTTTTTTAAGTTCAATAATTGATCTAGTATTTGCAGGAGCATTATCAAATGAAATTGAAAAAATTTTTTCGTCAACTCATATTCATCTAAAATTGAAACAATTACTCTATAAATATTATTTGCAGTATGTTTATCATCAAAAATATGAAAACCAATAATTCTTTTTTGAATTTTCCAATCATCATCAATCCAATGACATGTAATACCCATATAAGAATGCATTTGCCAATTATCACTCCAAACATCACAACAAATTGAAACACGAATTTTCAATTGAGAAAATAAAAGCTCTAACTTTTTTTTTTCCTTTATTATATAAAGAAATAATAGTTCGTTTTACAGTATTTCTTGGTACTCTTTTAGCAGAAGGATTTAAAGCTTTTTGACATTGACAATAATTATTAACCTACTTTTTCACCTAAAAACTGAAAAGATAAATGTTCCATAGAAATCATTTTTGCTAAATTCCTTCTTTTTTTTTTGTATTTTTTCAGAATAATCATTTTTGCTAATTCTTCTTTTTATATTTTTTCAGAATATTTAAATAAAGAAAGGTTAGAAGCGTACCCGGAAATTTGTTGTTGAGACCGATCAACTACTATTTTTGTTGGATGTTTTGCCTCCAAATGCTTCCAAAATGATCCATAGCCGTCCGCTTATTTAAATTTATAAGATTTTCCACAATAATTGCAAATTATATCGTACATTTTCTCACCTTTGAATTTTCTTGTGAAATAAATGGAGAATATGTCGGAACTTTGTCTTACTCTTGTAACAATTTTTGCTCGTTGCTCTTGCTCTTGCTCTTCATCTTCTTGAAATTGCTCATTACTCATTAATTCAGATTCTTGAGTTGGAAATATCCAATTTTCATTTGGAAAAACCCCTCAAAATTAAATTGGTTTCCGGGAATCCATATCATGGATGTCGTTTGTAGGGATAGAATGATTCTCCAATTTTTTTCCCTTAGCCCTTTACCCGAATTTGAGTTTTTTCCTCCACTTTGCCATTATATGAATATAAATATAATTTGGAAAATTGGAATAAAAAAAGTTTAGAAGAGAATAATTACTTTAATAAGAGAGATTGTAAAGTAGAGAGAGAAATAAATGAATAATATAGAAGTAAAGTGTAGTATATTGTAGAGACAGTAAAGTAGAGAGTGTAGTATTATTGTTATGAGAGAGTTGGAGAAATTTTTTTTGTAATGAATTTTGTAAATAAAGATAAGATATTTTTTATAATATAATAACAAAAAATTCCATTTTTTCCAAAAAATACCCATTGAAAGTAGCCATTAATGGTAGCCGTTTATGGCTTGTTGGGAGGGGTATTAAGAAGACATTTCAACAACACACATTTAAAAAAAAAATGGCAGTTTCTGACAGTTACAACGGCCTAGAACCGTCGGTTCGTATCAGTTCAGTGTTGGGAGGGGTAATTAAGACATTTCACAACACATTTAAAAAAAAAAACTGCAGTTTCTGACAGTTACAACGGCTAGAACCGTCGGTTCGTATCAGTTCGAACCGGCGGTTCTAACCGAACGGAGAACCGACGGTTCCACTCCGGTTCCGACCGGTTCTCTGGAACCGCCGGTTCTAGTTCCTTATTTGCTGAAACCGGAACCGAACCGGATTTTTTCGGTTTCGGTTTCGGTTCTCACCGGTTCCGTTACGGTTCCGGGCCGGTTCGAACCGACAGTTCCGGTTCCCGGACCGTAATATGGCCAAGTCTAGATATATGTATTGTTAGCATTTGTATGACGTAAGTTACTAGTTTTTCTTGAAATCTGGATCTACTTTTATCGGGGAAAAAAACATAAATCGAAAGGTAAGATACTTCTATCTACACCAGTAATGATATCCACTTTATTTCTCAAATTAATTAAAAATAATTTTTTGAAATGATAGTATTTTTAAGTATATATTAGGAAAAAAAACTAATAATTTTGTATTTTTTTAGTAACTTATGTATATATAGTTTTGTTCCATAACATTTTATTTTTTCACAAAAATTAAGAAAATAATTAGTGGAATGTATTTATTTCCTAAAAATATATAGTCATAATACCTAAATTGTCTTTTTAAAATTAAAATTTTTTCATTTAATTTCGCTACAAAATCAATACAGATTATTAATAATAATGATAAAAAAAAATAAATGTAAACATAAAAATATATTACACTTGGATAAAATTAGAAAAAAAATGTATTAATATTACTCTCCACTACACCTCCCGGCGGCGTACGAGACTCCACTTCTTTTTGAAATATATATAGCAACGAATGAACTCTTTGGTGTTGACACATGAAACCAGTATAAAGCAAACAACTATATTTCCCTCTGACCCTCTGTACCAAGTGCGCTCACTTGTCTCCAACTTGTCAAAAGACAGCGGGGAAAGCAACACTGCTTCAATCTCGCTTGCAAATGGCTGGCGACAAATCACCTATTTCTGGGAATCCAATTCGATGCAAAGGTATATTCTACAACATCATTTTCATTTTTCAAAATATAGATAGATCTGGTTCCATTGACATTTTTTTAATGAAAAATTCAAATAAGTTCTATTAACATTTCTTTTGGTATATAAATATTTACGTATCGCACAAATTGCAGCGGCGATTTGTCGCAAACCAGGAGAGCCTCTGGTAATAGAGGAGATACTGGTGGCTCCGCCAAATCGTCATGAAGTTCGGATTCGGATTATATGCACTTCTCTCTGTCATAGCGATATCATTTTCTGGAAACTGAAGGTCTCGTTTCTAACTCTGTCCCTTAAATTTCTGGTGATAGAAGACGTTACTCCTTTTAATTGTTTTTTCCTTAAATCTTCCAGGATTTTCCTGCTGTTTTCCCGAGAATTTTGGGCCATGAAGCTATAGGGTAAGCTGCTAATATTGCTTATTTACCTCTTTCCAAAAATGCTCCGCATTTTGAGAGCAAAATGCTCTTGTTTGCTCTTCATCGGATTGTGTCAACGCTAACAATTGGAACCAACAGCACACACCAGTTTAATAAGATATAATATGGCTGGCGAGAAAATTCTTGCAGAAATGCAAATAATCAAGAGCAACATCTATTCTCTTCTCCGGTGTCTCAAGAGCCTTTTTGTTATCTTTTGAGTGCAGGCTAAGTGTTTTGATGATCGATAGTTATTTCTTTTTCTTGGAGTTGAGGAGTCACGTATATGTTATCTATAATTCTAACTGCACCAAAATTGATAATTCGATATTTCATAGTTATCAAAGAATAATTGTTCATAGTCGAAGAGTGGTGCTGTTTGACGGACGAAGAAATAAATAAATCATATTGTTTGACTTTTGGTGTTCGGTTACCAGAACTGAAAATTACTTTCCTAATGGAGTAGATATTTAGGAAATAATTATGGGTTTTTTTTTTTTTTTTTTTTTTTTTTATTTTTTTGAGGAATATATAGGAAATTAATTTGTTGTTTGAGTGACCAAATAAAATAATATAAATTGCGTTTTTTTTTTAAATTTTTTTTTTGAATAGGTTGCATTTGTTTTTTTTTTTTTTTTTTTTTGAGGAATAATTATAGGAAAATTTAATTATGTTGTTTGAGTGACAATAAAATAATATAATTGCGTTTTTTTTTAAAATTTTTTTTTGAATAGGATTGCATTTGGTTAAACTATGGGAAAGTAAAAAAAATGTAATATATCACATTATTAAATCTATAATTCCAAAATTACTAAAAAGGGAAAAAAACCAATTAATAAAAAGTTATATTTGACTTAAAAATTTTTTAATTAAGACTATCAATGTTGTTATACTTTTTAAAATATCTTTATCTTTAATAGGATTTCAAATATTTTTTTTTAAAAAAAGGGATAAATTGGATTTTACTAGGAGAGGGGAATTCGTATATTGGTTAGTTATCGGCACAATTTCCCGAATTAGTTTCCCGTAAGATTTAGGCAATGAAATTTAAATGTCCCCTTAGTTTCTTTTCTAATTTTTTTTTTTTTATTAGATGCTGAAAAGAACAGTGGGGGTGCTGATCATTGATTAATAACAAGTCAAGCCTAAAGTTCATTGATTACTCCTTAGCATACTGTCAACGCCATCAGAAGTTTTAACTAAATTGACTTTCTTTAATGGATTGTGCCATTGTGCATTTTGCTGTCATGTTATAGGGTTGTGGAAAGTGTGGGAGAGGATGTAGATCAAGTAAAGGAGGGCGATGTAGTCATACCTACGTTTATGTCAGATTGTGGAGAATGTATTGACTGCAAATCAAAGAAGAGCAATCTTTGTTCAAAACTACCTTTCAAGGTCTCTCCATGGATGCCAAGATACGAGTCTAGCAGATTTACAGACCTAAATGGGGAGGTTTTATACCATTTCCTCTTTGTGTCCAGTTTTAGTGAGTATACTGTAGTAGACATCGCCCATCTCACGAAGATAGACCCTTCAATCCCTCCAAACAGAGCATGCCTCCTCAGTTGTGGAGTTTCAACTGGTAATAGCGCTTCATTTGTTAGAGTTGATCATGCCTTAATTACCGCTCACCATTAACATTAGCCAATGAGTTTCCAGTTGGCAGGCTTTCAAAGTCCATCGAGTCATATTACTTTGTTATAGCTTAATTTCATCTAATTTCATTCTTAAAGTTCCAGTACATTTTCTGAACTTAAGCTTGCTGCAATTCATTCAGAATTCTGGCAATTTGAATTGCATTCAGCAACCATCCTACTGTTCTTGAATGCTTGACTACATTGTAAATGTTATATTAAATCATTATAGCTGGAAATTATTAGGACAGAGAAATTTAATTCTCGAGCCATGACCTGGTGGTGTCAAATGTAGTCTTATGCATATTTTATGTTATCTCTGGTATATTTTGGTGTCATCAAGAGGATATGTTACTGATTTCACGGCATTAGAAGGGTTAGCCACCTTAAACCGTTCCTTTTCATATGTATATGACGTACCAGCAGTATAGGATTTTCTCCACATATTTTCCTTAAATGGAAGTCCTATAACCATCTCATGTCAAGTTTGTCAGGTACACTAATGGTTGTCATGCAAATTTTATAGTATAATTTATTCAAACCTTGAACTGGTGTTATTTATGTGTATGCGTTTTGGTTTTGGGATGGGACGCTTCAGGTGTTGGTGCTGCTTGGAGGACTGCAAATGTGGAGTCAGGATCAACTGTTGCCATATTTGGATTGGGATCAATTGGTTTGGCAGTATGATCTTAGAAAGATCTTCCTAAGAATTCTTTTCACTTCTATGTCTCCCCTGCACACACATACATATATACAGACAATGGGAATATGTTCATTGTTACTGGTTGTTGTGTAGGTTGCAGAGGGTGCAAGATTATGCGGTGCTGCTAGAATTATCGGCATTGATATGAATCCAGATAAGTTTGAAATTGGTAAGCATTTGTATGGGATAATTTGGATTTACCCAGCAGATTATCAATTTTGCTATGAAAATAGCTGGATGAGCACCGCGTGTCTTCATTATATGATCTATGCCATGCCAACAGTGTGTAGTTGCTTGTATGTGCTGATAACATAAGACCAAATGAAAGACTAATATTAGTTGCAAAATAATTGTTTGTCTTTGACTATGTCAAGTTTGGATTGTGTATTTAATTGTTAATGTTTTCTCTCTGTGCTATTTCTTTTCTTTTTGCACACAGGTAAAAAATTTGGAGTCACAGATTTTGTGAATACTGGCGATTGTGGGAGCAAATCTGTGAGCCAGGTCTTCCTGTCAATCTGTTATCTTCATTTATGCTATGTACTAGCAATACATAACCATGAGCTTGATATAAAATAGCAGTCGAAGTCTATGAGTTTTGGTGTCCTAAATGGGTCTCTCAGTAATGTTATGGTTATTTCGCAGGCCAAGATTAAGATGTATGGAAAGGATAGTTTTATTTGATGCTTTTCTGAAGCATGTTATTTTTTTTTTTTTGACCGACTCAATTGCATGGTAATGTGGCCTTATGGCTATCCAGAATGGGGAGATCCGGACACCCCAACCATTAATCTTTTGGTGGCTTTTTTTTTTTTTTTTTTTTTTTTTTTACCATTAATCTTTTGGTGGCTTTTTTTTTTTTTTTTTTTTTTTTTTTTTGGGCAAAAGGTTCTACAAAACGATGTCTTTTAGTTTCCTCTTCTATTTGGATAACTTGTTCATGATTCCCTCCTCCCGTTGTCCTCATGAACAGGTGATAAACGAGATGACTGGTGGAGGGGCAGACTATTGCTTTGAATGTATTGGGTTTGGCATTCCTTGGTCCAAGAAGCATATTCCTTGCTGCCGGAAGGTTTTTTTTTTTTTTTTTTTTTTTTTTTGGGCAAAAGGTTCTACAAAACGATGTCTTTTAAGTTTCTCTTCTATTTTTGGATAACTTGTTCATGATTCCCCTCTCCCGTTGTCCTCATGAACAGGTGATAAACGAGATGACTGGTGGAGGGGCAGACTATTGCTTTGAATGTATTGGTTTGGCATCCTTGGTCCAAGAAGCATATTCTTGCTGCCGGAAGGTCACTCTCTGCCAAACACCATTTTAGTTTGTTTTTCCATGATATAACCTACTGATTTGTCTTTTTAGAATTTATATTTCTAGGTACGGTTCAGCTCTGATGAACTGGTGTAGAAATAAAGACAAGTTCTTTGTGTATATTGCTGTGTTTTCTGTGGATGACCTTATCATATGCAAGACTTTTTCTGTGTAATTCAGGGTTGGGGAAAGACAATCGTCCTAGGAGTGGACAAACCAGGGGCAAAGTTGAGCCTTAGCTCTTTTGACGTCCTCCATCATGGGAAAATCCTTACTGGATCCCTCTTTGGAGGAATCAAAGCTAAATCTGATATTCCAACTCTCCTAAAACGTTATATGGACAAGGTGAGCTTGCAAGTATGGTGTTTTTCCACTCTTTTGGTTTTCTTGTCAGCATCACTTTTAGGATGTTCTTTTTGTTTGTTCTTCATGATTACTTTAGTGACATTTGAGTAGCTATGATTACCAAGTGATTTTCATGTTTGCACATATAAAATCCGAGTGACTTCACACTTTATGGGCTTGAACTTGCACATGCCTTTTCTTCAGGAATTGCATTTGGATGAGTTTGTCACACATGAGATGAATTTTGAAGACATAAACAAAGCCTTTGATTTGCTCATTCAAGGAAAGTGTCTCCGATGTGTGATTTGGATGCACAATGAGCAAAGTCAGCTTGTAACTTCCGCGTGAAAACTTTTCATATGTTCAAATAAATAAATGCAGGTCACTGTCCTTGAATTTATGAAAACACGTAATCAATACAAAAACTTTATATTATTTTCAATTAGAAATACATGTATTGGATATGGATTGCCTCTAAGATACTGTAAATGCACTAGATGTACCAGTGAAATATTCAATGTGGGAGTCTGCTGTTTTCTTAAATGACCCAAAGTGCCTTAGCCGGTAAACTCCTGAGGTAGCCTCCTTTGGCACCTCCCATTCAATTGTCGCTATGCTAGACAAGGTACCATCATCCAATCGCCACTTGAAATACAGGCTGAAATCATCATCATCATAAACTGGAATCCACCGCTCTCCTTGAAGCTTCTCTACAACAGCAAATGTACCTTCTGTTAATAGATCAAACCTCGGGTTACCACTCCAAAATGTGGCACTCGGTCTATCTCCCTTCTTGAACGAGCCTTCTTTAGGTTGAGAGACATCTTGTTTTACATCACCAAACTTTATGCCCTTGGGAGGTGTGTCTATCCAAGGGTCAAGTAAGAGTCTGAGTTGTTTAGAAGAAAGATCTGGTGGTACCAAGTCTGTTTTTATAAGCTGTTCTCCCCTTGCCATTGCTTCTGCCAGTCTGTTGAATTCCTGAATATATGCTGACAGCGTATGAGGACCATAGAGCGTCGAAGCTGCCTGCAAAATTCCATTGTCTATTATCGAGTAAAAGAATAGGTGGAATAGGCAACTCATAAGTTTCCATTTTGGACCAATGACTTGGAGATCTAGTTTTAGACTTGAAGCTTATCCTAACTAAACCTTAACTAAACTAACCTTAATTCTTATTAGATGAGAGGGGTTGGAACAGAAGTATAGGGTTCGTGTTCATAGAAGGGTTCATGCCTGACCACTATATACCTCATATCTCTGTTGCCCATATTCTTCAGTCGTTGCAACATACTGCGAATAGGTGTTTGTGAGGCCAGCTATTACAATGTGTGTGTCATTATCAAACTCTCCTCCATTACGTATTAATGTTTCCTTAACTGCTTCCCTTAATCGCCGACCAGCCATTGTTGTGAATTCTGCAATGTCAAAGGCCTATAATTAACTACTTGTGGTACTTGTTTTTAGCTTATATATATGTATCATAGATTAATGCATATTGGAGTGTATCTAGAAGGTAGTAGTTAGCTCAAGAAGGTGACTACCTTCAAGCCCCCTCCAAATTCTATAGTACACGGCTTACATGAGCATGAGCAAGGTCAGCTCATAAATTCTTCCGAATCTACTTAAAATGAATTGAATTGAATTGAACTGATGCATCTTGGTTTGACCAACTTATAGAACCAGTTATATTTCAATTGTAACTAAATCAATCAATAGTTGCAAACCAAAAATTAAACTGTAGCGAGTGAAAGAAAACAAACCTCCTGGTACGGAAAGTATGATCAGTTTCCCTACCCTCAGTATTTGAATTGGAAGGATTGCTGGCTGCATTAATTCATGGAAATTACAGGTTACATATTAGTGATTAAACTTGCCAAAATCAAAATTATGATCACAAAAATTCTGGAATGAACACAGTTAATACAACGATCATAAATTACAAAATTGTATATGTTGGCGATATATAGGCATATCTCATTAAAGAGGGATTCTTCAGTCTTACCGCCCATGCATAAGGTTCAAACATTTCTCCTGTAGAAATTAAAACATTCTTTGGTTTTTGGCAATGTTCTTGATATTTGCTTGGTTTTCGCAACAAGTCCCTTACTTTCCGCCAGAGCTCGTTTATCTGTGAGTATGGACCAGTTCAGGAATGGAATGGAAGAATAAAATGGGAAATGTACATATAAGAAGGTGCTAACATTTGTATCTCCCTGTTCAAACCCAAACATGCCAGGTCCATCTGTAGTTCCAGCGGCAAATCCTGGGCCTAGGGCCGCAGGGCAAGTCTTGACTTTCCCCTTCCCATCTATATCCACCTCAAGATCCGTAAAGTTTAGATACAAATGCCGATAATCAATCTTCCCATTTAATTCCTCTGACGCAGACATGAAAAGATCAACGGCCTTGTTGAATTGCCTCTCCCCTATGATTTTCGTGCTCAATATTTCATCTGGGTATCTGTTAAACAAAACATTTAGAATCTAGGCCCATTTATGAATAGAGAAAGCCCAATTATGGTATCAAGATTTAATTACCCAGGCCCACGGCCCAAGCAAAGCCGAACATCGCCATGGCATGAAGAATGATTGAAGTCGCAGGGTTTTCCTGTGTCAGTGCAAAATGCTCCAAGAACATTTGGGGTCACATCTCCAACATTTGATTGACAGAATGCCCCAACGAACAGTGAGCCATTATTCTTCCTCACCTTGAAAACTTGACTTGTCGTTTTACCGCATGTTTGTCCTCCTGTGGCCTTGATATTTTGCGCTTTCTCAATCAACATATCAATATCTACATCAAGGAGAAAACTATACGTACTACTAATATTTTATTAAAACTCAAACAATAACACCGGACAAGCTCTAATTGTCTGGTACCTGATGCGGTGGAGAAGTTGGTGACTGAGGTTGTGTTGGGTTTGGTGGTAGAAGCGAACCAGTCCTCGAAGAATCTAGCAGCAGCACCTTTGTTGTCTCCGCTAATTAGCTTATTATCTCTGCTCATGGAGGTTCCATGAGTAGCGTACCAACTGAATGCTCCAATACTTTTTCCAGTTTCGCCGTCTACAAACTTCAAAAGAGTCATTTCTTTATCAACATTAGATGAGTATCGCGCTCTCTCCTCTTCTGGGTTTAGTAGATATGCACTTGGACTCCTGTTTATTCCTGCATTCTCTACATCCCCTGCAAAATTAAGCAAGAATAATACATACAGAGTCATGGAGAAAAGTTGAACCAGTGGCCTTATCTTTACTTATTTCAATTTAAGATGAAATGAAATGTTCACCTTTATTGATGAAAATTGATCCAGGCTTTAGGTTTTCGTGAGCCTGAACTATGCTTTGTATAATTGCATTGACGATGGCATCAAATGATTGCTGAACAAAGCCTAGAGATGTAACATGATAAAGTAGATACTGCAAGTATCCTCCAGGACCTGCATGAGTATGAATACCACTAATTGCCAGATTTTCTTCGCTATACAAATTTCCAAACCTGCAAAAATCAACCACAAGATAATAATTAATTAGAATATCAGGTTGTTTATCCAATAATTTTTATATTTCATCCATTAATTAGATTTTCTTTTTAAATTTTGGCCTAGAATGAATTAACACCTTCAGCTAGCTAGCTACTTTTGTGGGCCTTATATCCACTATACCTTGATCTCAGTTTCTCAAGCACCCTTATGGTGACTAGTTGTGAAGCCATCCCAGCGTCAAGATTGACGAACGCAAACCTTGCACCTTTTGCACTCTCTGCAACAATAAAAGTCCTAGCCCTTAGCCGGAAATGGACACCGGCGGCATTCTGCTCTATGTTAGCATAGCCCATCAAGTTAACCTGAGCAGCAGGTCCAGTCATGTCATAGCTTCCAACGCCAATCAAGTACTCGCCATTACTGGTTCCTGTAAAAGAAAAAGAAACAGCTACAGAAAGCACCAGTAATAGAAAATATGGGTCTTGGAAAAGCGTCCCACCAAGCACCATCATTATTTTTGTGTAATTACTGATTAGAAGTTATAACTATATATAGAGAGATTGTTAGTTTCATGGTGTTATGCATCAGTGAGCGGATTTGTTGTTAGTCACCATCTAGCAGCTTAATTAAGGATGTCTTCTTGGGTTACTCGTATCAGGAGATTGTCTCAGGAGTGTTTTTGTCTATTATCATGAGCACAATGCGGCTTCTACCGACCGAAGGCAAATTAAAATAATCATTAAAAAAAATCATTTAAATAATAATGTATACTTTTGTAAAATTAATATGTTTTTGTCACCATCAAGCATGTTGGTTTTATATTATATGCAAGCAAAACTTCTAAGCTAAATGCATAAATTCACATTTGTACTTTATGCAAAATTTATAATTGTGATGTGAATATAATCTGATATTCAAAAAATATTTAAAATTTTATTTTTATTATTAATTTTTTTTAAAAAGTAGAAATATTTCATTATTTGTAATTTCATTTTTAATATTAAAGATGCTATTGCTATAATTCGAAATTTAGGCAAAACTGACAAAAAAATCAAAATAAAGTGAAATTGCAAAAATGGACAACATCAGGGGATAGGTTAGGTGTATTGATAGATAATAGGAAGTCCCTATCGTATACTAATTGTTTTTATTATAATATGAATAATTTATATTTATGTAAGGATTACTATATTATAATATATATATAATTTAGATTTATGTAATATATGATTTGATTTAATGAACAATGGCCCAAGAATTATTTTAGTAATATATAATTTTATCTAATTCTAATTGTAAAATTTATCATATCTGAAATTTGAAAGAGTCATATTATTTTGAAGTTAAAAAGCACTAAAGTCTTTTCCCAACCGATTATTTTTTTCATAGTTGAAGTCTTAAAAGAAAATCAGCTTCTAATCTAAAATTAGTATATAATAAAGTCTTCAAACTGCATTTGATTCTCGGGAGCAATTAGGTGTGACCTGACCACCATTCTCTTTTGTCACAAAGGGTTGGAAATATTTCTTCCTAAAGAAACCGAAAGAAAAAGGAAAAAACTGATAAATGTGTATCACTACTGCATTTTCCACAATCTTTTGGATTGTCATAAAAAATTGGTAGACAAGAACTGCTGGATTACCCCAATGCCCACAAAGAAACTTCTCGAGCATTTCTCCACTGCAGCTTCATTAGCTCACATGTCCTCGTCAAATTACTATTTTTGTCTATTTTTCCAGAGAAGTCTTCGTACGACTCTAACAAAATCTCTGCCACGCATCTTCAAGACCCCACATTAGGTCAGATATGAAATTAATTAGCTTTCTTTCGTTTTCATTATAATTCATCAACTCCTTATCCGATAAGAAAGTCGATCCATTGGGACCTATACATATAACTACATATCATTATAATGTGGCAGTGTATTCAATAAACCAAACATTAATAAGCATACAATAAATTTTTTTTTTTTTTTTTTTGTAATGTATGAAAATAAGGGAGTAGAAACGTACAAACAAAGAAAATAATCAATTCATTAAAATTGTTCAAATCCATAGAAACAAAGGAAATTGTAAAATTTTCCTTCCTTAAACCATAAGATTTTTTTAAACCCTAAACAAACTTCACACAAGCACATAGGCACTTACACATAAACCAAGGTGAAAAAGAACATCCAAATTAAACAAACGCACGATCATGAACATTACAACGCACACAGCAAAGCAATCATAATCATCATTTACTATTGCTGGTTTCTTAATCTTTCTCTTTCTCCTTCTCTTCCTCTGTTTTTGGATGGTATCCGGGAAGTTTCTCTTTGATCTTCTCAAAAATGCCCTTTTTCTCCTTAGCCTCTCCCTCGTGGCTAGTTGCCTCATGCTCGGCTGGAGGCGGTGGTGGAGGTGGTGGTGGAGTGACCTCTTCAGCTTTCTTGTGTTGTCCCGGCAGTTTCTCTTTGATTTTGTCAAGGAAACCCTTCTTCTCTTCTGGTTGTTGGCCGGATGCCTCTGTCTCGACTACTACTTGCTCAACAGCTACAACGGTGGACTCCTCTTCCTTTTTTTCTTCTTTCTCTCCTGATAGTTTCTCCTTGATCTTCTCCTTCAGTCCCTTCTTTTCTTTCTTTTTCTTCTTCTTTTCCTCTCCCTCTCCTTCCTCTTCATCGCTAGACTGCACATTTATTTTCAAATATATATCCAAATATGGAATGAGTTCAGAGTGTCAGACAATAACAAATAATATAGTCTTGGATTAGATGATAAAGACAGTCATTCATTGATTAATCTGTGTAACTACCTAAATCAAATTTCCAATCTTTTAAAAAAAAAAAAAATCCAGAAAAGGAGAAAGAATGTCTGGTCGAGTACATGGGACCAGTACATAAACATCTATACGTAGGTAGTAGGTACCACTTCAAGCCTTAAACTATGTGTAGTTCCATCAAAACACGAATCATAGCATAATATTAAAGTTCATGTGTCACATCAAGTGTTTACATTGTTAGTGCTTGATCAATGATCATCATCATGCAGCTTCGAAAATCAACCATGATCATTTCCATTAAAAATAGAAAACTTCCAATTGTTAACGGTCATAAATTAACATACATGAGATGCAGATAGAAAATTAGTAATTATACTTACAGAGCTAGAGCTGCTTCCTGATCGGTGAAGCTTCTCCAAGATGCCATGCTTCTTCTCCTCTGGTTCAGAGACCTGAACCTTCTCTTCAAACTCTGTAACGATCACCTCCTCTTGAGGCTTCTCTTCCTCTTTCTTCTTCCCGAAATCAAACAACCCACGATCCGTGGCCTCAACTGCAGTGGTCTCGGGCTCATAACTCTTCTGATGGTGCTCCTGATCAGCCATAATTGAACTTATCACTTGAAATAAACAACTTGATTTAACGAAACTAAGAAGATACAATAGATTACAAGCTTGTGAAATTAGTAAGTGATGGGTTTTCTCTCCAGTGAGAGCAGTGGTTTTTATAGCTATCAGTCTATCACTGAACGCGGATCTGACGCTGCTAAGATTTAAGAAAAATAATAAAAGCTGATTAACTTAGCCAGTTAATCTCGCTTCTGGTTCTGTAACCGACGTATGCGTTAGAAAAAAAAGGAAATTGCAAAAAATGGTACTGACGAATGCGTACAAAAATTAGTGTACTCGCTGCATTTGTCTTCCACTTGTCAGATCATACAGCTGGCAGAGCAAAAAAGCGACGGTTTTGTTGTTTGGTACTCGAGCGAAGAGGTAAATAAAGAGTCAAAAGAGGAAAAGAAAAAAGAAGAAAAGTTATGAAAGACACGCTGTACTAAGGTGCAGTACATGCGACCACTAATATCGCTGACACGTGTAAGGAGAACGTGAAGGGTTGTCCTCTGGTGGGACCTCAACTGTCGGTTTCGAGAGGATTAATATGGAAGGGCGGTGAAGGACCCCACTTAATTTTTTATAGGGCCACGTGGCAGTAGCTTCAGCGTTAAGAGTGTATAGAGATGTGCGACTGGTAGGTTTCCGGTACTTCTCATGTGGAGGAAAGAGGGTATTAAGGGCTTAATTATTAAATTAAGGGAATTAATTCACTTGAATGTTGTCATTTTCTTAAGTTACGTTCATTGGATGAACACTTGCGTACAGGTGGTCGGTTAAGTGCTTGCTAAATTCTTTTCCCAAGATAATATATTCTTGAATTTCAAACTAATCCACTTGTTGTTGTCTACTTCAATTGAGAACGCTAAAGTCCTTATATAACATAACATGACATCTCTTTATCCTTTATTAATTTTTTTTTTTTTTCTCTCTTTAACTATAAGATAGGCTGCTCTTCATTTACCAAAAGTCCTTTTCTTTTTTCTTCTTTTCTATTTTGTGTTATTTAGAAAAATGATATTTCAAAGTCCAAAAAAAAAAAAAAAATTGTTGTTGTCTACTTCAAATTGAGAACGCTACAAAAGTCCTTATATAACATACATTGACATCTCTTTATCCTTTATTAATTTTTTTTTTTTTTTCTTCTTGAACTATAAGGATAGGCTGCCTCTTCACTTTACAAAAGTCCCCTTTTCTTTTCTCTTCTTTCTATTTTGTGTTTTATTTAGAAAAAATGATATTTCAAAGGTCCAAAAAAAAAAAAAAAAAAGAAAATTACTCAACAATAATATTTTTCTTTTGAGGAGATCAACAATAATAATAATGTTTTTTAAATAAAGTAAAATTTTAAACAATGAGTATTTTATAAAAAATTGGTTAATTTATTACACATATACATATATACATATTTTAATTAATTCATCAAACTTCGATCATTTTATATATTTTTTATATTAAGAACAGACGTAAAATTTAAAAGTAGCGATTCAGAAATTTTTTTATTGGATTAATATATAAAAATATATAATATATTAAATTTAATGGATCAATATACATACATATATATAAAGAATTTTAATTCAGTTAAATCATTCTTTTAGTAAATATCTTTGTTAACATAGATTTTTTTTTTTTTTTTTTTTTTTTTTTTTTTTTTTTTTTTTTTTTTTTTTTGGCATTTGAAATCCAGTAGCTTTAATAATATAATTACAACTTAATTCTTTTATGAATTTTTTTTTTTTTTTTTTTTTTTTTTTTTTTTTTTGCATTTGAAATCCAGTAGCTTTAATAATATAATTAACAATTAATTCTTTTATGAAAGTAAACGGATGTATGGTTTCTATCATCTTGCCCCTTAAAACTCAAAAGTGAAAGAAAGGGAATGTGGGGACATTGCGTGGCAGTGGGGAAAAGATTAAGATCCAAGACAATACATGATGCTCATTTATGGAAATTTATGAAAATTTATCGTGACATGAGAAGATGATATATCATCACAGGCGATGTTTAGGTGGACCAAAATTGACGGTAAACTTCGTGTATACAATAAAACACATTCTGAAATATTTAACGGCTTAAAAATAATATTCTTTTTGTCTCATTTATTTATCTTAAATCATAGTCTTTTTTCAGTGAAAAAAAAATTATAATCTTATTTTTTTTAAAGAAGGATAGTATTTAAATTTTCATTATACCTTTTAATATGTTTCTCTGTTATCATTAACCAAATCTCAAAATAAATAAAATAATCATTTTTTTTTATTTTTTGAAAAGAAAATAATCATTTTTTTGATCTAACATCAAAAAGCCTTACACGGAAAAAGCCATAACAGGCCGTGTGTTTATGGTATACTAAATTTACTGGGCCGAGAAGGCCTAATGTCAATTGAGGCCACAGAAGAGCCCATGGTGTTTCAAGGAGTCAGCATCAGCCCAATTTAAAGGGCCCAATTTTTTCAAAAAAAGCTCCGAGCTCAAAAGCCGAAATGGTTTTGTCCCGTCAAACCCGCCGGCGTATTTTTAAAATGTTTTGGTTTTTAATAATTGATAACAAAATAACAAAATAAATAAAAATAAAAACTACTAGAAAGGAGAAGAAATAGGGAGGGAGAGGGGGGTAAGCAAGGAATCCAGCTTTTGCAAATCGAACATTAATCCTTCCCATCTGTTCATCTTTTGTCAGTTGACTGTTTGAATCGTATGTAGCTCTTCAAAATCTCAATTGCTAATGTCTTTCTGAGCTCAATAAGGAATAGAGAGACCGAAATTGGGTTAGAGATGATAACGCGATCGAATCTGGCTGAGCAGTTGAGAGAGTATCAAACTCGATCCAAGCATGACTGGGCATCTGTCTCCTTCTTCTCGTCCACCACCAATCTAACTTCTTCGAGGTACGCTTAATTACCTCTTTCTCTCTTTCTTCATCTTCAATTCATGTGCTTTTTCGTTTCAGGAATTTTATTTTATTTTTTTTAATTTTCTTTCTCCTTGTTGCGAGATCGCTGTTTCGAATAATATGATCTCAGGTTAATTATATTTCGGATAAATTAGATCACCTAGGGTTTTGGCACCTCCGCTGGAATTTTTTATTTTGACTTTTCTGATTCGCTATTTAGTTTGTAGGATTTTGGAGCTAGAAAGCTGTTAATTTTTGCACACTAGATATTTGTTTGTTAATCGAATCTGCTTGCAAGTTGCTGATTTGCATGCAGATGTTTTGTTTAGTTGAGAAAACCATTCCTTTTTAGCTTTTATAAGTTACTGTTTAGGATTTTATCTTTCCGATTGTGATTAAATTCCGTCACTGCGTAGAGAAACATTTTGTTCCGGAATGGAAGAAAATAGAATAGAATTTAAATTCGAAATGGACTTGAAAACTTCAATTAAAATAAAAAGATGGTTATATAACATTTTGTAGGTTTTGATACTTGATTGGCCAATTTACTATGGATCTTCAGGTGAGCTAAAATTGAAAATTTTATGATATTTGTTATACATGGTGTGAGTTAGACCGATTATGTCCCTATTAACATGCTGGCTTTATTGTCTTGCTTCCACAGTGGAGTTGCGAATCTTGAATTGCATAATCTCATTTGATGTTTCATCAGAAAGTTTGAATTTGGATGTTAGTTATGTGTGTAGCAGTATGTTACCATTTATTCTCTAAGTATAGGTGTCTTTATCACTAGCTAAAAATTCCTTTTGCCTTTACTAGTACTAGGTAATTAAAATGTTCGAATAGTATGCAAGCCAATTCCTTCACAACAAGGGCCTGTTTGGAGATCGTATAAAGATTGGCTGATCAATTTGGTTTTTAATGGATTATCTTGTTTTTATCAATTGTGCTAGACCTGCTGGCATTTGATATTGGTGATGGTTCTTATGTCCTTCAATGGTCCCGATCAATATGATATTGAAGGTCATGAGATGTAAAATAATTTAGGATTTATTTCTTTTTGTTTTTTTTTTATGTTACATATCCAATACTGATAGACAAAAAGTGAGAAGTGATAAAATGTCTTTTCAATATTAGTTCATAAAATTCATCAGCAATAGTAAGAAAGTTAAGTGTTGCCGGGATTATTATAAAGAAATATGGATGAGCACATTCTGGTGGACATTCTTAGTTCGTGGAGGTTATCAACAGGAAAGATGATAAAGAATAATGTTCTTGCCTTAGGAATGACGTCAATCAGCAGTGAGTTTTGGCCGGTTAACTGTTTCAATCATGGTTTTCATGAGAGGAAGTCAAACTGACTCTGTAGCTAAAAATACTCTATTTGCATGGATATAAATATGAGGGGAAATTGGTGCGTGGGAAAGGCATTTTGTGGCCTCAAACATTGGAAATATTAGAGACCACATTGTCTAAATGTTTAATCTGTTTATTTTCCTACACAACTACTAAACTGTGAAAGTGAAAAAGGGGAATCTAGTTGGTTGATGCTAAATTGACTGAGACTATCTAACGTTGGTTTTTTTTTGTTGGTTCTTTGGTTCTTTGGTTACACTGTAATGACTCATGTAGGTCAGGGTTCGTGGTGTATGAATTTTTTTTTTTTTTTTGAAATGCTTATATCTTGTGTATAGAATAGGGAAAAAAAACGTTTCTATGTCGGGTTATGATTGAAAGTGGAAAAACTAAATCAAAAGTTAATTCATTGATTAATGCTACACAATAATTAAATTTCTCATCATTATCACCATCATCTTTTTTAATGATGAGATGAAGAATTCTTTCCTTGTAACAATTTATGAGCCTGATTATCACTGCTTCAAGAATGCTATTAGATAACATATCATGCATATCTCCTCGGATGGTTATTTATGCATGATTCTTTTTCTTTTTGTATTATGACATTAATTATGGTTTTGTTAATGTCCTTTTATCTCTTTCTATGCTTGCAGGGTAGATGTTGTGGTATTTGTAATATGGGAACTTGTAATTCTTGCCTTTCTGGTATTTTCAGCAGTTTCTTTATATTTTCGGCATATGCGACTAGCTTTTATCTTAGTATGCTTCACAATGCTATTGCTTTTATGCATGAGAATTACAAAGCATGTGAGACTGGCCCGGAAAAAGAAACGAAGAATGCTTCTACCTTTATCCATGTAACACTAAGTGATGGACCTTCTGAAGTAATTCAACATTGTTTTGTATACTGTGAGAATTGTTGACCATTGCGGTGGAGCCATTCTGTCTTGTTTATTGGAATATGTAATCACACTAAGATCAAGTTGATTAAGGAATATGACTTGAGGTGATCGCTTTTACAAATGCTGATTGAAGCAAAGAGTTCTAAACATCCAAGAATCAAAGCTGAGATACCTTCATTCAATGGGGTAATGGTCATTGCACTTGGGTATTAGTAGGTGCAATGCTAAAGGCATAGTTCCTTTCTTGCTGCATGTTTGTAGCATGTATTTGGCTTCAATTACGAGCCATGTCCATACTTGATTACATTTTGAAGAGCAAATGATAAGTTGAATGGTTTTTAGATGATGTAATATGTAACAGTCTTCAGTTTTATTGACGTGCATTGCTATTGCTAAGGTATAGAATTAAAGGGAAGTTGGTTTTGATCTTGTGCATGCTGGAGCATCACTGTCTGTATACAACTAGGTAAATGATTATGCAAAATGTTTAAATTTATTCAATGGGAAAATATGGCTGCCCCAATTTATTTTATTGGAAGAACAGAAACGTTGTTTGATAAAAGAAGAAATAGGTGTCCTAGAAATTTTAGACGCTAGTATTATATAACATTAAGAACAGAGATTTTTTGTTTAGTTGCTACAATCGAGAGAGTAAGAAAAGGCTCTTCGAATCGGCAAAGGGTTACAGTGCGTTGCCCTTTCCAAAATTTTGTTTTACAGAGGGTAGATTAACAGTTAGTTTGACAGCTTAGGATGCAGTGTAGGCCAGTTCTATTCAGTTATTGCTTATTGGGGCTTGAAGAAGTGAATTTCTATCCCCATAGTCACAATGGTCCATATTGCTCCAGTGACCACCAGAACGCTTAGTACCATTCCCAAGAGCCCTAGTATCCAGTTGAGGCACCAAAATGGACTATATTTGTGGGGTTTCTTTATCATTACCCACATGAGACATGGATATGCTAAGGTGACCGGTAATGCAATCCCTCCAATCAAACCTGCCAAGCTAGGCAAGAACGGTAACGCCACGGCTATAAAGAATGCCAAGCATCCAAAGAAAACCCTGAACCCTGAGCGTAGCCACCGTGGGCAAGGTTTATTCATCTTGCTGGTGTACCTAAACTCCAGATTGTCAAATACTGGCATTGCATATATCTGAAATGAGCTAAGGCAATTAACCACGACAAGTACACTTGTTATTCCAAGTAGCATCTTGGATGTGTCGTGTCCATGGTATTTGTATAAAGCACCTAGCATTCCTCCATTTCTTGGTATCTGTCATTTAAACATATTTTACAGTCACGTGATATTCTCTTCTTGGAGCGAATGGTTTGTCCAAGGAAAAAAAAAAAAAAAAAAAAAAGTATTTGGTATAAGCACCTAGCATCTCCTCCATTTCTTGGTATCTGTCATTTAACATATTTTACAGTCACGTGAATCTCTCTTTCTTGGAGCGAATGGGTTTGTTCCAAGGAAAAAAAAAAAAAAAAGAAAAGAAAAAAAAAAAAAAAAAAAAGAAAAGAAAAGAAATGTGCTTACCAGGTCTCCATAAGCCCAATAACCGCCAACTGCAAGGGGAAACAAACACATTGCTATGATTAAATAGGCGAACTTTACTCCTCTCCACATAGGTAGACGGGATGGTTGCTTTGCGCTTGAAGGCATAGTCCCCTTCAATAGTACAAATATAGACATTGAGGCTCATAATCGGATACTTGGACAAATTTAATTCTTAATTAAGAATGAAACTATATAAAATTATGATCTCACCTGTATTTCGAGAACAAGATTGTGACCTCTGAAAGCAAATGCGATTATCCCAAGTGCATTGAGGATGCTAAAAAGTCTAGCTGTATGAGATTTTGCCTCAGGAGGATCGTAGGAGATATTAACTGGCCTACCTTGAACGATTGACACTGCCCATATCAGGGTACAATAGCTAACGGCTGTGATCGCCCCAATTAGAGAAACACCGGCTATGGAATTCAAGTTGGGAAGCTGAGCTATAATAATGGCAGAGCAAGTGAATAACAGATACCACTCTACTAATGTTAATGGCTTCCAGTTACAATTGTCTCCACATGCAATTTGGAAAAGTATTTTCATTGTTCCACCTCCTATCATAATCAGGGTCACACACGTGCCACCTGATAAGTACATGATCGGAAACAGGGCAAGCAATTTCCCTAGCTTCTCACCTGATGAAAATATCACGAAAGTCATAAGTCAACTTCCGAAAGTGTCTTAAAGGTTATTTGAACTTTAATTAGATTCATTGTATGAAAATTAAGACGGTCAATTCTTATATTATCACTAACTCTTTGACATGTCTAAGATATAAGTATGTCGTGCAAAGCATTTTAAAAGGTCTATCTGCTCAAACTTGGAAGCAACAAGCAGCTTCAAGTAACCTTCCCTTTCATAATTATCCACGTGAGTCTTTTTAACTTACTTTACAAACAATGAATTATATTAATGGTGTTTGCTAATTAAAAAAAAAAAAAAAAAAACAGAAAAAAAAACAACAAAAACCATATTCAGATGATTAAAAAAAAAAAAAAAAAACCATATCAGAATGTCAACATTAAGAAATTTGACAAAAGATAGGGATTGAAACAAGAAAACTGCAAAACCTTCTGGTTAAACTTTTCTGTGTGTATATTTGAATTACTGCGGAAAAATAAAAAAAATCAAAGGGTTTTAAAATGAATGATTACGAGGAACAAGTTCAAATGAATGAAAATGTGATATTATATATTCTCACCAAAAGCAGCCATCGACAGTCTGAGGTATCTGCTATAGCGCAACCCAGATTCTGATTCGTGTAGCTGAATCAGCAGCCATAACGTATATAGCTGCCACATAAAAATTAGGGATAGACATATAAGTCCCCAAGTCCTGCACCCAAAATGAAATCAACAAATATTATGAACCAAAATATATAACATTTTAATTAATTTGGCCAGCAAAATAAAAAAAATACAATAATATATATAACCAAATTGGATTATAGAAATTAATCATGAGCTTCTATAGCTTTACCAGCCAAGAATGGTGAAAGCTAGGGGAAGAACAAGGGCTTGCACTCCGATTCCAGAACTCAGTGTGTGAAATGCTGAGTAGTAAGCATTACCGCTTCTAGACTCAGTTATAGGAAGCCATGCTTCTTGAGGGTCGAGCTTGGTGAAGTGGCCAACTTCTTCCATATAAGATTGCATGTTAGCAATTACCTTCTTCATGGGACTTGCTACGGGAGTCATTACACGCGAAGAAAATGGGCTTTTTGGGGTATTTGGTGTTATATTAATATCCAAGAGCGGTGACCTTGTCATTGAAGGGCAATGGAGTTGAGACGGAGGAGCAGATATTATTGCTGATGCTGCTTCCTTTGGCCTCCAATTTTCAGGGCTCAATGGCAATTCCACAGTCTCTCCCATTACTGCAAAACCTTAAGTAACACTGATCACTTCCGCTCAAGATTATATATAGCTCAGCGTGTGTTTATATTATAATAAGCTTATCTCAGGTAGTAGAATGTCAATCTGTATGCTTTTGAGGGATAATCTTGAGCACTTGGGTAATAATATATATACAAGGTGTGGTAAGTGGAAGCTTGATATGGATGTGCGCGCTGAGTAGGTGAGTGATTACCATATTGTATTTGCATGGCCCAATTATATATGAAAAGCATATTATTAAAAGTGAATCATTGACTGGCCCCTTGTCCCTAGCTAGTATGTGTGTGGCTACGACTACAGTTGCCAAAGATGGTCGAACAGTCAACAATCATATAGTGCTAACCTAACCACACGTGGTAAACAACTTCATTTTTTGTAAGAGCAAAAAGAAATGTTCGATTCTCAAAATTGCAATTTACTCAGAAATGAAAAACTTTTAATTTTACGGTCCAAGAAAATTACATCTCCATTATAAAAAAAAAAAAAAAAATACCCAAGAATCACTTCAGAAGATTATTTGGTCTTCACAGCTAGAAATCTTAATTTTATTAGATTTCATTTTTAACTTCAGTAACCTAGCTAGGGATCTTAAAGACTGTGTTAAACTTGAATTACATCCATGAGTCAGTAGAGAAAACAAAAGTACTTGAATAATCCTTGAACTTTGATCTTTATACATGATTGATGAATTAAATATTCTTATTCTTTGTCATAAATTTTATATTTCGGAAGTTCAATTAAAATAATTAACGTAGGGTGAACTCTAGAACTTCAATGATTCATGTTTTATTATCACGAGCAGATGACAAGATGAGGTGACGGTAGCAAAGTTATGGAGGCTTAGGTCAGCTTTGCAACCTCATTGGACTGTTTAAAGATGTGCAATTAAAGGGGGACCGAATTGACTTTCCTTGAATGATTTGGCTTTCTATGTATCTCATTGGACTGTTCAAATTGGTCTTTTTGTTTCAAAGATGTAATTCCATATTGTCAGCTGGGCAGGTGAAGTTTCGTGTTACATATATCAATTAGCCAAATCAAGCTGAAAATAATATTAGGCCAGGTGTACTTGATTTTGATAAATTTGTGGTAGGTGTTATACGTTCTTTTTTCTCGATGGTTGTTACTTTTTACCATTTCTTTTTCAATTTCTAATTATTCTTTTTAAATAAATATGTAAGGAAATTGAAATTTTTTTCTAAATAAAAGTAAATAGTTAAATATTTTATGAAATTTTCTCATAATTATAAAACAACAGATAACACTTTTTGTCTAAAATTACAGTACCGTTCTTTTCTTATCCTAGTAAAAGTACCAAAATATTATTTTGGCAAATTTGATCACATGTAATTATATCTTAAATCTAAGGATTTAAAAGTAATCTACGCAATAAAATAAAAAAAAAAGAAAAGAAAGAAAAAGAAAATAAAGTGAGGTTTCTTTCACATTTTAGTGTAGTGGCATGGCATAAAGAAAAGCCTACTTGTTTTCTTGTGGTTTCCTTTGTTAAAGTAGCTTTGGAATTTTATTTTTTCTTCTTCATTTATTTATGTTTTGAAACCATTTTTTCCTGCTAAGATTTTGATTTGATTTCCCCCAAACTTTAATCAACACTAAAGACAACGATGGCTTCTTGTATATTAGCACCACTGCATTGAAAAAAGAAAAAGGAAGAAGAAGAAGAAGAAGAAGAAGAAGAAGAAGAAGAAAGGGAGAAGACAGATTAGAAGTTAATTAACACTGGCTGCTAATTGTGTAAAGTCAGGTTTAACTGCTAATAAACATTGACCAACAAATGTAACTTTGTAAGATGCATTACAATGACACATGCAACCATTCTTCCCCTCCACTGTGGCACGTGGGAAGGTTTCCTTTCACTTGAAGGCATTGTTGCCTGCCAAAAAATGACTACAATTTATAAATCATATTTTGCCATCTTCAACTACTTCTGTACCTGTCAAATCTAAGTTTGAAAAAGAAGGCTCAATATATTAGAATTTTTGCAGGCCATTAATATATAGCTTTATATTATAAATAGTAAATATCGTAATCTTATAGCTAATAGAATATTTCAATTAACAGATTAATATATGAGCTATGATCTTGATCGTGTGTTAGATTAGGTTGGGATTTTCCAAAGGCACACATTTAAATGCTTTGCCTCCGTGGCACCGATAGCGACTCTACCAAGCTATATCCTTATCCTAAACCCATAGTAAGTAAAAACACCATGATTATGAAATGATATATGGGCCAAATCACAGACCTCAAATGTGGGCTTATTGGTTATGTCCGGCCCAATATAGCCGAAAGCAATGATCCAAGGCCCATGTTCTCTTCTTCTTCTATACGTATGATCACAAGATACCCCGTGTAGCCTTCTCTTGACGGAAGGTTACAGCTTACAACAACGATAAGAAATAGTGAAATGGGTAGAAGTTTAATGCATGAAGCTCAAATGCTAATGCTTTTTACAGGAATTTTTTGCAGGAGGACTGCAACTTGTAAGGGATTGCAAAACTGACCGATATGTAGTCAACAGTGAAAAAGAAAAGGAATAAAAATTACAGCCGAGACTTGTGAGATGACTGGTCAAGGGGCGGATCTTGACAGTGGAGAGAGCCACGTGGATGGTTACTGTGATGAGAATATTACCTGATTAATTAATTGCGGGTCCAGTTTAGTTTTTACTATCAAAGCTTGAGTAGGGAAAGAGAGGCTACTAGTTCCAGGCTTGTTGGATCGAGACGAGACAATTTCTCTCATGGGACCATGCAGCTGGAAGCTGACAACTCCAAAATACTCATCCCAACTACCATAAAATCATCCATGGTTAAAATTAATAGTACTGGCTAGTCATGTACTCCTGTTAACAAGGAGTTTAATTAATGGATCACAACAAAAAAATTAATTAAAGGCCAATATAGTAATTTTTTATAATTAATATACAACATGGATCAAGGTGGACGTTCTTTGATAGTAACTCAACCGGTTTAATAAGTCTGCACTCTGCAGCGTGTACAGGCGAACTGAGAAATACAACAACAGAGGCTAAAAACGAAAGCAATGCCTTTTCGAGATCTTTAGAAATGCTTCTTTTAACAAGAAATAAAACATACTCCATGAAAGCCCCATCACAAGGCAAAGTGATAGGACCATCTCTTGGTACGCCAAACACTTCCTCTGACATTTTAAACAGCTCTTTGAAAATGTTGTTGTGTAAATACGCCAAAGGAACGACAAACCGTTTCCTATCTAAAGAGTACACAACAAAGTGACCCTTAGCAGCAGCAGTAGTGCTGAGTCTGGGTGGTGAGTTTGTTCTCTTGCTAATGGCAATCCATTTCTGCCACTTAACTGCTACGGAAACAAGTTTCTTCAAACTGACCATGAAGCCTATTGTGAAAGACGAAAATTGGATACATTAAAGAATAAAGGTTGCTATATATAAATAGCACTCTGCGAATTATCAAAATTTGACCAAGCATGGTATGTGCAGACTGCCGAAAAAACCATCATTAACCAATTGAAAGCTGTCGTTGGGGATTTTTGGTTATGGGAGATGAATTGTTGCTCAGAAATCCCAAGTAGGACGAAGCAATTTGCATGTAATTCTGTGGGTAGCCGTCCTGGAAAAACATTTCCCCATATATACCAACAAATTAAGTTGATATTTCCAGTTACTATTTACAGTTAATGCCAAAATTACAACCTCCTAATCCTAGCTGGCAGGTCCTCTTTTTCTGTTACATACGAGATTTTGACTGAAAAATCTCACTTTTTAATTTGAGATGGAAGCATAACTTGAGTACAATCATTTTTTAAAAATTTAATGAACTATAGATTAATTTCGCAATAATTTTAAGATTTGAAATCTTTTTTCGCCACATAAATTAATTTTTACATTTATTTTATATTTTGATTATATTTATATAAACAAAATCTGTATATATTTATATAATATATCTTGAGAAGATAAGTATATAGATATAAAATTTGTATTTGATTGCAGGACTTGGAAAGTACAATACTTAATAATCCAGTGTAGAAGACTAAAAGTTGCATGCATGTGATACCACTAAATTACAAACAAATCATGGATATAACTCAGAAAGAAAAATCGATACAAGAACATGTTAAATTGAGTGATGATTCCAATTTGTTTTATTATCATTATATTGGGTATGACTCAGCTCGGATTGATTTTAATTTCAAGCTGGGAGAATCAGCTCGATCAAAACCAATGTGCGTATATTAATGGCAAAGCGGATTGAATCAATTTTTTACTAAAAAAAAAAATCAAATTTTCTGCATAATTATGAAATTCCCATTCCGAATCTGAGTTTAATAAATCAAAAGAAAAATCTGAAAGCCGACCATATTTGCTTTCTATAATATATTTTAAGCTACTACATTTTCTTTCTTTCTTAGTCATCTGGTTTGCTAAAACATTTATTTTAGTTGAATCCATACTGCGTGCAGATGTTTATCCAAGAGGCTTTTGCATATCATTTTTGAACCCATTCGCATGGATACTAACAGAGCTCATGCTATTGCCATTCTTGCAAGAATCATCCACCCATCGTCTTGCTCAATTAGGGTTTTTCTTTAACAAATACGCAACACAAGGGATGTAAAGGAGCTGATTTGAACTCGGCTCAGAACTTGACAAGTTTGCAAATTTTAGGCTTTAACTTAGCTCGATAAAACTCAAGCTCGACTTGAGGCTCGAGTTCAATTCGAAAAATTTTGAATGCAAGTTTAGCTTGAGAGTCGAGTATGTCTAAAACAAATATTATAACATGAATATATAAAAACATGATAAGGTTTCAAGCTGAACATCATTAGACTTGATTGCTTAAGCTCGTAAACAAGCCAACTTGAGCTCAAATTCGATTCAATCCGAACTTTTTTGAACCTTTTTCTAGTCAAACTCAAACAGCTCGCGAACCGACTCGCTTTATTATCTCCTTGATCAGCACATCACTACTAAAATAGGTCTTTTGCTTGGATAAGCAAGTGATTTTCAAGATATCTTATTTCTCCATTAATATTTTAATATCATATCTTATTGATTCGATGCTTAAAAAAAAAAATGATAGTAGTCTCACGAATAGTTAGATATTTATTGTTTTGATTTTACTCATAAACATCAATTTGTATGTATCTATTTTCAATTTTCATTTCAACAAAACTTATATATGATGAAATATGCCCAATGCTTGATAACCAAAACAAAAAAAAAAAATCAATCTTTATTTATGGTCTTGATTTTGGAGTATATATGTTCTTGATTTGAATAATTGGGTACATTGCATAATGACTAAATTTTTCTAGAAAGCCAAACCCACGATAAGAAGAGGATTGAATCTATCTAAACTATGAAATTAACAATAAATGGTCTGTAAATATCATCACCCTTTAATATCCCACTTTATTTACTTACATTCAAACTAATAATTCTTGATGAAACCTCAATACTGCTCTCCTAACAAACCCTAAATCGCCAATTGGTAAACCTCCAAAGTAATTGCAAGTTAATGCTCCAACCCTTCTCATTAAAAAAAAAAAAAATGCAAGAAAGAAACATAAGGAAAGAAATTAAAGAGCCTAAATTATATCGGATTGAGCAATATTGTTTAGTTTGTCACTGGTGGTAAAGGAGGCTAACCCTAATAAATTAACGATTGGTTTTAGAAGCCAGGAATAGGTATCTGTTGGCTACCAAGATTATTCGGAGTGAAAGAGCATCCACAGTCAACCATGGATCTTATGTAGGACTCCTGATCTGTAAAATGTTGTTTAACCAAAGAAATAACATATTCCATTGAAACGGCATCGCATGGCAGAACGATAGGACCTGTGCCTGGCAACCCAAATTCCTCCTCTGACATTTTGAAGAGTTCTTTGAAGATGCTGTGGTTAAGATAGTATAAAGGCACCACAAAACGCTTCTTATCAATACTGTAAACTACAAAATGGCCCTTCTGTGCTACTTGAACTTTGCACTTGTTCTCGCTTGAGCCTGTATGATTTGTTGGTAAGCAGATTCCTCTGCTGCTTCTCCTCCTTCTCTTAAGAGAAGCTGCGTTTTGCCATTTGCTTGCAATTTCAATGACTTTTTTAGGGTTTATCATTATTGGGTTTGTATATCTGGGCAGTAAGTTTTTGAATTAGGGTTCTTTTTGGGTTGGAGGTAAAGGGAGATGTCTAGGTTATATATATGGTGATGATCAATAAATGCTAGGAAGCAACACCATGTGATATTTGCATGAGGGGAGGCTTCAGAGACCAACATCTCTGATATTATCATGTAATTGTAGGCCAGACCTTAATTTCTCACCACAATTTTATTTCTTCTATGTGGAATTAAAGACAAACTTAAATGGACTTTTTTTGTTTTTTCAATTATAGCTTCCATTAGAGATATTTCAGTTTAGCATGTTGAAAAAAGTATGAACTTTGATTTGACTGGAGGAATGGATGTGATAGCTACTAGTAATATATCACCTTAGCGTTAAATAAAAAAACGAAAATGCATTTCAACGAATTGAGAAAAATTAAAATTTATTAGTTAATTTATAAAAGTTAAAAGTTTATGGATTTAGTATTTTTTTTTTTTTTTTTTATTTAGTATTTTTTTTTTTTTTTTTTTTTTTTTTTTGAGAATTTGATATAGTAATTCTAATAAAAAAATTAAATTCTGCAATATAATTTTCTTAAAAAGATAGGGGCTAATTTATATATTAGACGAAGTTAAATTCACACTTGACCAAGAGATTAACTTTAATTAATATTACTGGTCCTGTTATTAATTCACAAAAGAAAAAATTGCTTGGGGTCCAAGCCTAGCTGGCAAAAACCCAGATCCGGAGGCATGAAAAAATTTCTGAGGTGCACTTTCTGGGAAGAAAACCCAAAGCATGCATGCGTGTGAGAGAAAGCCAGACGAAAATGTAGGTTAAAGCGTGTACATTCTCAGACAGTAACATAAATACCCAGTCCATTAACGATAAACGTGCACCACAAAATCGTTCCTATAGTGTAAGAATTTGAATTTACAGTGTCTTTTCTCTGTTTTTGTGCACCAGAGTAGAGATATGGATATTTCATTTATCGGATAAAAGAGGACAGATTTTATTGTCCTTCCATTTGTACCTTTCTTATTTATAATGCATGCTCCATCATTGACCTGAAAATATATAAATTCATGTGAGCTTTGTAAGATAAATTCATGTGAATTATAAGTTTATTGAGTAAATTGAGCCAAAAGATGAATTTTGTAGCCTTTTTTTTTTTTTTTTTGTTCTGAATAACAAATTTATAGGGTAAATTAGACTTTATTTCATTTTTTTTAGTGAATTAATTGCTCACCAAAATACAGAATTAAAGAAATAATAGGAAAATTTTAAATTGGATGATATATTATCTTTGTGATAAAATGATTATCTTAATCCAAATCATATAAGATATTTTAAGAACAATTAGATGGTTGCATGATTGAATGGGATGCGATGGGATGGAACCGGGCGGGACATATAAATTTACTTTTTGATGCAAAAGTAAATTTATTAGAGAGTCTTGTTTTGTTGGTGCGTGTGGATACAAAGCCACGTGATCTCTATGTAAAGATACAAATGTAGGAGATGGGCATGTTTTTTTTTTTTATCATCTTAGAAGGAACAGAACCTCTTTCCTTTTCAACAAATATCGTTAAAAGTTAAAACTTAAAAATCAGGCTTACTTAGATGGGCTGAGCCTATTCATCTGAGGCCCAATGAGTTCAATAAGCCCAATCCATTACCCTCCCTACGCGTGCATATCAGCACAGTGATTGAGAGGTACCCTTGCGTTTCTACATTATTTACGAGTTTATTCGATTAATATTATGGAATTTCTTAGAGAAGAAACCACCAAAACGGTGCACATTACCGACTAAGGAAGCAGTGAAGAAGCTATGAAAGTTTTGTAGGCAGAACACAGGGCGTTGCATTTGGAGGGATCAACGTACTCTATCCCATGGCAATGTCCCTCCCAAAATTGGCTTACCACTTGTAAACCCTTCTCTTGCAGCATCTTCACGAACTCATCTTGACGGTCCATCAGTGGGTCTTTATCACCCCAATCAATCAATATTCTCCACCCCAAACCCTTCATCTTCGTCAGTGCATTTGAACCTGCATCCTCTACCGTTGGATTGCAATACTCATGATCACGGTCAGCACCAATTGGCAAAGCCAACTTCCACATCAGATCAGTACAACAAAGTGGTAAATTGCGATCATTAACCATTCTCAACTCCGATTCAGTCCTCTTGGACCCACCGAAGAAAGGTTGATGCAATATCAACCCTTTGATCTTTAAAGGGTGTAGATCATGATCATCGATTGTTTCCGCCAGCTTTAGTCCAGCATGGTAAGCTATATTAGCGCCGGCACTACCCCCCATAAGGAAACACTTGCCCAGATCAGCAAAGTCTCTTAACCATTCGTCTGGGATGGTTTTAATCCAGTGCAGCGCCTCAGCAGCGTCGTCGTAGGCTGCAGGGAGGCGGTGCTCGGGTGCAAGACGATACTCAATGGAGACAATAACAGCAGATAGTTGAATAGCCATAGTTGCACAAGAACGTTGAAAAAAGGTTGAAGCTACACTGTAGAGGATGAACCCTCCTCCGTGGAACCAAACTATGAGAGGAAGTTTGGTGTTGAAGGGATGATCCAGCGTTTGCTTGGGTAGGAATATACGGGCCCATATTTTATTTGATTGGTTGATGGTGAGATCTTTGGTGAGAATGGGAATTGGGTGAGAATCAGGAGCAGACAAAAGGATCGGAGTTGAAATTTCCGGCAAGCGAATAATGTTGCCATCAAGGCCGGGAATGATACGGAGGTGCTTGTAGGGATCGGTAATCGGATTTGATGAAGGAGTTTGTGTTGTCATTGTTTATGTAAGAATTCTTATAAACTTGTTACTTTATGAATTACAATACGTCGTCTCTTCTTCTTGTATTATAATGCGTAATGGAAAAGAATATTATGGATAAGTGGCGGGAGCTGCCTTGGATTGATGCATGCATGCCATCCATGTGTCTGCAGTGAATTGAACAAATGGTAACATTCAATGAGGTGTGTTGATTCTACTAATACATATGCATATATAAATATATATTACTAATGAATCTTTAAATTTTTTTTTTCTTATCTTTCTATATGTAACTACAAAAATATTTTGGTGAATTTTCTCTCTATCTATTCTTTACTCCATTATACTTTTTTTAAGGAATTTCTGAATTTTTATTCTTATATATCTATATTCCTATAACTAGTTTATTACAATAACTTATTTATAATAAATAGTAATATACGCTATTTTGACAAACTACTTAGTTTGTCAACTTCATCATGCCTACTTAGATGGGCTGAGACTATTCATAAAAGGCCTAATCAGTTTCTTACAGGCTGAATAAGACCCAACCCATTACCCCTCTATAATCCAAAAACCAACTCCACAGCTTGCCATTACACGTATAGCTACGGTACAAAGGCATTTAAAGCCTTTGATTGCATCTCCGTAGAAAAAAAAAAAAAAAAAACACAGCTTTGCCATTACACGTTAATAGCTACGTACAAAGCAGTCTAAAAGCCTTTGATTGCATCTCGTAGAAAAAAAAAAAAAAAAAATAATCTATAATGAACGCTCAGAATTTCCATTTAATCAAAAGTCCAAAATTCGAATTTTTGGTATGAAGCACCTTTAAACTTGATAGAGAAAGCGTTTGATTCGGTGCATATAGGTCTATTTCAGCGCGCAATTCAAGATTAAATCGGGGGAAATAAATGTGAAATTAATTTTTGGTACCAGATAATTAATTAAAAAAAAAAAAAAAAAAGATGAATTCGTCAGGATTGCTAAAAAAAAAAAAAAAAAAGATGATTCTCAGGATGCAACTACGTTCATTGATCTTCTATCACTTGTACAAAGTAAAGTCCATTTTTATTCATTTAAGACATATGTGTATATACTTTCTATTACCTTTCCTTTTCATTCAATGGGCACCAACAATATCAATGGTCACAGGAAACCCACTCTCTCCATACATTTCCCATCTAGGCTCCTTTCTTATTAATTACCTTACCACCTTACCTTCAATTGCCTTCTTTTCCCATATAATATAACCAATAACAACAGCAACATATATTCCCTTCCAAGGCATGCAGTAGAGCTCATCAAACTCAGAAAATAAAAATTTTGTTTTAAATAGCTAGCACATGAAGAGCTCTTCAAAGTTACTAAGCGAGATAGTGCAGAAATGGACCAAAAGAAAGAAAGGTCATTTTGCTGTCTACACTAAGGAAGCAAAGAGGTTCTTTGTCCCTATTTACTATTTGAATCACCCTATTTTTAGAGTTCTGTTGGAAATGGCAGAGGAAGAATTTGGAACCACAGCTCATGGACCTCTGCAAGTTCCTTGTGAAGAATATTTCTTGGAATACATTTTGGCTTTGCTAAGAAAGAATCCTTCTGTCTGTGTCGAAAATGCTTTAATTTCCATGAATATTTGCGACAGAATTTCAGTTTCTTCCTTTTTACCTCTTCTTCCTTCTCATGGATCCATACTTGTGTAGAGCAGAACCCAGATGAGTGACTGAGCTAGCCTTGGTTTTTGTACATTACTTGCAGATTTAATTAGTTCTTGATTCTTACGGGTGCATTTTTCCCTTACTTTTCCTGGTTTCTCATTTTAATCATCCTAAAGTTTTGTATTCATAAATACTTACATTTCAGTCTCCCGTAGAAACTAGTTAGAATGATTTATCAGAATGGCTGTTGATGAAGCTAAGCTAGTTCAGAAAGCTGTGATTCCTTTAGTTTAGGTACATTAAGGGCCAGCATGAAGGGCCAAAAATCCGAAAATGGTTCAGTGCCTTGGTGAAATACTAGACAAAAACCAATATAATCAAGAAAAATTCACTCTTATTCAAATCTGTATCTGGGACAGTTACAAATTTATTGTCTCCAGAAATTACAACGTAACTTAACAGAACATACCCCAAACATCCAACTTTTTGTTTATATTCCATCTAATGGAAATATTAAACAGGTGCTTACTAAGTAGATAAACAAAGCTAAGCAAAATGTACTAAAGCTGAAAAAGGGTGATAGCTATTAAGGAAGTCTTATTGCGTTTACAGAAGACTAAACTATTCAAAGTTTAGAGGTAGCAAGCTGTATCAGATCCTTCCTGAGGATCTTGCCTGATGCATTCTTAGGGATGGCAGAAATGAATGCAACTCTTCGGATTCTCTTGTATGGAGCCACCTGCATAAGTAGCAACTTATGGTAATCAGAAAAAAAAAAATGATAAAACATTTTACAAAACTTATTATATTTGGTAATTCTGACACACCTGTCTTGCTACAAAATCCATTACAGCAGTCTCTGATAAGCTACTTCCAGCCTTTCTTACCACATAGGCCATGGGAATCTGTCCAGCCTCCTTGTCAGGAAGTCTGGGATAATATTACAATCAGGCTCATGTTCTTTTGAAGGAAAAATAAGAAGGATAAAATGCATATGTTTTTCAAGAAGATGGTTTTCATTTTGCTGAAAAAGGATGTGTCAAGCATGCATAATAGCGAATTTCCAAGCTCTAATATATAAAATGGAAGAATGCTTACGGTATCACGGCAGCATCAGAAATGTCCACATGAGTCAGCAACAAGGCTTCTAGTTCCGCTGGGGGAACCTAACAAGTGAGGAGACAAAACAATCAGCAAACATTCATTAAATTGCAGTTTCCATGAAATAATGTGGAAATTGAGAAGCGGCAACAACCATTTTTAGAAGCAAGCATAAACGTAGCATAGAGGGTTAGAACAAAGTAACTCCAGAAAGAAAGTCCAACTGAAAGAACTATAAGTCAATGTTCTGCTCACCTGATATCCCTTGTATTTAATAAGCTCCTTCAACCGATCAACCACAAATATAAACCCATCGTCATCAATATAGCAAAGATCTCCAGTCCTCAGCCATCCCTCAGAGTCAAGAGTTGATGATGTGGCTTCAACATTACCAAAATAACCTGCAAAATCAACCCGGTCAGATTAGTTCATAAAAAATTGATGTCATCAGTACTGATAATCATGTCATCATTTCGATTGTGACTATACATCGTCACTATCATGCTCAATCCATCTAATGCTTAAGGAGGAGATACCCAGTGGATCACTGCTATACGTATGTTTCACTACCTAAGGCTATTTATACCAAGTTAGAAGCTATGAACTTCTACGAAAGTACTTTGACGGAAAAACCTTTGATAAGTTTTCTTCAAATAGATAAAAGAAAAAGGAACAACCTTTGATAAGTTAAATTTCACAAGTTTTGAGAAAGAATTAATGATTTTTCTGTGAAATTCTTTTTCTATAGACAAATAGATTATTAGTGACATATTCTGCATAGAAAAGCACTAAAAAGTCGTCACTGATAGGAAAACGACACTTAAAGTGTTCTGAGTGACTAAAAGCCTAGCAAAGTAAAGCAGCAAAAGGTATATGTATGGGCTAACAGAAAACTCTTACCTTGAACATATTCCAGAAGCAGTGAATTAAGATCTATAACCTCATTTTCTGGGTCCAATACAGAAACAGAAACAAGTAGCAGGAGTTTGTAATACTCCAGCAAAAGAAGGTAAACCAGGTTCCACCGGATCGAACACTTGGTAAAAATTAAAAATTTTATGTGAATCTTCAAGCTTTTGATTTGACTTGTGAACGAAAAATTACTATTCATTTAGCTTAGATACTAAATTGTAACTATGAACCAGCCAGCAAAAATGTTATAGTACAGTGCACGTTTGACAAGAAAAAGATATTACATCTCCTGCATTACGCAGTAACAAGTTGCTAATGATAGAAGATTAAACAATATTAATTAATTAGACGCTATATTTAACAAACAAATCCGCCATTATCTTGCTTTAATATTTAAATCATTCAATTACAGATTGCATTTTAGTGTTTAAAGAGGATTCCTGACAATGGATTCTCATATTTTGCTAAGAAAAAGACCGTTAGCTTATCTTATTCACGCACGTCAGAAACCACAAATAGAAACGACAAAATAGACCATCTGCTTTTACCTTTCATAATAGAAGGACCTCTGAGCCATAGCTCACCGGTCTGGTTCACCGGCAAAGGTTTTCCGCTCTCTGGGTCCACAATCTTTGCCTCCATGCTCGGTGACAGCAATCCAGCCGTACCGTATCGCCTACTCTCCTCCGGCGTGTCTGTGGACGCGCCAATCGCCGTTGACTCGGTTAACCCGTAACCTTGAAGAATCCTCACCGTTGGATATTTCTCCGCGAACCCCTCTATCACCTCCTTGCCCAGTGGCGCCCCTCCTGAAAGAACTGTTTCCAGCGAACTCAGATCATACTTGGACCTTATCTGATCAGAGCCGTTGATCAGTGCTACTAGTATAGGTGGCACAAGTGGGAGATCCGTAGCACGGTAACCCTCAATCGTGGATAGCATCTCGTGAATCTCGAACTTCGAGAGCACGATAATCGTTGATCCTGATGCGAGTAGTCCTGTCGCAAATGCTGCTAGACCATAAATATGAAACATGGGGACGGTACAGATAAACCTGTGCTCTCTGTCTTCGTTGAAACGTCCAACGATGGTTTGAACCATCGCAATTAGGTTACGGTGCGAAGAAACAACACCCTTGCTTGCTCCTGTTGTACCGGACGAGTAGAGCAGTGTCGCTGTGTCGTCAATGTTGACTCGCTCCTTGATTCGGCTCCCACTTGGCTCCTTTGTCATCATCTGGCTTAAAGTTGTCACGATTTTGGCGTCGAGTTTGGTAGAATTCTGATCCTCTATGAGGATGATGGGTAAACTTGAGTCCGACTCTGCGAGTTTAGGGACGAGTTGGGGAGTAGTGAAAGCGAACGAGGGTTTGGAATCCGCGATTTGCTTGGCCATTTCGCGGGGAGTGTTGAGAGGATTGGTTGTGGTGATTATGGCGCCAAGGGACATAACAGAGAGGCAAACAATGGGAAAGAAAATAGAGTTCGGGGAAAGGAGAAGGATGACATGGCCCTTGCGGACTCCCAGCTCGAATAGAGAGGTGGCAACAGAATCGACGGCTCTCCATAGCTCGAGGAAGCTAAGATGGCGGCCAGTAGTGGCATCGATGAAGGCTGTCTTGCCACGGTGAGCCTGTGAGGAGATAAAGGTGGTGACATCAATATATTGATTGGGAGGAAGCGGAATAGACTTGCGCTTACTGTAGAAAGTAGAATTGGATCTGCAAAATCCACTTCTTGGGTCGATCTCGAAGCTGCTTTTGTGCGCCATTTATCTCCGCTCTCCTTTCTCAGTCTATACGAGAGGTCTTGTACTAGTTTGCAATGCTTCTCATCTGGTCAGTGATTTGTGATCTACCTTTTTATTAGTATTATATTTACGAGTTTACCCTTTTTTATTATTGGCAAATCACGAGTATTTCTACCTTCCTCCTCGATATAACTTTTTAAAGGGATTTCCTAATTTAAATTTATAAATCAAATTAATAAAAAATTTTTGTCGAAATAAATTTTAATATAAATTTTTTTGGAAAAAAACAAGGCACAGACAGATTTCTTATGAACGGAGATAGTATTTGGATACGGTGGCTTTATGAGTTTTTTTTTTTTGTCCGTCTTTTATTATATGTCTCTCAACACTTCCAACCTCCACGTTTGGGAAATGAAATACACGTGTATGTTGATTTTCCTTTTTTGGACAGACTAGCCGCATATTTTGGTCACTGGTCTACAGTTTACTGTTCTAGGCCAATGGGGCACGTGCAATACAGTGGTCAATTGGTCATTTTCTTTAACAAATTATAGGAAAAATTATGATTTTATGTTCGTACTTTGACATAAACAATTGTCAAATTTACAAATATATCCATGTATTTATTAACTTCTTTTTCCCTAATCAAAATTAACTAATTTTACTTTTCTGTATTTAACAGAAAAAAGTATAAAAAATTTAATAGATAGTATCATATATTTTAAAATTATATATTTTTTAAAATATAAAGATAAAGTCATAAATTTTGATATAATACACAAATAAAATAATATATTTTTCCAAATTATATATATGGGTCAATAATCAAACACTAAAGGTATTTCAGTTAGGTAAATCTGATGAAACATTAGGAAATTTAATAATTGATAATCAAACACTAAAGGTATTTCAGTTAGGTAAATCTGATGAAACATTAGGAAATTTAATAATTGATTCAAATTTAATATAGAAAATCCAAATTAACGAAAGCTAACTCCTGTGCTGTACATTACAAATTTAATTTGTTGTCATATAATTGTGGCAATTAAAGATTTATACCTGGAAATGTGGCTTTCTTTTCAAATTATTTTTCTTTTGCCATTACAATTGTCCTAATTATTAAATCCTAGCATTCATAAGAAGCTAATGGAAAATCATTTTGAAGTAATCTTAAATAAAATAATAATTTTAGAAGCTAATGAATTTTTATATGGAAAATATTAATTTAATATATAGTTATAATAATTTTTATATTTTTAATTATTATTTTTATATTTTTAATTATTTAATAAAAATATTTAATTGAAATCTAAATTTTTGAAAATTAAAAAATTTCTCAATATTAAATTATTTGGAAGATTATTTATTAAATTAAAATATTTTAAAAATATAATTTTTATAAATTTAAATAGATTGGCAACGTGAAGCGAAGCACAAGTAAATATTCAAAGCGTCTCAAAAACAAAAAACAAAAGCAGAAAGCGTCCTAAGCCCGCGCATGGAAAAAGTTTATAAATTAAAATATTTAAAAATATAATTTTATAAATTTAAATATTCAACGAGGGAAAATAAATATTAATAGCGTCTCAAAAACAAAAAACAAAAGCCAGAAAGCGTCTAAGCCCGCGATGGAAAAGTATTTGGGTCGACACAGTTCCGGTTGGATTGGGCCGGTACTTGGGCTACGATAGAAGCAAGGACGGGATCAAGTGCAGAACATACAGAAACTAGTTCGTCAAACAGCAGCTACCTCGCACCCCGATCGGATATTTCTGAATTCGGAATTCTAGCAAGAGATACAGAGGGATATGGCAGGAGGACATGAACATGGCTACAGTTACAAAGGAGTCACTATACATCAGCCAAAGCGATGGCATACAGTCACCGGAAAGGGCTTATGTGCCATCATGTGGTATGTCATTGCTCATTATCTTCCTCCTTCCCTTTCGCTCCGAACCCTAATTTTTTTTGTTGTGCATCCATCCGCATTATTTACGATTTGAGTTTCTACATATCGATTACCGATCTGCTTGTTGTTGGGTTTAGTAGAGCTATTTTATTGAATTAATTTATCTCTATCATTAGACTTGGTAAATGAGAGTTAGATTTCAAAGATATTCTATTGATCTGACCGAGTGAGATTGATTGGTAAAAACTTCATTTCGAGGGTTCTCACGATCATCTGGGTAATTTTAGCGTTTATTGTTTACAATTGATAATTCTGCTAAACCCATGATTTAATTCTATTGGATTAAAGGAAAAAAAAAAAAAAAAACTTTTAGAATGCATAATTGGATTACACATCCAAGGAAGCCACTTAGCGGGTGCAATGATGCTAAATGAATGCATGAAATTTAAGTTGGATTCTGGAGGGCCTTTCACCTTTGCATACATTAACTTCATTTTTGTAATTGTGCGTCTATGGCTTCAATTAGCTTATTAAACATTTTTATTTGCTAGAAATACAATATAATTTTGTTCATTTCTAATATACTGAATGGAGATTGTTATAATATTTTGTTTCAGGTTTTGGGTATTTTACAGAGCTAAGCAAGATGGTCCTGTAGTATTGGTGAGAATTGATTCCATAGCTTAGCCTTGATATAAATGATCAAAAATTCATATTTGTGCTCTGTCTTCTAGGGTTGGAGGCATCCTTGGGAGGGTCATGATGACCATGGACATGGACACTAGGTACTAATTCTTGCTACTATTAGATGAACACATTATATATCACTTTGGCCAACTTTTAATAGATGAGATGTCAGTATGCTTTAAGTCAAATAATGGGGTTAAATGAGCTGATTAATTCTTTTCAAATTCTCCTGTGGCTGTGTGTGTGTTATATGTGTATCTGGTTAAATATGATGACAAATATAGATGAACATTTAGGTTGTTTGAAAAGCAAATAAAGCTTAAATATTTTTGTTGATAATGAGTCATGCCCTATGGGAAGGATATAGTGACCTATTCATGAACTCAATAGCTCAGCTAACCTTTGTGTCGGTGTAGCTGATAAGAGTTGCTGCATCAATGCAGAAATTGGTGAGAAGGACCTTTAATCATATCTCAGCTTTGTTGCCCGATCAAGATTTGGTATTTATGGGAATGGGAAAATGTTGCTCTTCTTAGGGAAGTTCAATGAGTTTGTCCCCCCCCCCCCTTGGGTATTTGATGGAATGGAATGTTGCTGCTTCTTAGGGAAGGTTCAATGGAGTTTGTCCCCGCCCCCCCCCAAAAACGAATACAAAAAAAAAAAAAAGGTTTAAAGTCCAAAAAAAAAAAAAAAAGGTTAAGTCTGCAGTTGGATTGCAATTAATGTTTGTTTAATATTTATTAGTGGGAAATGGAATTTCATGGACTTGACTAAAATATGGGAAGGGATAAGTAATTTCATGTCTTAATTGTTGAAATTTAATTTGTATAGGGCTCATTGTATGGAACTCGGTCAAGAAGTTAATGTTATTTGGATTTTTTTTTTCTTCTTATGTTTTTGTGGTCTGTTTCAAACTTTGGCACGAGATAGGAAACTGATGGATGCGCACAATATTTTCTATTATGAGAATGTAAAACCAAAGTAGAATTGTCATTCCATTTATTCTTGTTATTGCAGACAATGCACGGAAAAGCCAATGATGAAAGCATAAATGTTATTGGTGGCTGGGCGTAGGTACCAAATGTTATCTAGGCAGCTTTGTTTAGCTTCTTGTATTCAATAATGTCAACAAGAGATTATAGTGGGCATAATTTGATGAACTCAGCTGTTTTTCGACATGTTAAATTGTGAACATGGATTTGACTTTGCGTGTGTAATTGTCTCTACATTTTCCAGTTCTAATTTTTCTCGTTATGCAACTTAAAGATATGCATATACATAAGCAATTGGTATTTGGTACGCAACATAAAATAGGTATTCTGATTTCATTAATTTATTTAATGGAAAAAATAAAATTATATATTATCTCTCTGGAAAAATAAAAATTACCCATCGACTTGATATATATATAATATGGCTATATATATAGGTATATAGCTATAGTACCCTTGTACATATATTATGGGTTTTGTTTTGTTATATTACATTTTTTCTTCGAGGTTATTTTCTTTAATGATATATTTATGGGTTTTGTTTTGTTATATTACATTTTCTTCGAGTTTATTTTCTTTAATGTATTACAACAAGATTTTCAAAATTATTCTTTATGAGATTATTTTAAATGATAGTGAAAATTTGAAAAAAGGAAAATAAAGAAGAGCAATATGGTATTTTGGGAAAAATAAGGGCGTATTTGTATTTAAAAAAAAAAATAAAAAAGAGAAAAAGGTAGCGAGAAAACTCCGATCCCCTCTGAGGTATTCCTAAGTGAAACCGGCCCGCCTTACCTTTTTTATCACGAGAACTAATAATCAATTCGGTCTGGCAAGGTACCAGTATGGGCTATGACTGGCAATGACCATAGCAAAATGGGCTGGACTACGAGGCCTTAGGCCTTTCCAAACCAAACTGAGGTCTGCACTAGGCCCAAGTGGGACGTATAAGGACAACAGTGTTTGTCTTTTTGCCCTGGCAAACATTCACTTCCTGGAAGCTACTAAATTGATTCTTGAAATTAGAGACAAGGACGATTCATAGAGTTGCATTTGTTTAACAGGCGGCTAGCGAAGAGAAACAAAAATCTAAGTTAAACAAATATTAGATTATATGATTTCGCAAATAATTAAAATTAAATAATGGTTTAAAAAGATGATGAGCTGGTATGTCCGCCTTAAGTAACATTATACAACAGGAAAAAATTAAATTAAGATTCAAATTGCCTAATAACGCAGATATAGGAACACCTTCTGTTTTGCTTTTGTTCTCTAACCTCTCTAGTTTTGGCTCAGATTGCATTAGCATTACCTTTAATTGTCGGGCATCCAATGACCTCTTCTGTTGGCAATAAGGATAGCGAAGGATTTCATTAAATAGCAGCAAAAGATTCAGGCTATGTGGTTCACTTGAAGCTTCTTTATCCAACTCAACCTGAAAATGAATTCGCAAGAAACTGTCAAAAAAAGAAACAACAAAGAAAAGTCAATGATCTAAAACAAAAAAGAAAATAGATTTCTAGTTCTTTTTTCCTTTAAATATTTATTGATTGAATGGATAACATGGTTAGTTAATGGCGATACGATATACAGACAGGTAGACTTGGAGAATCAGGAGACGTTAATTTCTATCATAGCCTGGTTTTTTCGATTCAGCAAAGTATTCATTCCGAATGGGATGTTTGGATTTCTCATATTTATAGAGAAGCCAATTGTTATACGAATTTGTTGGTTACTTGGTGATATTCTCTTACGGTTCATACTCCTTCTCTTGGCTTATCGATTTGGATAATGTAGCTGTATAGTTAGCTTTCCATTGAGCTTTTGCTACCCTTAACTTCCTTGTAATGCTTAAGGAACAGCAATTATAATAAATGCAAATAGGGGCTGCCATACTTTATTACAATAAATTGGGTTAAACATGATGATACATATTATCGAAAATGAAAGGTTAATTATATTTAGCTTAAAGAAATCAATTCCTTTAAAAAGTTAAAAGTAAGGAATGTTTTATATCCTAATTGTTAAGTACATTAAGAAGTAAAACCCTAGTTTGGATCAAACGCCTGAATATGCACTCTAATTCCATTTCAAGATCTTCAATGGCAATTTCCACCGCTTCCAATCTCTTATTCGCACTCTGAAGTGCCGTTTCGTCACAAAATTCATACAGGCCGTTTCGACAACTCGAGCTAATAAAGAACTTCGATCTGATCAAAGACACTCTACTCGATTTCTGATCCAACCAAGGAATAGAAATGAGAGACGATAAAGACTCAACAATGGAGATAGTTGTTACTCTCACTTCTCTTAGAACCTGTAAAACAACCATAAGCTCATGATCAACATTAGGTATATCTGATTTCGTCTTCATTCCGTTAAGTGACCGGAGACATTTTAAAGTCTCCTTCCTTAGTTTCTTTCTATAGTGATTATACGTTGCTATCTTTGCATTAATATTTGGCTCGCTAAATATTTTCCTGCGCAGAGTGAATTGTAGGTCTAGAAGATGCTGTTTAACGAGTAAGAGAACATCTCTAGAAATGCCACAAACGTCTAACATTGTAAGAGATGATTCGCAGACTTCATTAACCCATTTTTCTTGTTCCTTATGGACAAGAACTTGTTTAATTTCCGGCGAGTGGAGGAGATCGTTGGCAGAGTTGTGCAAGTCCCTGAGAGCATTGAAATTAGGGAACAATGTCATTCTTTTCCCCTCTCTTTTTCGTTAAAGAAACAGAAAGAAGTAGTATAAGTTACTGAAGAAGAATACAAAAAAATAGGGTTTGAGGAGATATAGCAAGCAATAGGCAATAGAGTCTATATCACTAGGTATTGGGTTTTTATAGGAAAAACCAAATGACAGAGTTTATCAAGACTTTAGATCTCAAACCTTAAGAAAAAAAAAATGTAGCTGAAGTATCCTTTTTTGCACGGACATGGGGTTGAGGTAACAAAAAAATGTCGCAAGGAAGGTTCCATTTGATAAAAAAAAAAAAAGAGTTGTTAAGATATGGTTTAGACTGATATGGCGAGGAATGCATGCATGAGGGTGGAGGTGCTAGCTGCCGGTGTTAAATATGTACAAGACCACAGCCAGACCAGACAAAGTAGAGTTTACTAAATATGTATGCAAGTTATAAAAAACTAAAAGGACAGTTTTTTTTCTACAAGGTATGAAGACTGACTTATTAACAACTGGAGATGCTTTTGTTTTCTCTTGACAGAACAAGGGATCTGAGATTAAGATCCACTTTTCTAGTGTACTGAAGCTTCTCTGAAATTCTTCTGAAGGTTCTTGGAGATATATACACACACACACACTGCAATAAGATGAATGTGAGAATAAGATGCATCTTAAAAAATATCAAAGCTAATTCCATTTAGGAAACTTCCATCTAAATACTTAATTTATTATAAAAAAAAATTTCGGATTTAATATTTATAGTTAAAAGCAATAATTAACTCGTAAGAGTGGCTCAATTTGGTAGATAATTTATGTAAATTATGTCAATATGTGAAAAATATTTATGAAAATGGATAATGAAGAATATTAAAATAAAATTAGTCTTGTACTAAAAAAGGATGTAATGTAAAAATATTTACAAACAAAACAATATTAAATGTTTTCTTTTTTTTTATTTAAAAAAAAAGTCTATATATTGTTGAAGGATAAAAATTTTGATTGTAATAAAAATTATTTGGCAGCAATAACACGAGTGAAATTCTTTTCAACTTAATTAGTGTCGAATCAAATTCCCCACCTGAAAAGTTAAATCACCAACAAAATTCATCTAATTCCTACCTAACTAGTTTATTTGTTTTGTCATTTCTGTCCAACGTAGTCAACTAACAACAGTTAAGATGTTTGTATTCTTTTGATTATTGTATGTAGTTTCAACATTGGTGTCACTTATAGTCAACATCGCCATTTCAATTGGTGCATAATTTCAAGTTCGAAATTGAAAAAAATTAAATAAACAAAAACCCGCACTTTGAAATTAAAATATAATATAATAAAATAATCCAGCCTTCGTTACTTTTAAAATTAATGTGATTAATAAAGAGCAGACATAAAAAAAGAAAAAAAGGTCTAACCTCTGTTTAAGGTAACAAGTCTGGTAGTAATCAATTGCAAATAGCTTCTCGTGTTTGAAATTCTTGGCTTTTGAAGACAGATTATGTTCAAGTGACTTCATACTCGTACACATAGGGCTACCTGGTTGAGAGGTAGATGAAAAGGTTCCATAAAACCATTAATTAATACTTTTTGTACTAAAATATAAATATTTAAAATTTTTACATAAAGATTGAAAAAATAATTTATTTTTTAAAATTATAATAAAATTATTAAATTATTTTTTATATTAAAATTAATAGTTATTTGTGAAAGTATTTATTATATTTAATATAAATAAGATAATAGTTATTTGTGAAAGTATTTATTATATTTAATATAAATAAGATAATATTAAAAAAAATATTATTTATATTTTTTGAAATATTTAAAATAATTTATATTCTAAGACAGAATAATTATTTAAAATCGAATTATATTTTAGAAGGGAGAGAATCGTAATTGCAGAGATATACTTTTGTTATCCGACCAGTAAATGCATGACTAGTCGTTGTAATGCTTATCACATTATTGCTGCCCTTTGAAATTTTGTGAATTGGAGGAATGGTACAGATAGTAACATTATGCCGCCTTATAAACAAAACCACACGTGACGTTTAAACCAGTAAAAAATTTTTAATTTTTTAGGGCTGTAATAATATTTAAAATTATAAAAAATCACATTTGCTACCAAAAAAATGTAAAAAATGCATAAAAATAAAAAATTATTTTCTAGTAAATTATTTTTTAGAAAGAAATAAAAAATTATTACTTTATTTAGGCTGATGCATATAAATCTCTTTTTTTAGTAAATTTACAATAAAAATTTCTAAGAGAAAAGAAATTTAAAATTGAAATTCGATTGTTTTACACTAAAAGGTAAAAATTGGATTATTGAATCACGGAGGGAAGCGGCATTGAGTCACAGCTCATTGCTCATAAACAACTGGTTGCTCCAAATGGCCAGGACAAAGTCACCAAAACAGGACAAACCAGTGCTCAGAAAGTCAAGTCCACACCATTTGAATGGGCTGAAAGTTTTTGGGCGCCTACCCTACAACTAGGCCTAGTCAATCAAACTTACTTTGTGCATCAATTTGTCAATGACTTGTCACTTTTGAACCATTATAACAAAAACCCACCTCCCATAGACATACAGTGGCATTTTAAAATACCACCTATACCCTTTTCTTTTTATTCCATTTTTTAAAATTTCCTATTAGTAGATCCACACTTTTTATATATAAAAAAAAGATTAATTTCGTTTTGTGATTCATAATTACCCCTCTCAGTAGATAATTTTACCATAAATTGAACTTTTAATCTTATATTAAAAGTAGTTAATCAAATTCAAATCGTCTGATCGTTTTTACCATTATTTTTGAATTCATTTGAAAATATTTATATAACAAATCGAACTGATTAAGGTCATTTTCTTTTGAAATTCTATTTAATCCTAGACAGTTGTACACGTAAAGACTTGCTTTTTCAATCAACGACTGTGCCCTTAGCTTAACAAGAGTACTGTATGTGCAAGAAAGTAATTAAAAAAAATGCCACGTCAGACTACTACTTGTTTCGACATGTCCAAATCACCACATAAAATTTAATTAACTACATATTCACAAAAAGTCAAGCAATTTATTCTTCTCCAAGTGTCCATAAACTCATAGGACATCGTCCAAAAACAATTGCGTGCCTTAGGTGAAGACTATCTTTTCATGAGAACTTTCTTGGAAGATTAGTGTGTACACGTACATTGATTAGTACTACTAATTACTTTTTCTAATCTTTGACTAATTGACCAAAAAAAAGAAAAAGACAAGGAGTAGTTGACTAATTTATTGTCTTAAATATATTCATCCAAACAATTTCTGTTAATAAAAGCTACTTTGCTTAATTACATTAAATTAAAGATGGTGCGAATTAATTAACAAAGCCCTCCTTTCTTTTTCACTTGACTGTTGCAGGTTGGAAAAGTTGGGTGGAACTGTCATTTCAAAAGCAGAATAATTGACAACCGCCTAATTACTCATCACAATCCATGGTATCTGGTACGATTTGTATATAGCATTTGATACATTTGAAATTTATATTGTAATTTGTTTTTTTTATTGCATTTAATTAGTCTTATATAGTATTTTCTATTAAAATATTATTAAAATTATCTATTTATGTTTTGTGCAATAAAAACTATCCTTGTTTCATACCAAAAATATAAATGATATCAACTGAAGTTCCTTATCCCTTGCACGTGTGATGTGGTGGCATACAGCCCACAACGAAAGAGGACTATCACGTGCATCGAGTACCTTACATCAGAAAAATTTTCTTTATCTCGCCAACCCTTGTGGCGGACTAACCCTTTTTAGTGGATGGGCCCTTCTTCTTGAACCTTTCTATTAGAATGGTCAGCTGCTTTTTTTAGCCCACGAACAGTCAACAAACGGGTGTGTATTATCATTGAAGATTAATGTAATTTACACATAAGCAACGATTAAACTATTAAATATTAATTATTCATAAGAAACTGAAATAATAAATAAAATGCTTTTTATTTTTTTTGTGGCTGTTTGCATTAATGGCTATGAGTATGAGGGTGTGGCTTGATTATAGCTGATGCTTTAATCCGTAAATTGTCTTACTAAACCAGTGTGAGACGACAGTGCGTGTAGCGGCAGAGACATAATTGATTGGGCTACTGTGTCGTTGTCCTTTTGCTGCCTCCATAAATAATGACCATTTTTAATTACAGAATGTGTTTCTGCGTTTTGATTATTAATAATTGCTCACCCAGAAGCCTAAATACTGTTCTACAAATAAACTTCCGATTTCGTAGTATAGATTTCTCTTTTGCCCCAAGTAATAAGTTCTCAGTTATTATATTCTATTATTGCTGAATAGCCTCAATCAAAGAGAGTAGAGTCCAGATACAGTGGAAGCACCCTATCATCAATTACTATTGTTCCTCCACTTATTTCTTTATTTTTACATTGATAATATTTTATTTTTTCAGTTTATACACGCGTTTGAATGTGATATTCAGATAAATGCTTGGAAAGTGTAGGAGAGTGACGAGTGGTTAAAGTCACTTCGATGTTAGAGTTTTTGTCTCGACCTTTCATAAGTGTCTCTACGCCTGTGAAAGGTACCATTAGTTGCGTTATTGTAATCTTAGTTGCCTCGATATAATACTTGATATATAAATGAGAATTTTGCTCCTATGTGCGATGTTCTGCTATTTTGTTATGTGTTACTCGATGATACTTGAATTGTTTTTATATATATCGGTATTATGTTGTTCTAACATCTATTATTAGCGTGCAAATAACTAATTAATATTCTTGGTTGGCTTGTTTAAGGGTGTACCAAGCAAGCACTGCACGGTGTGGTCTTGGTGCGTGATACGGGATCGTGACATTTGGTTGCTGACTTTAAATTTCTAATTTGAGTGACGAAAGTTCGACTAAGAATATATAATCGGTCAAACAAACCTAATATTTACCAGCAACAACTCATAAAACAAAATATATTATATAATGCAAAACGAAATCCTTGCGGGAATAAAAGATATTGATAAAACTCAAAAGATTATTAAGTAGCATTTTGAAATCGACAATTCGAAATTTAAAAGCATTGACCAATTTTAATGTATCCCGTACTGTGGACTTGCTGAGCTGGCGGAGGACGTGGACAGAAATTAGAGGATTAAAAAAAAATTAGGGAAGCTGAACCGGAACGCATTCGACCACATAAGCTGAGCAGAGTGGAAAATAACGCGTACCTTGTCGGCGAATTTGGTAAAGGCTAAAGCCATACGCTTTCAAGTTATTATTCCACGTGGCGTAACAGGATTCCACGGGTGACAAAATTATCCTGCTTTTATTTATTTATTTATTTTTTTTTTTTGTTGAGGGATCTCCTATTCCCTCCTATATATAAATGGATCCACGTTTACGTGTTGGTATTGGCTCCTCATTTGGTAAAAGAAATTTATATAATTTTATCTAAAGAAAAAGAATTTGTAGTTTAACAAATAGAAACCAAAACGATAGAATTAGCATTTAGCAGGGGATATGGAGGAGAAAAGAGGAGTAGTGAAGTCAAGATTCAAAAGAGTCTGTGTCTTTTGTGGGAGCAGTACTGGCAAGAAAGATTGTTATAGAGATGCTGCTCTTGAACTGGGCAAAGAACTGGTACCTCATTTTTTCCTTTCAATTAACTATTTCTTCAAAGCTTATTCAGGGAATACAGATTCAGTTTCTATATTCAAAATCCAAACATAATTTCCTTCAAAGGTCTCAAGGAGGTTAGATCTCGTTTATGGAGGAGGAAGTGCTGGATTGATGGGCTTAGTATCTCAGGAAGTCCATCGCGGAGGAGGACATGTATTAGGGTAAGTAAAATACTGCATAAATACTCCAGATTGATTATTTTTCTTGCACAAATTTACATATTCCATATATATCTGATTTTTTGCCCTCCATTTTTTGTTCCTTGTTTGTTTCAGAATCATCCCCAAAACTCTGATGAGAAAAGAGGTAACTAAAACGAATAATATCAACAAAAATAGAATTATCACGTTGATGGGTTTGCTTCCTTTTTATGGTTATTAGATGTGCGAATAAGGTATAACATCAACAAGCGGTTTGCTTTTATTAAACAGATAACTGGAGAAACAGTAGGAGAGGTCAGACCAGTAGCCGACATGCATCAAAGGAAAGCTGAGATGGCCCGCCATTCTGACTGTTTTATTGCCTTACCAGGTCTCTTTCTCTCACACACTGCCTTTGGTATCAATATAATAATAAATGTAATGTAAGTTATCTTATTGTTATGTTTGTGTATAATAATAAGTAGGTGGCTATGGAACTTTGGAGGAGTTATTGGAAGTCATTACATGGGCCCAGCTTGGCATCCACGACAAGCCAGTAAAGCAACTTCGTGTCTCTAACATCTGATTAGATAATTTTCTTTTCTATTTTCCTAAATTAATTAGTCTAAAGTCAACTCTTAATTCTGTCCTTATAAACAGGTAGGTTTGCTTAATGTGGACGGCTACTACAATCTCCTACTAACCTTCATAGACAAGGCTGTGGACGATGGCTTCATTATGCCTTCTCAACGTAGCATTATTGTCTCTGCCCCAAATGCCAAAGAGCTTGTTCAGAAACTCGAGGTTCGTTGGTTCCTTAATCCATTGAGATTATTCTTTTAATTAAGATTGCCCTTTCTTTTTTAATTTTGTTCTTTTAAATATCTTTTATTCTATCAGGATTACGTGCCTCTGCATGATGGAGTTGTTGCTAAGGCTAAGTGGGAGGCTGAACAAGTGGAGCTTAATGCACGTTTGCAGATTGAAATTGCTCGTTAGCTAGGGACCATATAACAAGGTCTTGTTATCTTTTTATCTTATCTTTTTTTTTTTTTTTTTTTAAGTGGGAGGCTGAACAAGTGGAGCTTTATAATGCACGTTTGCAGATTGAAATTGCTCGTTAGCCTAGGGACCCAATATAACAAGGTCTTGTTTATCGTTTTTTATCTTTTTTTTTTTTTTTTTTTTTTTTTTTTTTTTTTTGGGGTGGGGGGTGGTGTTAGGATTTTCTACAAGTAGATAATGTACGTAACTAGGGTTTTTTCTCCTTTTCAATTTTGTATGAATTGTTCTAGAAAGGGGAAGGAGAATTAACTACTAATAGTATCTGTTTAACTCTATTTTATGCAGTGGAAAGAAAATAGCAAAATGTTATTTTCTTTCTGATGATGAATTCTATTATTTATGTAATTAAAGAAAGGCAATGGAAAGAAGGAAAAAAAAAAAAAAAAACAAGTAGGAAAAACAAAAATTAGCAGCTTTTTATTCACTCTTGCATGCCTGCATGACCAATCTCTCGCTGCTCTGCTGTACTGTGCTATTCTTTTATCTCTCTCTCTCTCTCTTTCTCGGCCATTCAGGCTATTGGTTTGGTACATGTATGGATATGTTTCACTTTAACACTTGCTCTGAGTTCTGTGACCCTTCAAGGGCCGTGGACCCATCAAAACTTAAATATATGATCACCTATCCATTGATTAAGAAGTGGGGGAGAATCAATTATTTTTTTATTTTCGTACCTTTTATTTGATATATTCTTACATGCAAAAGAGACGCTAATTTGTATTTTCTTTTATAAATACTGGGAGGGAGGAATCCATTGCATTATGTGTTCTTGGTGGAGCCCTAAAAAAATTGTTATTTTTAGTGTAAAAAGGTGTGAAATTACTATAAAATATATATATATTTTTTTTGGTTTCTTCGATATAAAAATTCGGAAGATAAATTAAAAAAAAAAAAAAAAATTTTTAACAAATTATACATTATTTCTAAATTCATTGAATAAATTATGTCTTCACCTTGACTAAAATGTAGCATCAATTCTAGAACATGACATAACAGGGGTATGGGTAATGAGTAGTTTGAAGTTTGAGGAGTCTTTCCTATGGAGTGGGGGATACTAATTAATATGCTATGGTCCCTACAAGTGACGTAAATTACGAAATCAATTTTCCTAATGTTTGGGTGCCATTTTCCTTCCTCCCTTATCTAGTTCGGTGGGCCCATCAAAGCACTGATCTTACGATGTACCACGACTTCTTATTCATCATCCGCTCATTCCATTCATGTCTTTCTTTCTTTTTACATTTATGGAAGCAACATTCAATTTTTCATTCCTCTATCATTTATCATTACCTTTTCACATAGGTGTCTTTCTTTTTTATATATTCCCACACGTATCTTCTTACATGTCAAACCTCGGAAAAGACTTGTCTGGATATAATCATTTATACATCAAATTAATTATGAACGGTATTTTTTCTTAAATAGATTAAAAAAAAAAGACAATGTAATAATATTTATTAAATTTTTTTTTAATTAGCTTGGTGCATAGTATAAAATGTCCTCAAATGTATATGCATATTAAGGTTGAATTACAATACTCTCTAATGTAGATTTATAATTTATTTTTTTAAAACAATAATTTATTGATGGTAAAAAAAAAAAAAATGTATGTTTATTATTTCTTTTACTTCACTCACATAAAAAATAAATAGATATATATAAACTTTCTTCCATAGAATATACAAACTTTCTGAAATATGACTGTGAAATTGGTGGGAAAGAACAAAAGAAAATGCAAAGTTGGAGGACAATGCAGTGCATGCGATATAGGATCCATGTAACAAGTTGATTCAGATTGGTCGACTGTAATATTGGAAAACAAATAGAGAAAGGAAGACAAAAGGAATAATAATAAAACCCAGTCTCTGTCAGTTTAAGAGGAAAAATTGGAAAAACAATTTGCAGCAAATACTTGGAGGGCGGTGTTCATATAATGGTCCCTCTCTTCCCCAGTCACCTCACCTTCTTAACTCTTTCCTTGCTTTCCTATTCAGACAGTTACATTGTTGGCTTTGTATTAATAAGCATATTTGGCATAAACAACGTTATTTCACTGTAAGAAAGAAGAAATAAGAGGCGATGAATACTGTAAACACTACATGAAAAGCTGTTGCTAAACAAGTTCCAAGTTCGAAGCATATGTCTTGGCGAATTATCAATTTCAAGTGGTAGAAGAAGAAGAAGAAGAAGAAGAAGAAGAAGAAAGCATATGTCTAGTCTCCTGAATTTTGATTAGGTTTGTGATAGATCAGTGTGAAACAAACTTGGACGTGACTTACGGTTCTGGTAACAAGCCCTTGATTTCTAATTGTACGATTTGGGCCCCAGATTTTGAGTTATGGACTATACTGGTCCACGGTACAGAAAGATAAAGGCCCAATAGTAATAACGATGGTGACTGATCGAATAGAGAAGGGTTGCGTTTGCTTGGTGGGGATTCGCCTATCATAACCGCAAAGGAGTTCAATCAATTCTTTAGCTAATTCGGACCCATCTATAACGTGCTGCGTCCAGTAAAATTATTATAATTTGTTCTTCCATGACCGTTCATGGCGGATTTCTGTAAAGACAGACAGACAAAAAAAAAAAAAAAAAAAAAAATTGTTCTTCCTGACCGTTCATGGCGGATTTCTGTAAAGACAGAACAGAACAAAAAAAAAAAAAAAAAAAAAAAAAAAAAAAAAAAAAAGGAGATTTTGAGATAGATTTCTTCATTTCAATATATTCATATCGAGTTTGATACAACTTTCAGTATATGTATATATATAATTGTGATTTACATTTAGTAGTTAAGCATGTTAAGGAGAGAAACTCTGTTTTTTAATAACTGCCTATAGACACACTCCAATTCTTCCTCCATTTGTTTGAAGTTAGACTCTAGTGCTTCTAGTCCCTTCATTACATTTTCCATTTCTACAATGTTGAGTGTCTTGCCAATCATAGCAAGCAATTCTGTTTCTATCTTTTCAACTTCAATGGAATCATCTTGTCCTTGGCATGAAATCTGCTTGGGTTCCAGTAATTTTGAGACTATAGACCATTTACCCGTTCTTGATCTTGCTTTAGGTCCAAAGATAGTAGATAAGAGTGATCCAAACACTGTGAGGCAAATTTCTTCAACTTCTTTTAGCATTCTAACCGCAATAGCCAATTCCGAGTCCTTATCTAAAGGCAATTTTGAGCAGTTACTTTCCATTTTCTTCAAATTTCCAAAACACTTGGAAATTACTTTATTCAATCTTTTTCTGGAGTTCATATAAACATGAACTTCATTTTGCATGCTCGAATCTGCGCCTCTTTTTCTCCTCAGAGAAGATTCAAGCTGCTGGACGCATTCCTTCATTTGTGACAAAACATCTCTTGTAGCGCTGCACATATCAAGTAAACGTAGAGATCCATCTACCATTTCCTCTAAACATTTATCTTGATGTTGGCGAGCAAAAGCCTGCTGGGCGAGTGGCAAGAAATCATCTACTCTCTCGTATAAATATTTGAGGCCACTTAATTTATAGCATACTGATTCTGATGCTTTCAGCCTGATCAACTGCTCCTCAACGCTTGCAGCTAGAGGATGAGTTTTGGAAGGCAAACTGCTGGAACGAACATGGCTAGTGGTTTTAGAGATTTGAACAAAGGCAGACATCTTTTTTCTTTTCTTTTCTGCAAGAAAAAAACGAGTTCTTGAATTCTGAAATGCACTTGGTATCGGACCAAGTATATATATATATATATATATATATAGCAGAAACTAGTTGCAATTTTTAATATTGCAATGTCTTAGAATATGAAGCTGCACGAGGGGAGAGGCACCCTGACTCCCAGACAGAGCCAACCTTATAATTTGATCTGAATTAATAAAGCAGATTGAGCAAATCTCCATATCAGGCAGGAAGAATCTGACAGCCTGTTGCTCAATTTTAAATTCCTGTAAACCGTGTGATTGATCAGATCTTGATCAATAATAGTAATAATTAACAAGAAGTCAACTATCTGATGAGAATTCATGGGACTGAGTTATAATCAAACTTTAGCTGTATGCAACTGCAGCAAGATTTACTGTCTGGATTATATATATGAACACAGTTTCTTTTTCCTTCTGGCGGCCAATAGCAACAGATCAAAGTAGGAGAAATTTAAGATTTAAAATTAATTTTTTCTAAGCTGGTAATTATTGGCCTTCTAGAATTTTACCTTTTTTCCGGTCTATAAAAAAAAAAAAAAAAAAATTTTTTTCCGGTCTAAGTAAAGAAAAAAAAAAAAAAACATTCATGTAGAAATTTCACATCACATATATTTTCTTGAATAATATAGATCTACAACACCTGACTCACTTTTTGAATAGTATTTAAGTTGGAGTTTACTAAAAGAAACACGTTAAGAAACGAAAAACGAAATGTTAATACATGTTCTAAAATACAAGCTTGATTATTTGAATGACAAAGCAGGCACGATCATCTAGTATGAGAGTAATGGAATGTGTTTGATCAATGTGTTTTATATAGAGATGTGGTGAATGTATGACAGGAATAAAGAGTTGAAGAAATTGAACTCTGCTAAACTGTATATATACTACGTATTGTAATAAAAAATTGAAGACAAAGATATTGAAAAGAGAGATTAAAAATGCAAAAAGAGATGATATTATGGTATAATTCAAATGAACAAGAGTCTGTGGAGCAGCGACGCTGACAGGATCCGACGATAGCAGATGATATCAGAGATCATATCATATGCACGGTACTTACGTTCCTGTGTGTGTGTGTAACCACTAACTCACTTAGTATTGTAATAGTACGAATGAGGTATGAGGCTTTAGCTTGGAGACAGTGACGATAGCAGCTTTGAATTCACATACTCGAGAGCGAGCTGTAAGCAGTCGGTTAGATGATAAGATAATGGCGCGATGGATTACCAGGCTCGGTTAAAAGCAACTACAAGAATTGTTTTACAAAAAAAAAAAAAAAAAAAAAATTCATTAGAAAAATTTCACATACATAATATTTTCTTGAATATATATACACACACACTTTTGATAGTTAATTGGATTACTAAAAAGAAACAGTTAAAGAAAAACAGATAATCATGTTCTAAAAGATTTTGTTTGTTGGATTTTCATTTGCTTGTAAGAATTTTGAAGAAATTGAACTCTCTACGTATTGTATAAAAAATTTTGAAGACAAAGATACTTGAGAAGAGAGATTATGCAAAAAGAGATGAATATTATGGTATATTCAAATGATTTGGATACAGTTATGTGTTTGTATATATAGTTAAAACAACTACAAAATTGTTTTACAAAATAGTATTGAAAGGACAATGGGAAATGAATTCCAAACTTCCCATATGAGAAGATCAACAACTAGCTACTGGTTGATCATGTTGAGAATGGTAACTCTGGTGTTCAGTAATTTCCTGTAAACACATTCCAACTCTTTTTCTGCTTCTTGAATGCTTGATTCTAATGCCTCCAATCCTTTCAATATTATTTGCACTTGTTCAAGATTGACGTTTTTAATTGATTTGACGGCTAGTAATTCAGCATCTATCATTTTCACTTCATTGGAACCAACTTGTCCTTTGCATAATGCACGATCGGATTGCAATAACTTTGAAACAATCGACCAGCCACTAGGCCTTGATTTGGTTTTTGGTTGAGATAGCATAGATAAAAGAGACTCACAAACTGAAACACTGATTTGCTCAACTTTTCTTAGGGTTCCAATTACAGCTACTGCATTGGAGTCCTTGTCCAAGAGTGTTGAAGAAGAATTGTTTTTTGAGCTCTTCAAATTTCTGAAACATTTGCTGATTACTTTATTAATTATTTTCCTTGAGGAAATATATGCTTCTACTTCATTTAACAGGCCAGTTTCCCCGCCTTTTCTCCTTCGGAGGGAGGATTCAACCTCCTTCAGGTATTCCTTCATTTGTGAGAAAATATCTATGGTGGAACCACACACATCTAACAACCTCAGAGATCCATCCAACACCTCATCTACTGATTTGCGATTCTTTTCATTGGCAAGTGTTTGTTGGGTTAGAGGTAATTGAAGCAAATCATCAATGCTTTCATACAGATTTTTGAGGCCATTCAACTTGTCGCACGCCGATGACTGTGTTGCTTGAGATGATCTCAATCTGTCAATTTGCACCTCAGCGCTCAAAGTAAGAGGATGAGATCTTGCGGGCAAGCTGATGGAACGAACATGGCAAGTAGCTTTACCAGCTCCGATAATGGCAGCCATATTCTCTTTTCTTTGGTAGAACAGAACTTTTCCCTGATGAGTTTAGAAAGAAGTAGTTGAAGCTTAATTCTCTATCTCATTTGTATCATATATATAGAAGACAAAATAGCAATGGCAATCCCATTCCTTGGAGACTTGCTTTTGCTGGCATTGTCTCACATCAACAAGACAAATGCCTCTAAGAAAATGCTGGTTGATTATAAAATTGACAAGCACGAATGGCTTGCCCCCATGTATCCTAGACATTGGGATTATCATCATCACACCATGTACAGTGCATCCCGGAATCTTTTCATGTGAAATGTGCACATCTCCATTTAATTTGTAATGGAATTCTTGGGGCCATTAGATAAATTTTTTTTTGTTCTTATGATAATCAAATGACTAATTACATAATTGAGTTTTATGACAAGCTTGTTTCCTACTTAATCGACATGCTTTGATAATCAACGTAGATAAGAAATATTTTATCAGTCATGTACCTCTTCCACGTCTCACAACCTGTCGAAAATTAATGCTTATCTTGAAACGTGTTTCCTGCAACTGTGCCCAGTGGGTGGTAGCAATTGGAATCTTGAAGAGTCTTTGTATTGTTTCATCTAAATTCGACATAACACACATGCAAAGCAGATAATTATCAATATATCTATGAACAGAAAGAGCAGATAACTCGTGTTTGCATGTGAAGCTTATAATTATTATCTGTTGGTCATGTCTGGGATGCTTGGAGACACTCTACACAAGTTTCGTTTAGTTATAATGAATGAGCACAGTGTAACTAGGACAATTGTGGATCTACATTTATTATAAGCTTTCTTTTGTCAAAGAAAAAGAGAAGATGGCTGCCGTGATTGGAACCTCTAAATTACTCGCCATGTTTGTTACATCAGTTTGCCTGCAAGATCTAATGTCGGTGCCTGGTGGAGGGTAACGGAACTGATTGGGGAATAAATTTAATAGGTGTTTAAGTCTGTTCATAAATTCTTGGTCTCTTTTCTGCGACTGTATGAAAGGTCCCCAAACAGAGGCAACAGATTGGAGAAAGATTGTCCTTTCTTTTTTTTTTTTTTGACTAAAAACCAAGCACATACACACTATATATATGCATTTTTTCTATTTTTCCCTTTCTAATCTCGTCCCTCATGAAGTGGGTTAAGATGCTTGCATTGCAATGCCACAGTTAGTCCTTCCTTGCCGTCAATGGAGTCTTGGCAGTCATAACTTGATGGAGTTGGAGCAATCTCGTTATTTGTCTATCTCATTGTTGCTTTGCACGGGTAGTTTTTAAACGATAACCATTGTGATCCAACGACAGTTCGTGAAGTGTGAGAATAATTGAAACGGGCCTTGTACTTTAACAATTGGGCCAGGTTTATTCTAACAAAGAATGACTTGTTTGGTTGGGCTAATATATTTTAACTATAAATAAAAACAGGACAATCTCTATTAATTTTGGGCCATTCCCTTTCATCTTTGTCTTCACAGCCCAAGCCCTTATGCATTTTTTCCCCCTTTTCTCAGAAAAATCGTTGAGAAATTCACCTAAACCTGTAGTGTAGAAACCAGAAACTTCCTTCAGGCTCTCCTGTCAAATATCTCAGTTATTTTCTAATTTTTGAAGAAAAATAAATTTCAAGGCTACCTCTTTGCCGTCACTCCCCCTAAATTGTAGAATTATAGCAAAAAAAGCAATGGCTGGAGGTTGCAATATCCACGTACGAGCAACCCAAGCAACGCCAAATATATGGCAAGCATTAAATCAACTTAGCTTACAAAAAAACTCCAACTTAAACAGCCTCTGTAACATCAAAGATACCAACTTTTTACCTTTCATTCACACACACTATTTTTTATGGTACATCTTTTTTCTAATGATATGAACTGAATTAAATTATTGTTTTTCCTATCTCCACGCCAGCAATCCAACATTCTACAATTGGATAGTGAAGAAGATAATATATAAAAGAAAGCTAAGATTGCATAAGCAAAGCAAAGAGCAGAGCTAAACATGGCATCGATTACCAATCCTTTGCTCTCTTCAAATTTCTTTGGTTCAAAAATCCTACTTTCTCCTCCAACTCCAAAAACTACTAAATCACCATTTCTTTTCCCTTTGTTCTCTACAAGAAAGTCTCAATTAGCTCAACCTATTCTCAACAAAAAACAGCCTATTTCAGATTCTTTGAAATCAATCCCATCACAAGCCACTTTGGCTGCTTTGCTCTTCTCTTCGCTAACCCCACAAGCGTTAGCCCTAGACAATTCTACTGTACCGACGCCACCGCCTGTAATCGAAGCCCAACCCACCAAACCCAGCGCTTCCAATTCCTCTCCTTTCTCTCAAAATCTTCTTCTCACAGCCCCAAAACCCCAATCCCAATCTACTACTGACCTTCCTGAAGGCACTCAATGGCGATACAGCGAATTCCTCAATGCAGTCAAGAAGGGCAAAGTCGAGAGAGTTCGTTTCAGCAAAGATGGTTCTGCTCTACAGCTCACCGCCGTAGACGGCCGCCGTGCTACCGTCATTGTTCCTAATGACCCTGATCTTATCGATATTTTAGCTATGAACGGCGTCGATATCTCCGTATCCGAAGGAGATTCCGGCAATGGTCTTTTCAATTTTATTGGAAATCTTTTATTCCCATTCCTCGCTTTCGCTGGATTGTTCCTCCTTTTCCGCCGGGCACAGGGCGGTCCTGGAGGACCTGGCGGATTAGGCGGGCCCATGGATTTTGGAAGGTCGAAATCGAAATTTCAAGAAGTGCCAGAGACTGGTGTTACATTTGCTGATGTAGCAGGAGCTGACCAAGCAAAATTGGAACTCCAAGAAGTTGTTGATTTCTTGAAGAACCCGGACAAGTACACAGCTTTAGGAGCCAAAATTCCAAAAGGGTGTTTATTAGTAGGGCCACCTGGAACAGGTAAGACTTTGTTAGCTAGAGCAGTAGCTGGAGAGGCAGGAGTGCCGTTTTTTTCATGTGCAGCTTCAGAGTTTGTGGAGTTGTTTGTGGGAGTGGGAGCATCAAGAGTCAGAGATTTGTTTGAGAAAGCCAAAGCAAAGGCTCCTTGCATTGTATTTATTGATGAGATTGATGCCGTAGGAAGACAGAGAGGAGCTGGTCTTGGAGGTGGAAATGATGAGAGAGAGCAGACTATTAATCAGTTGTTGACTGAAATGGATGGATTTTCTGGTAATTCAGGTGTTATAGTGTTGGCTGCCACTAATAGACCTGATGTTCTTGATTCGGCTTTGTTAAGACCTGGAAGGTTTGATAGACAGGTTACTGTCGACAGGCCTGATGTTGCTGGTAGAGTTAGAATACTCCAGGTTAGCGCTCATGCACAACCTTTTCTTTATTTATATCAATACTTGTCATGCTTGATCTGGTTTAGTGCTTGGCCCCACATTAAACACCTGCTAGTTTGCTGTATTCAGTATGTTTCTTTTTGCTGAAACTGGGTCTCCATTTCAAACTAATAGAGCTGAATTATGTTCGAAAAATATTGCCTTTATTTAACCTCTGCATGCTCAACTTGTTACTTCTGTAAATGGGCAGGTTCACTCAAGAGGGAAGGCCCTTGCAAAGGATGTGGACTTTGAAAAGATTGCACGGAGAACCCCAGGATTCACTGGAGCTGACTTGCAGAATTTGATGAATGAAGCTGCCATACTTGCAGCTAGGCGTGACCTTAAAGAAATTAGCAAAGATGAGATCTCTGATGCTTTGGAAAGGATCATTGCCGGACCAGAGAAGAAAAATGCGGTTGTCTCAGATGAGAAGAAGAAATTAGTTGCCTATCATGGTAGACAATGCTAATGTCCTGTTTTTCTCTAGCTGCTTGCTATTTTGTAGGACTTGATTCAGGAAGCTAACTGTGTCTGTTGCCATCCAAATTTCAGAGGCTGGTCATGCTTTGGTTGGTGCACTTATGCCTGAATATGATCCTGTGGCCAAGATATCCATCATTCCCCGTGGTCAAGCTGGTGGTCTTACATTTTTCGCTCCAAGTGAGGAGCGGCTTGAGTCTGGACTGTACAGCAGAAGTTACTTGGAGAATCAGATGGCTGTTGCATTAGGTGGAAGGTTGGTTACTGTCACTGAAACCTATTTTGCTTATTGCCTAGCGAAACAGCATAAAGTTAATGAGTAAATATCCTGCTCTTGAGGCTGTTCTTGAAGAGTGAATCTAACCATAACCTTATAAAATTCCCTTTCGGTATTTTGCCTATAATTTTACGGCTCTATCAACGTAGACCTGATTGGAGTTTTCTGACCCTTGATATTTGACTTTAATGTTTTGAATGATTATGTATTCCTCTCGTTGTAAATGCAGGGTTGCTGAGGAGGTAATCTTTGGTCAGGATAATGTGACAACAGGGGCTTCGAATGACTTCATGCAAGTTTCAAGAGTAGCAAGGCAGATGGTTGAGAGATTTGGTTTCAGCAAAAAGATTGGGCAAGTTGCTATCGGTGGACCTGGTGGAAATCCCTTCTTGGGTCAACAGGTGAGGGTTGTTCTTGGATCTAGACAGTTTCATTTTAGTTTCACTAGCTGCCTTTTCCCTCTTATTAACCGTCTCTGCATATGATTCATGATGTAATTAAGAAAAGACCTGTGTGCGTGTGTTTTAACATCAGATGTCATCTCAAAAGGACTACTCCATGGCCACTGCGGATGTGGTGGATGCAGAGGTAAGGGAGCTGGTGGAAAGGGCATATGCAAGGGCGAAGCATATCATCACAACTCACATTGATATTCTCCACAAGCTTGCTCAACTCCTCATAGAGAAAGAAACCGTTGATGGAGAAGAGTTCATGAGCCTCTTCATTGATGGAAAAGCTGAACTATTTGTTGCCTGATTCCATTTTTAGGCATGAGCAATCATGTTGTATTATATGTTTAATTTACGAACAAGCACATATCAAAACCACATTAGTTACTTGATTAGTACTTAAAAAAAAGATGTGTATATGCAGATTATAGTACAATCTTCTCAATTTTTTTTTGTCACATTTCTTAAAGAGCTGATCGTCGTTTTGCCAAAATCTTTACTGATCTCATGTTTAATTCATATTTTAGATACATGAATTTTGATTATGTATTTTGTCAACCCTCGAGGGGTTATTGAAAGGTTTATAAGTCTATAGCAGAAAAAAGCGCATGATGAATCAAAAAGGGCATGTTATTTATTATTAATTTTTAAAGGTGTTGGGGTTCCAATAGTTTATTAATTAGTTTTTTGTTTCCTGTATCGGCAAGCACATTGAAGTGGAATCAAATTTTTATTTCATCCAATTTGGAGGCAAAAACAAGAACCACATTGCAACAGCCAGTACAGAACAGAAGGACCACCTCTCCGTCTCCCCCTCCCTCCCACTATTATGTTACATTTTGGATGAGAACCAAATTTCTACATTTTCATTACACTAACCCCAAATTTTTGCTACAACCACCACAACAATTCACCTACGAAGTACAAAAGAATTATTACAAAGTCGCTCCTCAAGATCCTCTTCCGCCACGTTGCCTTTTTTCTTCTAGGGCAGCAGCCTCATTCAACATGTCAGTTGCATCTTTATGCATATCTAGCTTGGCAAGGGCGACTGCTTGCATGTAAAATGCTGTAGACCATTCAGGGTATACACATTGTGCTTGCATAGCATCTCGGAGGGCAGCATCTGGTTGATCACATAAAAGATAGCAAAGACTTCTCCGTGCATAAACAGTTGGAGAAACCATTGTTCCGACATCTATGAACTGCACAAACACCCATCATGTATTTGTTTCTTAAGATGCTGGGGTAGGAGTCAATACGTGTGTATGTATGTTTGTGATTAATACATGTTCTTTTCATCATCTAGACTACTATCTTACAAGAATCATTCATACATAATAGGAAAATTCATATGAATTAGAGGATTAAGAAGCAATAAATTCCTGGTCGAGATATCCAAATTTTAACTCAAAAACTTCATTTTTTAGCTGGGTAAATATCCACACCCAGTTTTACTGCCTAAATCCAATGCAAATGTGCAAGTAAAAATCACATGATTCACAAAGCATAAGAGAACAAGGTAACAAATAACAACTAGATATGATCATTTCATTTTCACATCAAGCAAGAAAGAAATACGCACCTGAGAATAACACTCTATTGCAGTTTTAAACTCTTTGTCACGAAATGCTACGTCTCCACGCTTTCTTGCCTCCAACATATCTCTCATTTGTTGGGTCCACTCTTGGAATGATAGCTAAAAACCATGTCAGATAAAGATTTCAGAATAGCATTACAAATAGGCATCAGAGAAACTATACTCATAGTTCAATTACCTCATTTGTTCCTTCATCATCCTTGTAGTGCGTCATGACCAAGATCTGATGGATAGCTGTGAGATCCATTCGTGAACATGCATCACCCATTGGAGAAAGAGGGTGTTGTGGTGTAGGCGGCGCTTCCTCGTGCTTTTGAATTCCAAGCATCACATAAGACGGAACCTGCAAAAGAAGATATATGATTCAGAAACTGAATCCATTACAGGAAGGCTAATTTCTAAATATTGAAAGGGTGCTTTGATGCTTATCGTGGAACTGTAAATTTTCATATGCTAACGCAAAAATCCTCTCACAATAACAGTATTGAATATATAAAAGCTGAGAATGGATTAATGTATCAATTGCCAGAAATTAATTAGATCTGCAGTTCACCATCATGACTAGCAATCTAGTGTTCCAAGAAGTTTAGTATGTTTTTTCCTGTTACTAATTTAATATACTTTGCATCACAATATCATCACACAAACCAAAGCAAACAAAGTCAAGGAAGACAGCTTACATCGGGTTTATTTTGCAGAGGCTCAATTGTTGCAACCAGGTCCTTGGTATTTGGCCGCTCTCTAGGTTCATATTGTAAACATCGTGAAGCAAGATCAAAGACCACTGTTGCCTCTTCAGTTGAAAAGTTTCCCTCCAAATGTGAATCCATTAAGAGAAGGATGTTTTTCCCCCGTATCATATCAAGAGCCTGAATGAATAATAAATAGAAATAGTACATCGAAGTTATTAAAAACATACTTCCAACACACAACATAACATTCAGCAACTGTATCACAGCAAGCTTATGGCTACGGCTCATGATCTTGAACATTCATTATCTACTTGTTCCATGACCATTTCAACTATGAAATTTAACGAAATAAATGGAGGGGAACCAAACAGAAACTACGATAATTTCTGCAGCATCTACAGACCTATTGATAATTTAATGAACCAAATATAAAAAAGAGATTAAACTATCCTTTTCCACTGAGGGGAAAAATCCTGTTAGGAACAAACCATAAAGCAGGATTTAATAGGTCTAATCAAACTTCAATTAATTTTTCAATTTGATTTGATGTTTTGACTAGAGAAATTCATTTAAATTTGGTCAGAGCAAATAAAAATGAATTAAATTGATCTACTTTGTTTTCAAAATTGTGACAAAAGACCACAAATCAAATCAACAAGTCCAAGAATTGAATGTTAGAGAAGAACAAAAATTAGCCTGTTTGAGCGGCCCACAAGACAATGCAGCAGCTACTTGATATATATAAAACTTTGTGGTAAGAAGCATCATCAAATGACATACAACTGAATTTTGGTTTTACCATCCAAAAAATATAAATTACAGACCAGAGATGGAATTTGAAATACTTACATGACTAGGAGGGATGTGCTTTCCGCTGAGAAGATCCAAGAGGACAGTCCCAAAGCTGAAAATGACACTTTCAGGAGTGACCCTTCCTGCAACAAACATATCAGCTAATAACATTGAATATATATATATATATATATATATAAACATAACAGTGCACACATTAAATCCCTTATTCAGACATTTTTTATGTGTAACTTCTAGATATTTCAATTAGCATGAAAGCATTTCTCAGCAATGCCATGGCATATTCACAACCCCCTACCTTCTTTCTGCATGCCTGAGCTGCGAACAATGTCTTCTCACTTGGCATCAACATAACGTAAATCCTACTTGTCGCATTCAAAATAGGATGATAATTCCACCAAGCTTCGTGATTGTCTCTTTTTCACTGACTTGAATCTTAAATGACTTCTACATGTAAGTTCTTGCCATATTGCTACTAAATTTAACTTCCAAATCAGCCCAAATCATTGTAAAACCTACAGGCTTCGGTGAAAGCACAAAAGTTGAACATTGGGTGAAATTTTCTAGCGGGTGTTTTTGCACTCTATCAAGGGTTTTTCATAACTACTGCAGTCTGCAGACCACTGCCCTATGGAATATGGCCTTTTTAGTAGTATGATAACAAGAAACAATGGCATGAAGATATCAGTGTATTTCAGACATGACAAAAATGGAGAAGTTATACAGCATAATCTATAATATATGAACTTTCTGTTTATGAGTTTGTTTGGTTCAAAGCAAGGGGAAAACAGAAGATATGTGAAATTGAATTATCTTCCTCCATTTGGGTACTAAAAGGACGAGGGAATAGGAGAGGACGGAGAGAAGGGACATGAAATGAAATAGTGTTAAATTACAAACATAATTCTCTTAAAAAAATTTTAGCATTACCAAAGGTTTGATGAAGTACAAACAGAAGACACTTGACTTATTTTTCTAAGATCTGATCTAAACAGCAGAAAATACATTTTCAATTGTTTCTCTTTTCTCCACATTTCCTTCTAATAATTTCTTTTCCTTTCTCCTCCACTTTTAGATTGCCACACAAGCAGTTAAATTATAGTATTCAACTTTTCCAAACTTTTGTCATAGAGCACTTCATATCATCATTATTTGAATCATTAATACGCAAAAAGGGAAAGAAAGGATAAAAATAGTGATTTAACTGACTACTAACATTCCCAAGTCCAATATAAAAGATGTCTGCATGTAATGAATAAGATGTGCAAAAAAGCAAAAGAATACCATTTCTTAAATACTCGGGGGGTGTATAAGCAAGATTTGTGCTGTAACTTTTTCCATCTCTACTATTTTTCATCAAGCCAAAACACGAAAGCCGAGGATCACCATTCTGCCAAAACCAACCACCAAATTACCACTTCGGTCTCACAAATCCAATAAATGCTCAAGATAAAACAAAACCGGATATTTTGCAATAATGAGACCAGCACAAAAATATGTGGTCACAAGAATTACTAACACCTCAAACAGACTAGATAAAACGAATCAAATCATTAAGTACCTCGTCAAAAAGAACCCTATAAGCATTTAAATCGTGGTACAATGGACGACCTTCAGAACTACAATAATCTAAAGCTTCAGCGATATACAGAGCAACTCTTAAACGCATGGCCCACTCGATGGTTTGGTTTTCCCCTGTTAAGGAAAGTAAGTAAAATTATATTCAGGGGCACAAAGTCAACTTATGGAAATGAACTAGTGAAACTCGTGAAGGATTCAATTGATCATAACAAAAGCAGAGATCATTATATTTGGTAAAGATTCTTTCTCATAGTTGCAGCTTAACAACATCAAAGAGCCTAGAATATTCTTTCCAAAATACTATTTGCCTCACGTAAATAAAATGAAACGAAATAAACCAAGCTACAACTCTGCTGAAATCTAATCTAGGTTGAAATTTCAAGTAACTTATGAAAGCAGCATAGAAATGACAGATTAAAAAGAAATTAGAAGGCCGAGAAGGCGAGAATGCAAAACATACAGTGGAATAAATGTTTGGCAAGGGTATCATTGGGCATGTACTCCGCCACCAATAGCCTTTCGTCCCCGTCGCAGCAGTACCCTATCAAATTAGCTAGCCTCTTGTGCCTCAACTTCCCAACACCCCAGGCCTCATCCTTGAAGAAATCATTTAGCAGAATAAAAACATTACTAAAAGAAAACCCTAGAAACGTAGGTAAAAATTAATAAGGAAATGGAAGAAGAATGATAATAGGAATTTACAGCGAACTGCTGGGGATCAGGCCAGGCAAGTTTTGTAAATTTCTTAACAGCGATCCAAGTGCGATTGTCCTGATTCTGTAGGCGGCCTTTATATACGACATTGGGCGCCTTTTCACCGCTTTCAGAAACGATGAACTCAGGGCTAAAGTTGTTGGTAGCGGCTTTTAGGTCAGCTAAGGAAAACTCAATGAAAGAGGGGATGCCTCCGGAGGCAGCAGTGCTAGGTTCGGTGCCATTGGACGGATGGCAAGGGTGGTGATTCTGGTGGTGGTGGTTGTTGTGGTTGTTAGAGGCTTTTTCCTCCGGAACACGTACTTCAAAGAAGGAAGATTGGCAACAACCCATAACTCGGTCCGAGTTAACTGAGTGAGCTGCCCCCTCCACCAAAACACCGTTTCAGAAAGAAAACATATAAGAGAGAAGGTAAGGCGGGCGGATAGACAGCAGAAAGAGAAACGGTTTTGTCTACCTCGTCGAACTCTGTTATAGCTTTTCCACAGTAGACTTAGCGTCCGTGTGGACGAGTGAAAAGAGAGTGAAAGAAAGAGAAAAGTTCTGCTGAGTGATTAGCAGCTGCTGCAGCTTTCTTTTCCTTTCTATTTGCGCGTTCTTTTTTCTTTCTTTGTTTCTCCTCCCTCTGTCTCTCTCTGTCTCTGTCTCTCGCTCTCGGCACTGACAAAACCCCTCCCTCTCTCTCCGTCTCTCTGTGTTTCTTTCCTTTCCTCTCGTATTGAGTTGTCCTTTTTACGTGCTGGAGGGTATTTTTGTCTTTCTATCCAAAAACTCATGCTTATTTCTTAATGTTTGTCTTTCGCGATATTTTCGTTTGATTATATCCATCCACTACTCAGACACAAAACTCATATTATTATATTATTATTTTCCACCAAATTATTCTTCCGCTCATTTTATCCCGTTGCGAAAATGCTACTTCCCAATATTATTAACCTCAGCCCTATGGATCATTGGTTTAATTAATATTAATTACACATATAAATTAAATATTATAATATAATAAAATATATAATCCCGATCAGTTTAACAACTGATCACTCAATTTAATCCGTTTTTTTTTTTAAGATTAAAAAATAAAATCGTCTAATGGTGAAGTCTGTTTACCGATTTTTGAAATTGACCCAACATATAAGTTGAATTCAATAATTACGCTAATTGCATTATTATTATTACATTATTATTATAATTAAAAAAATTATATTTTCACGTAATTATTTGTTATCATAATACTATCCTGTCGTACCTATTTTTGTTATTGCCATGGTACACTCGTGTATTAATAGTAAAACCAACACAAAAATAAAAAAATTATTAAAATATTCTATAATCTCCACAAAACTCTGCAATTATTCTCTCTTAAACTATAATTTATTAATATTAATTTGTAAAATAATAAGAATCATGTAAATGACAAATCTGAAAGGTGTACGGTTGATCTTGATTTGATGCCTTACCCGTCTCATCAGCTGCCGTGAGCTACCGGAAACCAAAACATATTTTCTGAGAATCCAAAAATAAAAATTATTTTATTTACTTGCTAAAAAACAAAATGAAAATTTATATATAAAAATGGCGCTTTCCATGGAGATGGAATGGAGACACCAGACAAGGCCCGAAATACCGCTGCTGCTTTCTTCCAGTAATTCTGAAACAATGTTCTTAAATTATAATATTTTAGATTAATGTTTGTTTCATATTCTGTCAACTATAAATTAATTATACATAACACTATCATTTCCTTTTAAAAATTTTGTACATTTTGAAAAAAAAAAAAAATATGGCAACTTCGTTGAAAATTAATATTATGGCTTAATTTTCTTTTCATTAATTTGTCTGAATATACCGTAAACAGTGAAAAATTAAAAAATATTTTTTAGACAGGTTAATTTCTAAAAATATATACGTGGCTAAACTTATCCAAACGATTATATTCTGTGCTCATTTACTGTCACGTGTAATACACTGTTTTATGCTCTTCAGCTCGCCCAACGCAGCGCGTTGCGTAATGCCTACGAGTTTTCATTACGAGAGGAAATGTCGCTCATCGCTAATAGAGTTAGTCGCGGGTCAAGGATTTTTTTGTCTTTTTTCCTCTGGTTCCACACATGGGCTTTTGCTTTGGGTTTTGAGAAAAAGGGTCAATCACACGCAACCCCAGTGGAAGCTTTATTGCAATTTTAGTTATCTCGTCAAATGACATCATTAATGCTTCATTAAGATTACGCAATCATCATCTATTTTAGTAAGTACCATTTTAATTGTTAATTAAGGTTTAATATTGAATTTTTCTATTTTTGAAAAACCAAAATATCATAATTTACAACCACTATAGATTTAACTCCACAACAAACAAAATATTTGGATATGGTTTTTATTTTTTAAGTAAAAATATTTGACAATGTCCATTACCATATTAAGTGTCCATTTAATAATTCTAAAAAATACACTCACGTCCATTTAATACCATATTATTTTAATTTCATCAAATTATATAATGTTATTTGATGAAATTAAAATAATATTATACAATTATTTGCAAAAACTATTTTAATAATGTTATCTGAAGCTAATTAACTTTGACATATCAGTTTCCATACTTTCCCCAGAATAACTGTCTCAAAGCAGAAGAAATCTATTTCCCCATTTGAGCTTGAAAATGTCTTTTACTGCTACGCTTAACAAAGCTTATGCAAAATATAGACCTACTTCACATGCAATTTGGAATCAGAAACACTTTTCTACAAGCATAGGATTTAAGAATCTTCTATATTTGTAAAAAGAAGAAGGAAAAAAAAAAAAGAACAGTTTTGATTCCTTCACTACACATGTACTGACTGGAATCACTAAAATAATCCAATGAGAAAGCTGAAAATTTCCGTTGAGAATTCTGTTCTGACCTGAGAAATTAAGCAGTAGCTCATGACAATAAGACTGCAAATTCATCATCAAATTGTCAAAGGAAGTATACCCTTATGGCTCTGTGCTTTTGCTCAATTAGAAATTTTCTTTTTTTACAATAACCTTAGCAAATGGCAACTCAAAAACAGCCCATTATTACCAGGATGCTCTGCTTCATAGTGTCAGACAAAATGTCAAACTGACAGAAGATGGGTGAATCAATGAAAAGATCAGCTTCTTCAACTTTACCAAGAGCCATTGTAACAGAAAAATAGATTGATACTTACACCAGCTGAAGAATTGCCTCGAATTTTGACAAGTTAAAGTTAACAGGAAAATGCGAATAAACTCAATGTAAGATTAACAAAAGGACCTTCTGGATTCTCTCAAGTAAGGCTGCTTTCTTCAACATGAACATGAAGTTCCTCATAAAATTGCACACTTTTGGCAGAGAATTTCTCTATTGCCATGAAAATCTGTCTAAGACCAAATTGAAGACTATTATTGTTGGTCATTTCACTCTGATGCACAGCCCTTCCTGTGACTGCGCACATCTTCTTCCCTCGAGCTTGTAATACCTTTTGCATCCTTTTCTCTTCTCTCTCCAAGATCTTCATTCTTTTCTCCAATTCCTTATCCGCAGTCAGCCTTTGCTGCAGCTGTGTATAGTTCCTTTCCACTAGTTGATTTACATTCATGAAAAATCCATGCATAGCATTAGTCACTTCCATCTCTGAGACTATACCAATGGCATGTGACCACTTATTACAGAAAGCAAACAAAGGGGGTGTCCCTGCCCTACCAGGAGAGACTGGTGGTGTTCCGTCTTGCATTTCTTCAGGTTCATTTGGAAGAAATTTCAGAAGCCAACCATTTACAGCATTGACGTAGCCTCTCTGTGCAGCGATCCAATTGGAAAAACCCAGATTCCAGTTCTGAAGCTCAACCTTGAGTTGCATTGCTGCTTCTAGATGAGTTTCACTAAACTTCCCATTAGACATAATGGCATCTAAACTTCTGGCTTCCTCAACTGCTTGTGATTGGGATCTGTGACATTCTAACATCCCTTTCCACATTCCAAGTAACCTATAATAACAAGTGAATCAATTAATTGCTCTGTTTATAGCAGCAATAACTCAACTTAATCCAGATAGTTGTTGCAGACAAGCATTTCAAAAAACCATAATCTTTTTGTTCCTGTTAATTTCTAGTCTAATTTTAGTTGTGTAAACATAAATAAGACATACTTTTGAATAAGTTCGTTGATCAGTGACCACAACTCTTCATCCCTTAGCTTACTGATAGTAATTGATGTCCTGTCAATAACTTGAATTGAAACTTTGATTTTAGTAGATAATGTCCTGACTACAGTTCGAGCAGAATCAAGTTTATTGGCTTCTGCAGCTTTCTCGCCCATATTTTTCATCTGCCTATAGATCCTCGCAAGCATAATACGCAATTTTTCCTCAGCCTACATCACAATGAACATCATCTTTCATCATTATTACTTATAAAAGTAACCTAAGAAATTTACTCAGTTGATTCTTTCTATTGCCTTATGCATATATTTTAATTTTGAACTTGTCAACAAAAATTTTTCTATGACATTTTAAAGAAAATAAAAATTAAAAATTATACTCAAATATGTAAATTAGGCAAGAAAAGGAACATGATAAGGAATGAGGAAAAGTGTCAATTGCTTTATTTATAAAAGAAATGCAATTAAAGTATTACAATACAATCTAGTATCTGCAAAGCAATTTTTATCAGAAACCTAGCATGCATTCCAAGGAAAAAAAAAGGAGAGAAAGAAAAAGATAAAGCAATGTAAAGAGCTACTGAGATGAAAGCTTCTTGGGAAAGAGTAAAGCATACCTTGACTTCATCATATAGTTTCCTCTCCCACATGCATAGCTTCTTGATAATGGAAGACAAATTCACTGAAGTCACAGCCAAATCTTCATCAAAGCTCACACCAACAGAACCAATCTTCTCTGTAACTTTAGAGGGTATCACTATGAAAGATAACTTCTTGGAATAAACTCCTATAGGAACAAAGAACAATCAATTTATTACTGAACTAAAAGAATATTCAAAAAAACATAAGGTAAAACAATAAAAGCAATTTGAGAATTCACCTTGATAGATAGAATTCTTATCAAAATAACGGAACTTTCCTGTATCAAGAATCTTTAATATTTCATTTCCCGATTCTGCAGCCTTCTCAAAAAGATCCTCCAATTCTTTAATAACCTCGGAGGTATTCCGATTTTTAGACTCTTCCGAATTTTTATTCTCTTTGTTCTTCTCTTTGTCCAGAATAACCTTAGATTCTGCAACATGAACTTCATGCTTCGTCACATCACCGCTCTCTACCGTCAATTTCGCTTTAATCTGTTTCTCTTCTCCCGCCAACTTCTTAGAATCTTCACCAAGTTTACTTTCTCCATGAATTTTACTTTCAAATTCGTCTTTAAGCTCTTGAATCCCTTCCTTATCCTTGGCCTGTAATTCATATCTCTCATATGTATCGAAGAAATTTAAGAACTCCCAAGTGGAGCCACTTGGAGGGGGAGGAGGTGACGGTGTTTTCCAGGCAGAACCACGGTCAGGAGAGGATGCACCATACGGAGTCGGCGAACGAAACAGTCCACCATTGTTCGTGTAGTAATCGTACTTACTATGTTCGCGATAAGAATACGAAGTTGATCTGGATGGAGTCGGAGTTTGCCGGTCAAAATAATTGGGGTGGATTTGGTGAAGAAGATCAAAATCCGTATCCCCTGATTCTTCGTCCTCCGAGTCAGACGGGAAATCGAGATGCGAGTCTGAGTTTGAACTCGAGAGACAGTGATCAGGTGACGGAGAAGACTTGCATGGATTAGGTCTTATGGCAGCAGAATCACCACTGGACGGAGAATGAGAACGATTACTATCAACGTTTTGTTCAAAGAAACGGCGGAGAGTAGAGCCAAGAGCTTTGAGGGAGTGCATGTAGGCCACGTGAGCATCCGCAAGGGCATAGCTTTGGTAGAGAGCTTCCTCGAGATACTTGCAGCGATCATGACACAGGGACACCGCCGGAAGATGGTCAAGTCTAGAGGTGGAGCAGCCCATCAAGGTAACGTCAATTCAAGAAACGCTGAACTCCGGTGACTGGAAAGTTAAAAAAACGAAAGCTTTAGTGCATTCAATTTGTATGGGTTAGTGCAGAAATTAGGGATTAAAAGGGGAGAAAGAGAGACAGAAAGTGGAGTTGAGTGTACTATGTTGAGCTTTTATGGACTATGGAAGGTAAGGGTGGCGGGATTGCCATATAACGTCTCTCTTGTATTTTTGCGGCTTTTGCATTTATGGTCCTTGCTTTTTGTTTTCTCATATTTACAAATTTGCCACCAGCATACGTTATTTCTTTCGTCTTTACCCACTGCGTTATTTATATTTCTGATTTCTGATTAGTGATCAAATAGTAATTAGCATAACGTTCACTTAATATTCTCCAACAAAACGACATTGCATTTGTATGATTATATGAAACAAAATAAGCCACAATCCATTGTTTAAATGCCATAAAAAGTCATAATACCCTTATAATGGTGGATTTGACAAAGCCAAAAGGAGGATTTTTTTTTTTTTTTTTTTTTTTTTTTCTTTTGAGAAGCTAAATGAGCTCTCATCAATAACGATCAGGATATATATTTTGCAGAGGCTTTGTCATTTTATGGATACGCTAGTCTTTGTCTTTTTTTTTGCGGTATTATCATATTTACAATTTTGGCACAGCCATAACGTTATTTCTTTCGTCTTTCCACCGGTTCATTATTGAATTAAATTTGCGTTTATTTTATTTGGGATTATTCCAGTGGGGGATATATATAGTAACAGTATTATTTAATATCTCTCCGAACAAGATATACAGCATTTTGATATGATGATGCGAAAAACAAATAAATCCCACTAATACCATTGTTTAAATGCCTGTGAGATTAAATAAAGTCATAATACCCTGTAAATAATTGGTAGGATAATGACAAAGCCAAAGGCAGGAGATTTTTTTTTGCATTATATTGTATTTTTTATTTATTTCCTAACTTTCAAACCAACTCATAGTGTCTCATTATATCCACTCAGCTGATTAATCTTCTTTTTGCGACAGTTAGATTATGCTTTAAATATATGGGTGCACACGAGTTGACAAATGAATGAGAGCAAAGTGTCAGGATGTTTCAAACTCCGTGTTAATTATAGCTCGATTTGGTTATATATTGATTGGAAATTGAAAAAATATAATAATGTTTTTTTTTTTTTTTTTTTTTTTTTTTAACTTTCAAACCAACTCATAGTGCTCATCATAATTATTCTTTTTGCAGTTTGTTTGTTTATCACGTGAATGATGAGCAAATGCAATTTCAAACTCTTTAATTATATTGATTTGGTTATAGATGTAAATAAAAGTAAAAAGCCAATATATATGAGGGGAAAAAGGAAAAACAAAACGACAAAGCAAATCAAGGGAGGGAAGGCATTTCAACTAAACTTGGATGCAAATGAGATCATATAGCCTTTTCTCTTTTTCTTTTATTTTTTTGACATAAAAAATTCTTAAAAATATATAAAAACAAGAACTTGTCAGGGTTGAAGCTATGAACTTTGGCAGTAGTATACATAATCAAATACTTAAATCAATAAACTATAATTTTTCTCTTTAATTATTAATTTTTTTCAACAAAAACAAAGATTATCTGTTAAAAATCAGTTGCCTTGAAACACCTCGATATGATAATCTAAATTAAGAATGCTGTAGCCTTTTTTCTTTTCCCCTTTTTTGAAGAGAATTACTCAAGATTGAGGGCAAGAAAATTAATTAAGAGGAGTCACGTTCATGATGGGGATTTTGAATGTGAAGCTATCTTAAAAGGAGATTGTAGTGGAATTCCAACTCAGTAGGAATTGTCTGGATTATGTTTTCTTTTTGGTTTGTGTGTTTTTGAGGTGGTAGAGAGATCAGAGGAGGAGAAGGCATGTTTCCCCATTATATGATCCTAATTCCTAAGAAAGGCCATAACTTTTAGGACAGTGCAACGTATAAAAATATACGTAGCTTACTTCTCTGAGTCTCAGCATGCAAGAAAGTTCTTTTTGTGCCACCACTTCGTATCATCATTATGTTATGTATAGGACATGGCAAAGGGAAACTTTACCCATGTTACTACTGCCTCTGTTATTGCAGGACAAGTATATTCTTTCCTCATCTCCAACAGTAAACCCTTAATTGATTTTAACCCAATTAAGTTTGTTTTCTTCTGTATACTGGGTTGGTTTTGGTTACCTGATTTGAAGAGTTTCTTGGAAAAAAAAAAAACTAATATAATGGATTATTCTTAACTTAAAAAGGGTATATGAACAAAAGAAAGCAATACTTTAGTGCAACGGTCTAATTCGAAATGGGCTATAGTGGCAAAATTTCACCTGCAATTCTGAACTTTCTGTAACCCTAATCATATAAGAAAATGATAATGTTATTGAAAATAGAAATTCAGCCTTGATCAAGTAATTATGTCATGATAAGTATACTTAGAGAAGGATTTTAATTAACTGAAAGACTTATTAGGTCCTTGATTAGTTACTAATTAGGTTGTGTATCAATTATCAAGCGCATGCAGGCACAGTTCTCAGTACTGGAAAAGCCAAACATATTGCTAATCCCATAGTTAAGAAATGCTATTTAGGGTTCATTCTATTATCTGTAGCTAGATTAGGTGGAGTGGTCCAATAACTTCCTTCCATCTCTGTGGTCCAAGCAATCAATCTGCAAACTAAAAAGCATAACTCATGGCAGTGAGTTTCAATAATTTTACGAATAATATCATCAGCAGACGTCGTACAAGGAACATGAAAGGCCTTCCAAAGGAACTAGTTTTGAGGAGAGAAACTTTGGATGTGGGGTTGTCAGCTCTTATATCGGGTTCAAACATTTGGTTTTAATTTGCTGAACGTAATTTAAAGATTCTATTGGCCGGCCCATACAATGAATATTGCATCTTTTTCAAGAATGGAAAATGTAATGGGTTGGTCATGGCTGGATAATCAAGATTCAAGTCCATGCATCTGTAGCGATACTCAAAAGTTGCGATCTGTAGGAGCTGAGGACTGGATTCAAATACAACAATTTGAATTTACTAATTTGGCACATATAATTAGACATATATGTAATTAAATTACTTTTTCACTCTCTTTTTAAATCCCTACCAGAAGTCACAGAAATTTAAAAAAGGGGAAAGAAATAGCAAAAGTAAAGAACAAGATGAGAGGATCGGAAAGGAATCAAATATAGAACTTGCATAGTTGCACGAGGCAAATAAGGATATATTTTGTATTATACATATATATATACACACACAATGCCAACGATAAGTTCCTAAACAAGTTAAAAAGCCAGTTATAGGCTTATAGGAAAAAGAGGAACAATAATATTCATATATCTTAAGAAAGGGAAGGAAAAATAGCAAAATAAGAACAAGATGAAGAGATCGAAAGTATATCAAATATAACTGAGATACTTTGCATTAGTTGCACGAGGCAAATAGGGCATATATTTTGTAATTATGAGCGAGGATATAATTGACATTAACCGTTCAACAAACACAATGGCCAAACGATAAGTTCCTAAAAACAAGTTATAAAAGCAGTAAATAGGCTTATATGGAAAAAGGATAACATATATTCACGTAACCCCTATTTACCGGTATGCATATCTGATAACCATAATTTTTAAGTCCCCAATGCAAAACACATTAGATTAATTGGAGCATCACTATAGTACAGTGAATTGATAGATCTCTAATAGTATAATATTGTAGATGGTATATATATATGCACATTAGATTAATGGAGCCCAACATATATATATATAGATGATAGATCCTCCAATAAATGAAATTTCAACTATTTGCTTTATTAATGATGGACTCGTACATGTATTAATTTATATTTTTAAGATTACATTACAGTATGGAAAATATATATAAAGATTGGAACGTTAAATGCTAAAAGGGTCCACTGCTTGGCTTTCAAATAATTTAATTTTTAGCTGAATGAGGTTGTCAATGGCGGTGGAGAATATGTTTGAGAGCAAGTTGAGAGAAGAAGGAAGCAATAATGCCAATCATAGGAAGCATTATATGGTTTTGTCTCTTAATTAATCCCTCCATATTATCTCCTACCAAAAATCTTATATATATGTTGATTTAATTTTAATTATTGGGTACATTACTTTCCAGCAAAAAAACCAAATTTTAAATTAATATGTACTGATACATACCATGTGCTTGTTAATTTGCCTAAGCTAAGCTGCAATTGTTATTATGGCCAACAACCTGCTCCCCCTCTTGTGTTAATTTGATTCTTGTAATTTAATCATATATATATATATATATATATAATTAGTAAACTGGAAATATAATATATAATTGATATAATCTTTAATATATGACATCTCTTAAATAGAAATTTCTTCTGAACAATTGGCATTATATATATATATATATATATATATAAACTTTATATATCTCCTTAAATAGAAAATTTCTTGAAATTGCATAATTAATTTGATCAACATGTATTTTCTTATCAATTTGTTTTAATATTTTATAGTTTGGTGTCAAATAATTATTATTCCATTCCGTTTTTCCTTTTTTTTTGTCAGTTAACATCTAAATTTGAATTGGCAACTTCGCATTAATATACATACACTATTATCAAATTCTTTATTGCAAGAGTCTTCTTGTATAACGAGATTCATGTTTTTTGAGAGTCATGCTATTTTATAATTTTTTTTGCAGTGGATGCTATGCAATTAATGGTTATTAAGGGAAGATGGGATAAACAAAGCAGTGAACTACATTTCCAGATAAATTTTAATTGTATTTTTCAGATGTTTAAATTTAGAATCACGGTTTGCGATTGATGGGTAATAGATTAAACACCCATTTCATGATTGATGAGCTATTTTACAGTATGTGTGGTGTCCACTGAATCAATTAAATGGTTTAGCATATGAGTGAGTCTGTATACAAGTGTACATAAGTTTTTCATCGCTTTTTATATATTACCCAATTCCATCAATGTAAGAAACAAATTAAATATTATAAAGAGTCACTCGTGTTCTACATTGTTATAGACAGGCACATGCAGATGCAGGTATGAACAAAGTTTTGCCGGATATATATATATTCAAACATTGGATTGACAAGATCAACACTATACAGTACTATTAGATATCTGTTCAAATTTGGACACTGTTCTTCCATATTGGACAAAACCCTTAAAACAGTGCAAGCAAAAAGAATACTATAGTCTATATATTGAGTAATGAAACTCTTGTGTTAATCAAACTCCGAAACACTTTCTCGCCTCCACTTTCAATGCCGCAAATACACATTTCCAAATCTTGCATTCTCTTCAACACAATTCTCACTTCTTCATCTCCCTTCTTCCTCAATCCCCACAAGCTCTCTCTATCTACTTGTTTAAATTCTTCAATTTCTTCCTCGATTTTCGCTTTCTTTGCTCTTTTAGGCAACCTCAGTGCCATCCACGACGATTTTCTTGAAGCAAATGATAAGGAGATTCCATTGAAAAGCGCTACTGAAACGGACACTGTCACTTCAATAACATCTCTTATAACACCAACTATCTCTGCTTCAGTAATAGACAATTTATCCAATCCAGCAGGAATCGAGCATTGCGAGATATTTCGAATAGTGCAGGCGAGTTTAGACATCTCTTTAGCCATTTTATTGCGAGATTTGATATAAAGAGCAATTTTTGAATCGTCTCTCTTCCTTGTAGCTACTTGAGCAGCAAATTGCTCTTCTTTCAAACCCAAAACTGAAGTTTGGAAGATCCCATAAACGTCAACAAATCGTAGAAAATCTTCCAGAAGATTCTCTACCCATTTTGGTTGGCGGCGAAGAGCTTCCTGAGTTTGAGGAAGCTGGAGGATATCGTCAAGGGAATCATGGACATATTTAAGGCGGGTAAGGCCGTCGCAGAGCCAGGAGGACGTTCGATTCTCAGATTTAGAAGACCAAATTCTAAGCTGATTGATTTCGTCTCTGATTTGGGAAATTAAAGGGTGAGACCTGCAAGGAAGACTGATGGATCTAATATGGTGAGAAAGGGGCGGTTTAGATAGAGGGCGATTGGGGAGTTTGTTAGGAAAGGAAAGAGAACGCTTGAAAACGCCGACCATTACTGTATATGAAGGAATTGTTTCAAGAAATGTTAGTTTGTTTGAAGAAAGCAATTGGAGTGAAGAGGAGAGGAGAAGAAAAAGAGTATATAAAGGTGCAGGAGAGGAGGGAGACTGGATCCGGGAATAAATACAGCTGTTACTGTTCGTTAACCCAAGTGGGGGGTTAGAGTTTGCAGACCCAAGGCGGTTCAACTGGAGAGGAGACACATGTGGTTTTGACACGCTGGCTTTCTTTCATTCTGGGGCCCTCTTTCCATGTATGACTCTTCGCTCTTTCCATGTGGTTCAACTGGAGAGGAGACGAAATAAGATTAGCGTTCTTTTCTTTTTCTTTCTTCAAACAATTGTTAAAAAATAACTTTTACCTCCAAGATTTAAAAAATTCTGAACAAGTTGTTCAATAACGCGTTATTCATATAGCTTGTGACTTGGCGTTGTAATGTACCTAACTAATGATTCAACAGGGTCACGGATAGTTTTTGGGTCCTCAAATACAAAATTGGTATTCGGTGGTTTTCAGTTATCAAGGCATGTGGGTCGAACTCACGTGGATCCTTAAATTGCAGATCTCCTTCGAACCCTAAACTGACTGAGTTAGCAACTCGAAGAAGATCTGTGTATTGGCTACGATTGCTAACAATAATTTTACGCGGAGCTTGGAGCTTCAACAAGATTTCACCACCTTATGAAATCTTTCCAATTAATGGTTACAGCTTAGAATAAAATGATCTGGATCCAATTATTTCAAGTAGCTAGCTTCTACAATGTCATTAAAATAAATAGATTTTAGCCAACAAAATGCTGAATGGGTGGTAAGAGGACTAAACTGCTGAATATAAGAATATAAGTTTAATTTCCAAGGCACTGAAAATTTTAAAATTTTTACGACCAAAAAGAAAATTTAACATGCATAACCGTATACGTATGCTGGAGCTCCAAGAATTTTGGATCGGAAACCAACTTAATTAATTAAGGGGAAAAAAATTATGGTGATAGGAGAGAATGATTAGCACCCATCAAATTAATTAGAAAATTGTTTAATGGCCATCGAGTAAAGCAAAACGGCATTATTGAGCTTCCAAGCTTAGATATATGCAATGTTTCTGACAGTTGAAGGTCACTCTCATTCAACCAAAACAATTGCATGTTAGTTCTGCGATTCCATTGCATGAAAAGCACAGCACACGCTAATTTAATTACTTGACAGTAGCTCAGACATGACATGACAGATAAGTTTGTCCTCAAAACCTTCCTAACATCCTCTGTTTAGAGACGAGATTTTGGAGAAGATGATGAAATGGCATTGACAGTAGCATACATGAAATGAAATTATAATATATGTACTTGTACCTTCCTTTTATCAGTATTGGAAAGAATTAATCCACGTTAGTGTTTGCTATTGGAGGATAATATTATACACCCATGCATTGGTATCTATTGACTCATTCCATGTGGAAGATGATTAGTAGGCATCTTAACTGAAACTCTTTTCTTTTTTTTTTTTTTTTATATTAACAAAAAGACCTGCAGTTCACGTTTTATTCCTTTCTGGTTCTGGTTCTTTGTCCCTAAGAACATGCTCCTCATTTCCATATATATAATATGTTAGTAATGCTTAACCGGTTCCCATATGCCCTTATCGACCATATGATATTCGTTACGTTTTTCTTAATTAACTATATAAAAAAACTTCATCTTAGAAATTTGACAAAAAAAGAAATTACATTTCTGAAAAGGGTAGCAGATTTGGGATTTGAGTCTTAATATAGTAGAAAAGGGATATAAATTTTTTTTTAAAACTTTGTATTAAAAGTAAAATTTGAATAAATTGATAAACTAGAAAATGATCGAAGAAAGTGGATTGTATTTTATTCAATTACGAGTTCGTTTCAAAAATGTCAATTTACATATTTATAAAGAATTAAAATAATCATTATCCGACCAACACAATGTTGGTTGAGATAACAAGCGACATCAAACTTCTGCAGGACGAGAATATAAATTATAAAAAGAATCTTTACACTTTATGGCCGATTATAAAAAAAAAAAAAAGAAATCAAGAATTAATCATAGAAAATAAAATTTTGGTTAGTTTTATAAATATTGACAACATGTGCACGTTGCTAGGGGTAGGTTGTATGGGGAAAAGAATAGGGATTGGCTGGAAATTGCTTGAAAGAGAATGAGAGAATTTGACTTTCTTGTCAAAATATGTTTTTCAATTCCTTTAATTTTGTTTTAGATTTTAGGGATTCATACAAGGATGGGCCTTGGCTTCATAGAACACAAAGAAGTTAAAACATTATAGCCCGGCCCAAACCTCACTATAGACCCATGGACTGGATAAAGACCAAAAATTAAACATTAAAAAAATGAAAAATGAAAAGGAAAGGAATACTATATGCAACGTGGCAGCACATCTATTTGCCACACGATTACTAACGACACACGTGTCGTCAATTAAGCAATATACATCAGACTAAAGATGGATAAATAAAATGAGCAAACGGAATTGGATGGCAAAAGCTGAGAAACAATGGAGAAGGATCGAGAGAAGCAGGAGAGGGAGGGGACGTTGAATCACCCACAGCAAATTTCACCTATGAAACCAGTGACCCGTGAAGCCTACGGTGGTGGAATGTATGCTAATGAAGCGGAACGAGAACAACCGCAAAAACAGAACAAGAAACCCGCTAGCGACACACAGAGTGCTGACGGACCGGCGGAGAAGTCCACCGCCGAACCCAAGCACAAACCGCCACCTTCTACCGGTGATCGAGATCTTGATATCACTGGTCAATCTTACATTCAGTGACCGAGTTCGCGTTCATGTATAGTGTTTTTGTGCTGGTGCTGCTTCTTCTTTGTACTGTTTCTAATCTTTAAAACGTAGCCTAATGTGATTACTGGACCCTGTATACTTAATATACATATGGATGGTTATTGTATTAGGTACTGAGTTAGACTTGGATTTGGGATGGACCCATTAAGCCCAAATTGCAAAAATAAATGCTAGGATTTGCTTTGTATTGAAATCGTGAAGAGAATTGAAATTTGCAATCCAATTGGAATCGAGTATGGTAGGTTTGGTTGCTGTTCACTATTACACCTAACTGTCCAAGATTAGATGGCATCAATTGGACAATAATAACATTATATAACTACTTGTGTTAGAATTCTTAGTAAGAATTTAAAAAAAAAAAAATTACAAGAGTGTCATTATATCTATAATCTCATCTACTTATAAATGAAGCAAAAAATAAAAATCACCTAAAAATAAACCCCGAAACCGGAAAAAAAATAAACGTAGTTTGTTTTTTTTACAGTCTTCCTCTTAACAACACAAATAACTCTTTTAAGGCTCCCCAATGCCCAATCTGCATATTTCCTCCGGAGGCGGACTGTCCCACTTAGCAGTCTGTCTCCTCATTTCATTGAAATCATCAACACATTGCTTGAATTTCAAACCAGCAATCCGCTTCCTCACCGCGGCTCGTTTTTTCCCCGCCGCTTTGTCAAACATGTTCTCCCACCCTTCCTCCCATTCACCGTGAGCATCGCATAGCTTCAGTGACCCACTTTCCCAATCAGTCCAGCTCCAACCTTTATCAAGCCATTGCATTGCACGAGCAACGCAGCTCCCTTCACATACTGGCTTGCACGGCCTGCACTTAGCCCCACTTAGCGGACCAGGGCTAGACAATGCCGCCACGGGCACACCAAACCGGTTTGGCGGGAAATCGTACTGGCGGTCCGACACAATGCAGAAAGGGAGGCGTTTGGCGACAAAAGGTACGCCGTTTGTGGTGAGCTGCGCTTTGAAGGAAGTTTCCGAGTTGAGCAAGCGAAACCCAGATGAATCGAGTTTGGGAATGAGAGAGAGACGGGAGAGGGCTATCGTTGAAACGTTCAAATCTCCAATACCGAGACGGTCATTGAGGCCTCCGTAGTTGGAGCCTGACGGGACCAAATACTGACCGGGGATGAAGTTTTGCGGGTCCAGTGGGGCGTTCCAGTAACCATCAACTCGGGTACGGATTATCCAGTCATATTTGAAAATATTCTGGTTTTCGTAGTCCTCTATCATCGTTAGACATCCTTCTACGAGAGTAAAGTACTGCAATAGTCCCTGCAAAATAATAATTTATGATCCTATTATTTGACTTGCATTAAAACTGTCGATAATTTTTTTGACTATGAATGGTCAGATGCGGTTTTGGTTGGGTCGGGCCCCCGAATCGAACGAGCCAGGAGCTTACCACAAAAAGGGCTATTATTGGGGAAAATTCAAAATCATGTTGGCAAAAAAGGTTAAGAAACGTATATGCGTCACCAAACTTTCGTTTAGCAATTATTAAAAGCATTTTGAATTTCCAGTGATTTTGCCAGGGAATGGAAAGAAAGATATGGAGAACTGCGTTTCAACCAACATTTTTGTAACAGAAATGGAAAAATGGAAAAATAATCATAAATTAGTATAATTTGAAAACTAAATAATTTCTTTACTCTATTTGCAGCCATTAGAAAACGATAAATGAAATGAAACGAAAAAAAAAAAAAAGAGTTTCGATTTTAACAAGTCATGCTTATTTATGACTAATATTGTTTTACCTATTTGTTCATACCAGAAAAGCAAATAGGAGTCAAAATCAACAAAGAAATTTCATCTTGAAAATTGATACATAAATAAACAATTGAAATTAAGAATTAAGAAAATAAAATAAAAACCTGGATTCCATTTGGAGAATTCGCGGCGGTGAGGACTCGGACTTCAGATTCGGTTTCGGGTATGGGTTTGGGCTTGAAGATGCGAACGGCGGCTATTCTCGGTGCGACCTTCAGGAGCGAGAACTTGTAGGCATTTTGGTCTAAGGGACTGTGTAAAAAGAGGTCCGAATTTGGATACACCTTGAGAATATTCTCCACAATCGACGGACCAGTGAGCTCAAATCTTCTGGCCCCACCAACCAAACACACCGCCATTCTTGACAGTTCCACTTCATCTTTCCATGACCTAACCTTCACCGGCTCATTCCGATTCTCCGGCAACAGAGTTAGATTATCCGTTGAATTTGCGTTCCTGTTGAAGAAAAGGGAGGCCAGAGGGGCGAAAGTGGAAAAAGGACTGACAGGTGCAGCAGATATAGAGAAAAAAACGAGGAGAGAGAGAGGAGGAATAATCAGGAATAAAAATCTCCAATCGAGATCCGAAAACCGTTTCAACATATACATGGAGGAAGTCTCTTGTTTACTCTTCAGCATCTCGTTATCTTCTTCTACTTCTTGTTCTTGCTCTGATGGAAGAACAAATCACCAGAAACAGAGTTTTGGCGGAGGAGGAGTGGGTCTTGAGTGCCGGAGAAGATGGCACGGCCTTTTTGTGTGAGTAAAGATCATGTGAAATTGTATGGTTTTTGGAAGATTTTTCCTTTTTAGATAATTGCTTTATAAAGAAGTTAACATTATCATTATCATCATGCAGATGATATGATGTAGCCAACCAGCATTGTGCTGAATTTTTTGATTTCGTATTATTACGATTGGGAAATGAAACTGACCCTACGCTTGTTTTCCTCTTTATATATAGACAGTAACAATTTGGTGTGCTGGATCCGGATGCACTGGATTCTGTTCTTTGATAAGTTGTCCAGTACAAATATGCTTTAAAAATCTTGATGGAATTTATTTTATTTTATTTTTTAAAAAAAGAATATAAAATCTTATATATCCGGCGTTGGCACCAGCGAAGCGTTATTATTAGAAATAAAAAAAAAACGGTATATTCTTCATTTTTTCCAGCTGTTATTATTTAACCACGTTTCCTTTACAAATTACCTTAACAATAACATATTAAAAGAACTGCCTCTCTGTATTTAATTCCTCAGTGAGACAAGTCTTCTTCTTTGTCCTCGGTCCTCTCATTAATTTTAAAAATTTTAGATCATACCAAGTCTTTATCGCAAATTCCAAATTGGGAAAACGAAGTCAAAACAATTTCGCAAACGACAAAAGAGAAAAAATAAAAGCTTTGGGAAATTTCTTAGAGACCAGGTCCACTTCAGGGTACGAACTGGGAAGGAAATGGTCATGGTTTTTGATTTGTGGAAATTTCAAAACGGAAATACCGCCAATTATGCATATGACATCGCATTCAATCAGTCGTCACCAAAAATTTTGGTTAAAAAATCAGGACAAAATAAATAGGTAAATTGAATGAAAATAAAGCCAACCACCTTAGATGAATTTGTTGAACCAACGTGCAAGATGGAGCTGTCAAATTAGAAGAAAAAAAAAATTTCTGGAAGTATTACCAACAGCCACCTAATAAGCCATTAATACTACTTCCATAGTCAGGACAATGGCTAGCAAAATTAATTTTAAAATTTAAGGTTATGTTCAATACTTGCACAGCATGAAATGGATGATGTATTTACCATCCAAAGAATGAACAAATGGAAACTAAGCAATATCCCATTACAATAGTTGGTAGCATTCTGGATTTAGATGAGATTTTAAAATAAAACCACCTAAAGCAAAATATATAGAGCCTTCAATCTGAAGATGGGGGAGGCAAGTCTGAGTCGTCATCATCAGGCAAAGATGGTGGAGATGAACCAAAATCGAGATTTGGGAAGACTCCAGGGGGTCTCTCCCGAGGTTTAATTGATAGCAATTGAGATGAATCACCCACAACATCAGCCCATCCATAATGAGGTTCAGCCCTTGATCAAAAGTGGACCGTGTCAGTTTAAGTCAAATCATATTATAACATCATCAAACTACAGTTGCAATTCTACAGACTAAGAGAAGAATATTCTTACTCGTAATAGGTTTCCTCATCTACAACAATATCCCAGCTTTCACCTGTTGTGCTCTTTCCATATTTATGAACTTTACTGGACAGATTAAGAAGGCATATTAATACAGCATGTAGCATATACCAACCTTTGATTACAGAGGTACAAAAGAAGAGAGACTAATTTTATCATAAAATGGAACATAAATTCTTTTGATAGATAAATTATGTTGACGGATAAAGTTCCATACCCATTTCCAAAATGTTCTTCCCCCCATGTCCTTGACCAACCTAGGACAAGAAAAATTTAAGAGTTTTAGTATATAAACTTCATTAAATGACACAAATAAAGTGCCAAACATGAACATCACAATTAACTGAAGACTATGTAAATAAATTGATCTTTTAGGCAAGAACATGAAAATCTGGGCAAAAGTTTCTGTTTCCCACAAAGCTTTGGTTATAAACTTCAAAGTAACTAAAATAGTTTCGAGCTATGTTTTACAGGAACATCTAAAAGCATGCTTTTACAAAATTGCAATTTCAAATGCAATACCAAGTCGACACTAAATAATGCAGGAATAAAAAATGAAGCCCAACAAGGTGCGCTGATAGTTAGCCATATAAGTTAAATACCCCATATTAATAAACCATAAATACCAAGAATTAGCAACAAAGAGCAATAACCAAAGTAATTGTAAACATTGGCAAACAACAGGGCAAGGAAGTCCTTTCCCAATGGGATTAGCATATCTCATGCAAATGGATGAATGTAGTCACCAGAAAAAGGATAGCGAACATAAGCATGGCTATAAGACTCTGAGCCATGCAATCTTTTAATTTGTTTCTTATAGTTACAGTCAGCAAAACTCAAGCTTACTGTTATTCGTTTATACATTAAGTCAAAGCTAAAGATACTTATTTGTAATATGCTTATTCTGGCACATGCATAAAGGAAACAAGGTATCCCCACACAAAAAATAGGTTACACTTACGTTCACCACTTGGGGAAACGTGCCATGTCTCGCCCTGCCGAGAACCTATACCAGCAAAGAACTTCTCTTCCCACTTGTCACCCCATTTAGTTCCTAATTCAGTCTCAGCCCATTTATCTGTCCTGGGATGTGAAAAAAATAAAAAAACAGAGTGAAAACTACTTAAAAATTTTTCGAGTTGGGAAGTCCTGAGTACAGATAAATGACAAGAAGAAAAAATCGCAAAATAAACGGTAGAAGTTTTCAAATTTTAGACTATTTATAATTTCCCCACAATGCATTTTCAAGGCATTTTGTTATGAAATTGCCTTGAATATTACATCAGTTTATTCATCAGAATCTCTGTTCCTATATGTACCGACATACTTCACCTTCTAAAATCCTAATTTTCCCATATTCACTGTGGGCTATCGCCAGTATTACGTGCAATGTAAGTCAGATATTATTGAATAAAGCAAAATCACAATTTCTGATGATATGCATCTTTTTTCTATAGTCAATCATATTGAAGCATGCAGATCGAAATCCAACAGAAGATATAATGATAATTTGAGAAAACCATTTGAGAACAGATCCTCTTCCATCATAATGCTCTCCCCACTTCTCCCACCAGGACTGCTCGTTTAGTCTGCCGTACTTGTGTGCCCCCTTCTCAGTCCAACCTTTAGCATCATATTTCTCCCACCTAAGTCCAAAATTGGTGATTCATTATTAATATATATGTTGTATTAGCAAATTGCATACCAAATAGAATAGTTGTATTTATCATACAGTTGTGCATTTTACTATCAGCTTACCATTTCTCATACCATCCAGCATTTTCAGTCCCTGATTTTGCTTGTTTCTGTGCACTCCTCTCTATCCTAGCCAGGTTACTGCAATGAAAACATGGCAGCAATTTACCAACGCAAAGTACAACAATGGTAAAGTGAAATGTATTTCATGGTAAGGCTTTAAATTTTATTGAAATAAATAACCATTGTCACATAGCAGACCTCCATTCATCTTGATGAAGCACCTCTTGCCATGTTTCCCACCATGAATCCCCTTCAGAATTCCTTCCAGATTTCTCCACGCCTATGAAATAAAAACTCAGAATGAAGGTAAGTACTTCAATAGAATTAAGATCAATCAATCCAATTGCATTAAGAAAAGCAATTTACCTAGCTCTTTGTATCCAGACCAGTCACTTTTCTCCCACCACTGTCAAGGAGATCAAGAAATCGAATTAAATGCATCCACCTGGGATGATGCTTAATAGAGTTATAAAAACAATGCCAATGTAGCTAGTTTGAGAAAAGAAAAAAATTCATATATGTCTATTAGCACCAGGATGTTATTTTCAAAAACTTGCCAGGACATCACCTTTTTAATCAACCCTACCAGAAAAAGATGGAAGAAGGCTTTTTTTTTTTCTCTCTTTTTCTTTGGAACCCCCTCCACCACAGCCTCAAATCTTAATAAATATGTTAGCATACCTCTAAGGCTTTCATTTATTAATAAGGGGTACAAATATTGAATCAAAGCACAACTACTAGATACTATAGTGCACTGCAACTGAATGATGGACAAAAGGGGAGAAAGGACAATATCATAGCCAACAACTTTTCTAACTGAAGTGGATGATTAATAAAAAAAATGCTGTAATCTTATTTAAAAAGGAATTATTTGATGGATTCTGGAAATTGTCATTGCTAAGGATGACAATCGAGGTAAAACTAATATTGCAGAGGAACAACATGAATAGAATCTTGAATACAGCAAGTTGCTTTTCTTCATAATGAGAAGGATGATTTTGCTGATTGATTGGAATTTCCATTATCTATATTAATTTTCAAAAATTTCATTTGGTTTGCTCAGCTCCAGCATCACTTATACTCAAACATCCAAATAATATGACCAAAATGATTTTATACCGTTTCTTTCCATTCTGAGGTACCATCATGTGATCGTCCACCCATTCTCGTCCATCTACATCTGTACCCATTTTCACCCAGGTCCTCTCCACTTTCCCTGTACCAAGTACTACCATCTTCGTTGGTACCAGATTCATTGACATTTTCATTCAACAAGCTGATGCCCCAGTCCTTTTCATTTGCAATACCAGTGTCTGCATTGAGGAAACAAGTGAAGATAACATCATTTAGCCATGCCATTGAATCAGAAACTTTTAGATGTAATTACACAAGCAAAAGCCTATGTGGGAGGCTATCATCATAAATTTAACAGGACTATGGCATTATCCGAATAAGAAAATAACATAACCAAGAATTGTAGGTTTACCTCTTTTTGGTGGAGTGTCTCTGGACTGTGGACCAGAACTTCTTGGGGTACAACGAGGAGAAAACTTTTCTTGTTTTGAAACAAAACGAGACCTAAAATAGTCAACAAAGCAAAGCAACATCATAAATTCTGAGAGGTAATGCCACTGAAGTAATAGATTGAAATGCGCGTGCCTCGTGCCCCATCAGATAAAGGAAAGCTGATGGAAGTTAAAAATTCAAATTATTCAGTAATAGAAGATTCATAAGCATCTCTATCACTGTGTCAACAACAAACACATAATTCCACCAATACGTAATCAACTGGAAACTTGAAAAATCTTCTTAACATCATTTCCTCAACACATATAATCTAAACTGCGGAATGTAATTTGCTTAATTAGCAGTCCTATTTTCATCTTGCCAATCCTATCTTAATATGCAGAATAAAGTTGAAGATCGATCATAAAATTTTTCGTATTCTGAAGGAATCGATCACAGTAAAGAATAGGTGATGAATACTACCTATTAAGTAAAATCCAGAAAATCAAAAATCAGTAAAGAATTCACAAAAGAGAAATACTGAAATAAAAAGAAACTAAAAACGGTATCATACTGTGAAGAAGCAAAAGGCAATGCTGGAATGGCTTTAGCACGGACCCTATGGGAGGTCTTCTCATCAATTTTCTCCGAACTCTTACTCGCCCCGCCGGTCCTCCGAATCGGAACCACAGAATCCGAGCAGCAGCAACTGATTCGACTGGCCTCCACTCGGTTGACCAAGGTCCTCCTCTTCTTCTTCCTTAGCTGCAATCCATAAACAGTACTATGAACGGGAGAGATGAGAAGCCGAGTGAGCTTGAAATGAAGCTGAGTGGACAAACCACTGGAACTCGCTGCCATTGAGAACAAAAATTACAAAAATGCCATGGAAAAACCCTAGCCAATAAACGAAGGTTTAAAAGAAAAGAGGTTGTTGGATAGTGAAACGTACGGAATAAGTAGGGGTGGTTTTGAAGTGCAGAGACTTGAGAGAGAAGGAGACTTGGAGAGTTTCAAAATTTAGAAATATATTGTTAAGAGAGAAAAAAGGCCAATGGAAATGGAGGATAGAGAATCGGGAGAATCTTTGCGGTGAGACATTGGATTGACAGAGAGTGAGAGCGAGAGAGATAGAGAGAGAGAGAGAGCGGGGGAGAGAAAGAGATGCGGTGGGTGTGAGAGCAGATCGGTGTGAGATATCGGCCATTGCTGCGAATCCGGGATTTAATCATACACGTGAGCAAAGAGGACCCACTCTGCGTTTTGTATCCGTTATACTTTTGTGGTTGTGCCACGTGTCAAAAATTTAGCCGTCATGTTCCTTGGCCTTTTAAGGGAGATTGGTGGGTGGGGATGGTATTATTTGGAATTTTTGGATGTATATTAATTAATATAATCCATAAAATAAATTATTAATAATAATTAAGTTAATTTATTTATCTCCTAATTTGTCATGCGATGCAAATATTGCGAGTGATAACAGAAATAATTGATATTCTCAATAGCTCAAAAGAGAAATACTAGATTAAGTTGCTATTTTAAAATGACTGTCTAACAAATTATTTTTTAAAAATATATATATATTTAATATGAATAACAAAGAGACAAGGTGGAAAATCTATGAAATAAATTTTAAAAAGAGTTACATGCTAAAGGAAGATGTCGTATTTAAAATTTAAAGTTAGCTAAATTTCTGTTACGAAGTTTTTGTATATAATCTTCCGTACATAAGCCTCTATTAATTAGTTTTACCATATGTTTTTTTTTATTTTATTTTAATTCCTTATCCACTGGGTTTTTATCCAAATAACTCAAAATCCGTTTTATTTTGCCTTTGTTTTCCTCCCTCACACGTTTTCCAAATTGTGAATCCTCTTCTCCCTGTGCTTTTGTTCCACGTGTCGGTACATGGTGGCTTGGTGACATGGAAAGTTGCCTGCTTACCATGAAAACCTGGTTACGGATAAGCTGGAAACGTGGCGGCTCGCTGTCAGGGAATACGTGGCAGAGGATGTGTGCACGTGTCATTATCAGAGGATTGTGGAAAAAAAACTTGGCTCTGTGTGTTGGACGAGGAAATCAAAATCAATTTATCCTAGTCATGAGTCATGATGTTCCGTTTTTGGATAAGCTTAATGTCACTTCAAATTATGACCGTCACCAAACATAACAAAGTACGTGATCGTAACAAAATTTCCATCAAAGGATCAATAGCAGCCACTTGTATGGGTAATGAATTGAAAAGCACGTTTAAATCCCCATCTGTCTACATATTATCAGGTGAAACGTACAATCCATTTGGGAGGAGAAGAAACAATTTCTTTTATTGGATGGCTATGGACATAATTAAAAATCCCACAACCTCAAGAAGAGAATAATGCAAGAAATGTCTACCCAGACCAGCATTCAAAGCTAAACTTATGGCCATGTCCAGCCATCCCCTGTTCATCAGCCCATGACATTGGAAAATCACGTTTAATTGAACGCAATAAAATAAATAAATATAGAATTTAAAAAATAAAGAGTCCACTTATAAATTTTATTAAAGGATTATAAATAATAATTCTATATTTCCATATAAACCAATTTTTTATGTAAATAAAAATTTCAATTTATACTCCAAGCAGACAACAAATAATGATAAAAAGAAAACACATTTAAAAATTTGTTTATTGGATTCTCACTGCAGCAGGAATGTCTTTTTAGGTATTCTGCATTGATTCTCTGTCTCTTAAAAAAGAAAAAAAAAATGAAATCGAAAAACAAACTCCGATCATCTTATTTATATTTTGTCCAAAACAATAACACAAACAAAGTTAAAATGAAACCGAGTCATCTATAATTGTAAATCGACAATGGTAGTAACTTCCCTAAAATCAAAAGAATATTGTTGTGTGCAGCTACTAATCAATTTGCTTCCTTGAAATCCATTCCTAAAGCAAGAATAAAGCTTGAAATGCTGCATCCTTGTTGAGCCAAATGGTAGCCCATCCAAATTCATATCTACGATATGGTTCTTCAGAATGGTTTATAGGGATGGAAAAACAAAATGAGAGTTCCACCATGAGGCCAATCTACATTGGCTTCACTTTTTTGAGAGGAAAGGCTTGACTGATTCTACAACTACCTGCAACAAATGAAAACTTCTTGTGTTTGCTATAATAGGTTTCTTAAAATAAAAATTGTGCAATGTGTTGCAAGAATCCAGACTAGACAATGCATGTCTATACACGTGCTTGCAAGAAAAGGGTATGTCGATCCATGCAGTTTCAACTATTATCCCCGCAGGAAGAAAAATAGAACTTCACTACTGTTATTTCTCCCTGTTATAAAATATAAAGGGGACTTACCCTTCCATCATAAGATAAAGATGCAAAAACCCAAGGCTCACGAGAACTCCAAGCAAGACCTATAATCACAGTTAAAATGCATCAGAATTAAATCAAAATTTACAGTGAATAAAAACCAGATGGCTAGACTGGTTACCATAAACACTGTCTTCGAAATCACTGTATGAATAAAGCAATGGATCAACTTGCCGAGTTGGTGAGTCAACCAAGCTGGCAAAAACAAAAACATAAATGACATAAGAGAATGAAGTAGGAAGTCATAACAAAATTCCGGGATAAAGCCAAGAAAAAGACCTTTCAGATGCCCTCTCATCACCAGTCAATGTTGAAGCTAACCACAAGTTTACAGTCGAGTCTGTGCCCCCACTCTGCAAAAGCTTAATCATGGTCAGGAAACTGTAAATACATACCATAGGTAGAAAGAACACAAAACATTGTTACTTCAATTGTCAACGCCATCCATAGATTAATGCCGGAAGGATATTTTCCCTTCCTAAATCAGATGATGATGGTGAATGACCCAAGTCAAACCTAGACCCAAAAAATCAACACTACTTGATTGTATTGTACTACCACCCTTAGACTGTAGCATGACCAAGGAGCATTGAGAATTGCTACCATTTTTATTTTTTTTTTGTTTTTTTGGCACTCCCTGTTGCCTACAAATGGTCCCTTTGTAAAAGCAAATTAGCTCATAGAAATGCAAAAGATGCTTTTTGAACAATTTATGATTTATGAATATTCCAACCTTTCCATCAATTATACTGACAATTTAAAAGCAAAGATCCTCTTTGGAAGCAGAACTTTTTTTTTTTGATTAAAAAAGCAGATTAATGTTAAGTAGAAATATAATAGTAAAATCTTTATTTGATAGAGGAGAGTAAGGAAGAGACCAGAATCAGCCCGCCGTACTCTGGGTTACATGCAATAGCCCAAGACCTGAAAACAATTATAGACACAATGAGACAACTATACCTTAATATGAGTAATCTACAGGCACTAGAAATGAACCAACTGAAGATACAAATTTACGCAAAAGAACTTAATAAATGCACATAGAAACATAAAATAAATGGTTCATCAACAGTGAAAATGGCCAGAAATTAATCAGAGATTCAGAATGTAACGGAGTACAAATTGAATACCAGTGAGCATGTCCAGGAAGTTCTTCAATAGGAACCTTTGGCATTCTAAGGTCCCATATACGAACCCCAGATTCCTCCTCTGCAGTAACCTGCAATAATTAATTTCATAATGCTAAGAAGTAGGATCAACTCAAAGCACAACTTATAACATCCAACAGGAATTACTAAAGACATATGGGTAAATGGAACAAAGTGAATAATTAACTTCACAATGAATTTAAATTTTAGTTCAGCAAGCATGCATATTGCTAAACAGAGCTAAACTCTTACAAGAACATGCTTCTTCTTGGTGTTATAATCAACATTGCGCAAGTGGGCACAATCAATTGAATTTGTCTTCCTGTAAGTATAAAAATAATGTTATAAAAATAATCCTACAAAAGAACTAATGCGAGCACCTCCCAACAAAAGAAGAAGAGGGAAGAAATTTAGGCAAGATATGATACTTCATTGTTCTTAGATCCCAAAACTGGATTGCGGATTCACAAGTTGCTGCAATAGCATTCACATCATGTGGGTCCCATGCCCCACCAGATAAGTAATGCAACATACCAGCTGACTCCTTAGAATGCACCTAGATTTTGCAGTAAACATCTGAATAAGTATCAGCATAGATTCCAAGGTATTGACAAAGACAAACACATATTTTTACAACTGAACTTCATATGCAGTCCAAAGTTGCAAACTAATGTCTTCTATCAATTTTCTTTCCACATATTATTCTACAAATATTTATCATATTAATCTTTTAGTTTTGTAAGTTTTACTCAAGAGACATGAGCAAAAAAATGAATTCGCGAGCAATTTATGTTTTGTACCACAAACAGACACCACAAATGTCATTATGCCAGTATCTTATTCTGAACCTCTACCTGGGCAGCTTTTCTAGAACAGTCTAAACTCCACAAGAAAATATTCTCCTCGTCAATGCTGATCAGCTTATCATTTCTCCCTGATGGCCACCACAAAATGCTGTTTGATACCCAAATGAAATTAGTGAGCCAAAGTTCCATACAAATAAAGCATAACATATAAAATTCAATAGGCTAAAAAGAAACATCATGTGAAAGCTGCACAAATAAAGATTATAAGACAATATTGGATGAGAACCAAATCTTTCTGATGATACTAAATATAATATTTCAGAAAATTCAGAATAGGTAGATTTAGTTTTCAGTTATCCCTAAAAGGATCTCTTCATTTTTGATAATTTTAGCTAAATCAGACCTTTCAAATAACAAAGATAAGTCACCACTTCCACTGTTTGAGAACTGGATGCATTGGCATTGACTACTACGAGAAGAATATACAAACTTACCAATTAATCTTTCCAGAGTGTGAATCGAGGGAGGCAATTTTTTCCAATTGAGGTGAATTTAACTGACCATATAACTCAGGGATCTGCCATACTGCTGCTCCATATGACTCGCCTTCAATATTAACAAGAAAACTCAACAGATTGGAATTGCTCATGGTTTTGTAAAAATTGTTAGAAAGCAAAAAAATATTGTCCAGCAGAAATTTTAATTTTTCTAATAAGCAATTAATTCACTGAAAACCAAAAAGCAACTAAAAGGGTTTAATGATCATACTTTGATAATGCTGAAAACATCATATTATGAAGAAATGTTAATATTGAACTTCAATTGTGCAACTTAACAGGTTAACATAGTATCGAACATTTAATGCAGCTTAATTAAAAGCAATCAAGCAACTCGAGCCAGAAAACTACAACTACAAACAAATTACACTGAGCGTAAAAGAATGAATAAAAGAATAAGAGCAAATATAACCAGTTAAGCATGAATTAGGTACCAGTAGAAAAGACAGTGGAGAAGATGCGTTGATCAAAGGGACACGAAGAGAGGTCCCAGATCTCATTAGGATGCGAAAACAGGCCCTCGCATATGAGCTCAGTTCCACCTGAAGATAGCCGAATCAAATGCACCTGAGCATCAGAGTTTAATTCAATATATTAGATCGAATGGTTAATAAATTAAGCAATCACTTCCATTCCAACTAATCAAAGAAAAAAAAAACAGAGTATACCTCATTTTCTTCTCTAAGACTGAGAGTGCCAGTGATGAAGCTGGTATGATCTGTGTCTGCTTTAACATCTGATATGCATCTAGCCTAGACAAGATTGAGATGGATTTAGAATCAAAAAGAAGTAATATTATGATTGTACAAAGGTATATAAGGATTATGAAAAGTAGTAACTTAGGGTTTTGCATTTTGACCTGATATTTGAGACCATATCCTATGCCTGACGATCCTCCTGGCATTTTTCTCGACTGCCTGATACCACAATCTACCTAACTCTCCATGCTAAATGGCACTAATTTGATGTCTTCTCCTCAGTAGATTTTTCGTTTTCGTTTTCGTTTTCGTTTCTGTAACTGTAAGAAAGTTATTTTATTTTATTTTATTCCTAAAATTAATAATAGCATTTTGATTTAGTTGATTCTATTATCAGCGATTTTTATTAAGCGCCGTGGATGAGTTAAGAAAGGCCCACACCACATCAGGGCTCAGGCCTCTTGCTACTGTGGATTTCAATTGATTCTTTAACCGTTGAACATAGAGTGATAAAATTTATAGTTCGCTAAAAATAAGTTCTGAGTTGTGAATTTCATGAAATCTAATAATAAAATCGTCAGTTCTTTAAAAATGAGTTTTGAATTTTGAATTCCTTGGAAATAATTGAATTGATTTGTATTTGCATTTGCAGTTTACTGGGTGAACTTACCTTCGCGCGAGCATAATAATTTCTCCTTCATACCTAAAAGGCTAAGACAACGTGGAAAAATCTTCAAAATTTACTTTCAATTATGATAATTCTTTCCCTTTTAACCCTTCTCTCTTTAATTTCTTGTTTCAACTCTGCCCTTCTATCTATCCTCTCCTTTTTTTTACAAAGATGTCTAATAAATGTTCCCATCAGCAGCTCAACAAGCAGTTTCATAAAGCTCAATTCCAAAAGTCTGGGTCTCATATCCATTTCCCCGAATTCCACAGCAAAAGAGACGGAAGGCTGACTGAGAGATATTTTCAACTAAGAGACCCTTACCTCGCTGATGCTCCATAGATAAATAGAAGATTAACAACACTGGTGACATGCCGAACACAAGGAATGGAATGGAATTTTTGAAAGGAATGTCTTGCATCTTGCATGTGTCATAAACCCAAAGAAGTTCAATCGGAGACAATTTCTTCCAATTCAGGTTCCTCAGAGTCGAATCCGTCGTAATCAAAACCTGAGCCATCAAATGGAACTTCCTCTGGCGGGCCTTCTTGATCCCCATCATTGTCGGGTTCAGGCAATTCTAGTTCATCGTCAATATTTGGATCATCATTTGTGTTATCTTCTACTGTTGCATTATAACCCTTCCCATACTTTCTAGGTCCTGAATCTTTCTTTGCTTTGGCCTCAGAATCTTCACAGATGCAGGTGTGGGGGTTCTCATGGAACTCTCCTCTGCCTGGTCTAACCTCCTTTGGCTCCCCCATGAAGCCCCGCTGGTAACTACGCACTTTAGAAGCAAACACATCCCATGTCATGTTACCTTCGTTCAAGAACAATCGGTACAATTTTTTAGCATTTGGACGAATGGTAGGTTTATGTCCAAAATATTTCCTACAGTTTAAGGAAACAATGAAAATTAGGCACCTGAAACAAGTAACTGAAGAATAAAGAATAGAAAATGAGAGATCAGTTACCTCCTTCCAGCTAATATTCTAGCCATATTACCATTGTTATTAGTAACAAAGACATCACTTTCATCACAAACAATAAAGTCTAGTGCAGCCATTCGGGAAGAAAAAGAAGAAAATCGTTCCAACTCTTGCTTGCTGGCTAGAGTCTCTTTCGTATAGAAGTTTGGGAAGAGTGCTTTTAGGGGAGCCAATGTTTCTTTGCTTCTGTATACTTCTCCAGAGGCAACATAAATATGAACATCACTGCCATAACCCAGTGCTCTCAACATCAGACCAACTTCCTTTGGAGTGAGAGGGCATTTTCCATGTCTTCTTTCCTTTTCAGGGTTTTTCATCTGCAGATATATTAAAAATAAATCTCATACTGTTTCATCTATTCCAAACAAAATCAAATCAACAGAATCTAAAATTATTCAGGAAAGATGTGAAGCAAATCCTCTTTACTACAAGACTCGTTATATTATAAATAAAAATATAGCAGATGTTACGAGATTGCTAATCAACCTGTGATGAATATTGAACTTATTCAGACATAAGAACTTGCAATCAACAAATATTTACAAATCCACACATATTATAGATATCATAGGGAATTTCCAAATTAAACCTACAGTTAATGCTTGACATGTAGGTCTCCATTCTTCTTTCTTCAAAAATTTAAATTCAATGTTTATGTTAGTTTAATTTGACAGGAGTCAGTCACTTGAACCTTACATGTAAAGTTTTCCACCTCCTCCTTATGGCACCCAGTTCTTCTCTTTCCTGATCACCTCCGCCGTAATAGCATCCGGAGAATGCCAACATATCAGGCTCAAACCTGCGGCAAGAAATATTTAATTGCATTAAAAAATCATACAATGATCATCAAAACTAAATTATAGTTTCTTGAATGTAGAGTCAGCAGCTTAAATATGAACCTAATCTTCTATATGGTGCATCATATCAACCCAGAAATTCCGGGTCGTCATGCTCTCTTATTAGGTCATCACCCTATATTTATGATTTTAACTGTCAAATCAAACAAAAATGATGCTACAAGTCCCCTCCCTGAGCATGCAAGAATCATAGGGTTTAAAATATGTCCATATCATCTGAAAGTCGTTCAATCATATTCATATGTGAACAGGGGGGTTTTATGTGCATATCAACATGATTCCATACTTTATTTTAAATTATTGATAAAAACACATTGACAAGCAAGGATGTCTAGCAGTGAGAAAAATGCATAAAAGATGGGGATAATCAATTGACAGGTTGTGAAAATACTTGACGGTTAGGCCCGTGGTCCAATAAATACAGCATAACAAAACAAGATGAAGTTGTCATTACTAATTGATGAAGGTCACTAAGAATCCAACAGCTTTTATGAAACTCAATGAGAATACCTCAGGTGCAAGGCAATGTAGTGCTTGCTTTTCATCTTCATCCTGTGTACTAATGTTTTGCCCATTTCAAGAATAGAATCAGTAAACTTCAAAGCGTGATAGTTAACTCTACATCTCAATTTTTGCAATTGCGTGTCCAATTTGTTTGCGAGCCTGTAATCAAATTTGGTGAGCTGAATTGCCTGTCACAGAATCAAAACTAACAATGTCATTTTTAAAATAATAAGCTAATCATTAATAACACCAACTATAATTGATTAATTAAAGCCATCTAAGATTTTCAAATGACAGTATTCTGAATTACAAGGTGCATACAAATAGCAATATAAACAAAGAGCCAAGGAAAAACAATGATTGTAGTACAGTTGTAATGTCAAAGCAAGAGATAGCTTGTATGTGATTCCAGTCGATGTGATAAGATATGTTTCATCACAAATGTAGTCTTAAAACCCATAATGGCCAACAGCAGAATCTTAAACCAATCAAATAATAGAGTTAAGAATGAATTCCATTAAATGTAGCATTAACATTTAATATAGTTCTACATTAAGGGCTTCACATGTATTTTCCTTATCAAACATTTCATCCACCATCTGAAACAAGTTTCCTCCGCCAATGAACATTTTAATCACTGCATGGATGCATTCTAAACTGGACCTAATGGTCACATTGGCAAGACAAGACAACCAACTCGGCAAATGAGATTGAAAGATAAACAAACAAACCTCTGTTGATGCCTACAAATAGGTATAACATGATTTAGATACAAATAATGATAGAGGCAGGCAATAGAAATATAGGATACAATCCTGGCAATAAAACATAACCAAGTTTATAGTGTGATGAAGTAAGGAAAAAGGGTTGTGGAGAACCAAGAACTTACATGCCTTTTCAAAAGAACGGGTAACACACGATTTTGATAGCATCTCTCACTACACTTCCTCGGAACACGCATATTTCGTGGAGTCCAAGTTTTCCCTCCCCTTTTCGGAAGGCTTTTTATGATTTTGACATCATTTGATAGAGAAGATATGAACCAATCAACATCAAAAATCTCAGCAAAATTACTGCACAGAACAAAGTAAAATAATAGTTCTCTTTCATATTATAATTCACATTTCAAACACTTGTTCTTTTCTAATATTTGAGCACTTATACAATATTGAAGAAATCAACTTGCAAAATAGTCACAGTCATTGTCATGTCATTACAAACCTTGCATCCTTCCAAAAGGATTTCTGGTCCAGCTTCGGAATAACAAGAGTAGCATTTAGAATACGGGCAGCAACAACAGCATCAGTAATCTGCAAAAGTGTGAAATGAAACCTTTTACCAAATGGGAAACTGATCAAATGACTTGTAGATTTATATTCAGGATGCAGCAGAGTAGCAGCACAACATGGTCCAAACATCCTAGTAAAATAAAATACATCTCTAGGTAAGACACCACCAGACCCAATGTTACAGCCACCATAATTGCAATGATTGAGATACTAAATCGTGCAATCCATTCATAGTAAAGTGAAATCATACTTAATCATATATGTTTGCTTTCAACAAACAAATACATGTAAAATTACTCCAGTTCTGAGTTCCTGAATGGCATGTTGAGACGACAAAAAACCATACAGTTTCTCCGAAACGAATGCTTTTGTATGCATGTAATGTTTTTACTGGAATTGGGACAAAGTAAAAAAAAAAAAAAAAAGGACAAAGTAAAAAAAAAAAAAAAGGAAAAAAAAGAATTGTTTCAAAGGGGTCTGGCGCTACCAATCAAACTGGTAAGGGGAAACACCAAGAACACAAAATGTACAAAATGGTTAGCCCAAAAGGTACCCAAGTCCTTGTTTTTGATTCAAGCCCCTTTCAAAAAAAAAAAAAAAAAAGAAAAAAGAATTGTTTCAAGGGTCTGGCGCACCAATCAAACTGGTAAGGGGAAAACACCAAGAACACAAATGTACAAAATGGTAGCCCAAAAAGGTACCCCAGTCCTTTGTTGATTCAAGCCTCCACTTGTAGCAATCAGCAGATAACGATCATGTTGTGTTATAGTGTCAGCATCTGCAGCATGATTGACGAAGTTCAGCTCAAAAAACTGATTCAATCCCTAATGCTATTTACTGTAAGAGTGAACTTCGTTACAATTTCTTTAAGCAGGATAAAAAACATAAACAAAGAAACGTGAAAACAATTGTAAAGAGATATACACACTTGCAAAATTCTTGCTAGCATTACTGCATCCATAGAAGAATTTGGAATTTCTTGATGTCCAAATATCATGACCCAGTCTCCCTCCGCCCCTCTAATGCATAAAACAAGACAAAAGAAAAATAAGCCAAGTCCCGATCCAACGGAAAATCTCGAATAGCTCCAACGGAAGTACCTGTACAGTAACAAATTCAATTTTAAAAATAATTGAAGGAAAAGAAACCCTAACCGGGACACGGAAAACTGGTTCTCCAATAGCAACATCAGCCTCGACAGCTAACTGAATAAAAATGAGAAAAATAAGATGAGTAAACAGGAAGGCATCTGAAATTTGATATGCACAGATATGTTTCTATTGATATAAGTGTATGCGAAGAGCGCGTGATAGAGGGAATGTGAGCACCGAAGAGTCATGCGGGCGACGGTTGCCAAAGCTATCGGAATCTATGGGAGACGGGGCGAGAATAGAGATGAGACCAAATAGAACGAGAAGAACTCCGGAAACAGCAGATATCAATGGAACCAAAGTACGGAAGCGGTTGTAATAATGATGACGGCGCCTAGGAAAAGCCATTTCTGGTTTTGGTGAAGGTCAGGAGAACTAGCACTTCTCTCCCTCTGAAGTATATCCCTGTATAGGTAGAGGGAGAGGGTATAGTTAGAGGGAGAGGAGTTAGAGCCAAAATGGATCTGGTTCTGTTAAGACTCCATTGTTTAGTGGAGGGAGAACCGGCGTAGTTTAAAAAAGTGATAAACGACAAGGACGTTGAGTTAGCGATTTTGTATCAGATGGGTTTTTGGCGCAGAGAGAAAAATAGGAAAGAGTGGATGGAAGACACGGTGAACCGCCAAATAAAAACGAAAAGAGACCTGTAACCAGTAATTGTGAGCTGGCTCAGTCAGTTTTCGCTGTTGAAAGGGTATAAATTACCTACCCACGGCCGATGTAATGTTACCTATTTTTATATAATAATAATAAAAAAAAATCTATTTTTTAATTTCCTTTCAGCTAGATTCCATCTCAGTGACAGATTGGCCTCTCTTGGTTGTCGCCGGCACCGATAATGTTCCAGTCACGTGCGTAACACGTGAATGCTTTTGACCTTTTCTTTTTTATATACAAAATAGTTCTTAATTTAAATATGAATGACACCTTAAAAGCTGTTATTAATTGGTCCAACATAATAATAATTGGGATAATGCTTTGAAGTTAAAACACTAATAAATTTTGAATGAAAGGTTATTTTCCAACATGGCAATACTGTTTCGAGGTCAAAGAACTCAACACTAATAGAATAATTGATCGACTAGAATAATTAACGAGCAACTGATTGCCAAAAAGCTAATATTGAAAAATAGTACTGAGTGATATATTTTAAACAATTAATTTTATATACCCTGTATTATATTATAGTCAATTTCAATAAAAAAATTAAACGCAAAATTTATTAATAACGATACATATTTAATGAAAATATATAAAAAAAATTAAGAACTTAATTGTAATTTTACAAAAGAAAAATAGTTTATAATTTCAAAAAATTACTAACTGTACCCTTTATAAGACAAAAGGAAATTTTTTTTTTTAATGGGATCTCTCTCCTAATTTGATTATTACAAATGACGTGTTTTTTTTTTTTTTCCTCTATGAAGATTTTATTTTTCACTTTCTTTTTTAAAATCAAAATTTGATTTTGAACTTGGTATTGGACGACTAATTTGATTATGTAAGCTGTGTAAATTGTAATGGTACGCAAATTGTGTTTAGTTAATGACTGATGCGCATATTATCATTAGAAGCCCATTATGTCGGAAATACGGTGACGTCGTGTTGAAATTTCGAGAGGATGACATTATTTTTTATTTTATTTTGTAAGGAGAAGATCACGTGACCTTTGGACTACTCTATTGACAGACGCAGAGATGCATTAGAGGGCTGACATGCATTAGAGGGCTGACGCTGAGAACATAGGGGTCAATATTTAATATTTAATTCGAAAAAAAAAATGCTTCCGAGTTGCAAGTGCTTCATTCGGTTTGCAAGTATCCCATGCCATTATAAGACGCAACACCACCGATCAAACTGAATTGAATCGATTTGAATCATTTAATTTGATCAATTTTTATTATTTTAGTTCGATTTTAAATCTAATTAATATTTTTTTATAAAATTGATTCGAACCAAATAACAAATTTGGTTCCAATCAATAAATCAAATCTTTTTTGACTAATTGACTGAACCAAAACAGATTAGTTCGATTCAATTGTTAGTTTGGACTAGAACTTAAATCTGGTCCATCAGACCACTCGATCATACTGCCGGTTTGGGTTTTGCACTACATACCCAAATATATTTTATGACAGCTGTGGGATTGAAACCCAAACCCACACCCTCCAGACTAGAGCCTATCGGTTCAATTTGATCAGTGATTTTGCACTACAACAGGTCCCCAGATATAATTTAAGGTGTTAAAAAAGCACGAAAATCGTTATATGACAGCTGTGGGGTTTGAACCCACGCCCTTTCGGACCAGAGCCTAAATCTGGCGCCTTAGACCACTCGGCCAAACTGTCCAATACATGTGTTATGTTTTGTTATTTTCCCTTTTAGCAAATAAAAGAGCAGTCTCTTTCAATATCTTCCCTTTATTAATATTACGAAAAAGGAGTTTTTCTTTTCCATAATACCGCGTGATCAAAATGGAAAGACATTTTTTAAAGATTTGGAAAAAAATATATATATATATAATAATAACAATTTTTCAGTTAATTATTAAGTTGAATTAAAATAGAATAAGTTTGATAACAAATTTATAAATAATTTTAGTGAAACTCCTATTTAATTTTCTGTACCCATAATTTTTTTAAAAAATACTTTATTATTTCATTTCTCCAATAGAAAATGCACTCTCTTGTTTTTTAATCTATAATTACAATCGTATTTTCCTTTTCAAAATGCGATAATTTTTGTAATTTTCTTTTCTAAAAATATGAACTAAATTATTAATTTCTATTAATATTTGCACAGTTTTTTTTATTAAAAATGACATTGACTATCAATATAAAAATATAAGAAAAAAAATTAATACTATTATTATTTTTTTAATTTGTATAAAAATAGAAATAAATCTATTTTATGGGATAGAAGTTTTACGTAATAGAAAGTGTGGGCGGAAAATATCAAATTGAAACATAAACTGAATAGTCGAGCGGCTGCTCAGCCGCTCAGGCACAATACTAACTTGAAACTTCCCTCATTTGCTGGGCCCTAAGCCACTCACGCCTTGGTGTGAGTTAGCCGAATGGCTGAACAGCTGCATTTTAATGGTTCCCATGCTGTTAACAGAATAAACGGTTACTTAAAACTAGATGTAGCGAGCAAAGCAATCTTAACCACCCGATTGCAAAAATACGATAATCGTCTAGAACCAACCCACAGCTATACGGTGGAACTGAACTCTTTCGCCAAACAAATCCTCATCTCTGGGAAGTCTTCACATCGCAAGACGGTCCTGTACTGTCATCCGCCTGAAGTTCACTTCACTAGGGTTAATGGCGAGAATATAAAATAGCATTAGAGCTATTTAATTTCAAAAATTGGTACTGTGAAAAAATTTACTGGAAATCATGTTAGCTCAGATGAACTCGTTGACTGTGAAACCCAGCCTTTTTGTACCTAAATTATCTTCTTCCTCCTCTAATTTTATTATTCTTGTACCTGGTCGACATACAGTAAGCTTTCCAAGAAGGACGAAGGATCTCACTGAAGGAAGATTAGCCTTGAGAGTCAGAGCTTATGATTCTTCCAAGGATGATTCTGCGAATAACTCTGGTGATTCCAAACCACCCAATGGCACTCTGGTATGTTTGCTGTTTTATCTTTTCTTTATCACTTTTATCAGTATTTATATGCATATTTGTGATTTAATTGATGGTTTGTTTTGTTTGTGCTTTATGGTTCTGTGTAGGTCTTGAATTATATTTATATGTTTTGATTGGTAATAGAAAAGGAGTATGCAATGTTGGTAATCGCGATAGTCACTGGTCAATGGAATATATGAAAGAGGTCAAGGCACGTTTGGCTTTGGAAATGGAGTCATTTAGACATTCCGTTCTAATTTTATTTCTTTAGGTAATTAAACAAAATGAATGATAATTTGAGTAATAGTAAACAAAATTTTTAGAGTCTGTTTTCACTAACTTTAATTGATTCAGATATAGAAACATCTTGGAGAACTGGAATCTTTGAATGCTAAACGAGATGGAGTTCTCAAGAATTGCATTCCATTTATCTTCCAGAGTTAAAGAAACATGTTCTACTGTTTAACTGGAGAGCAATTTTAACAAAAAGTGAATTTCTTCTTCTTTTTAATATAATTGAACAGGATAAGGTTTCCATACAAGTATTAGGACGTTTTGAGTGGAGAATTTTAATCGACTACTGTTCTTTGATTGCTATACTATTAATATGTTTGAATACTGTTTTTGAATCACCTCTTTGGGATTTGCAGTCAAAGACCAGGAGAGAGATTCTATTGGAGTATGTAAAAAATGTGCAGCCAGAATTCATGGAGCTATTTGTGAAAAGGGCACCACAGCAGGTCTTCAAAATTCCCCCTTTTGGCACCATTTCATTTGCTTTCATAGGTTACTATTGTGTAGTTTAACTTAAATTGTCAGAGGAGGCCGATATGTCCATGCTATAGTGGTCTTGGTGGAAAATTGGGTATGAAACATCTATCTCATAAATCATTTGTTTAGGTCGTTGAAGCAATGCGGCAGACAGTGACAAATATGATTGGAACATTACCCCCACAATTTTTTGCTGTAACGGTTACCACTGTAAGTTTATTTGATATCTGTGGACTTGCTGATACGGAGAGACAATAAGTTTGCATTTTTGGTTAACTAAAATCAGCTTGATTATCTATCTCATAAATCATTTGTTTAGGTCGTTGAAGCAATGCGGCAGGGGAAAAACCAGTGACAAATATGAATTGGAACATTACCCCACAATTTTTTGCCTCTTGTAACGGTTTACCACTGTAAGTTTATTTGATATCTGTGGGACTTGCTGGATACGGCAGAGACAAAATAAGTTTGCATTTTTGGTTAACTTAAAAATCAGCTTGATTAATTTGTTTTTAGGTAGCTGAAAATCTTGCATTGTTTTAGGTAGCTGAAAATCTTGCACAGCTCATGTACAGTGTTATGATGACTGGTTATATGTTTAAGAACGCACAATATCGCTTGGAATTGCAACAGAGTTTGGAGCAAGTTGCTCTTCCTGAGGCACAAGATGAGAAGGTAACTTCTTTCTTTTAAGGTTGTTAATTCTTGACACGTAATCAAATTTAAATCAGATCCTTAGGTTTTGTGGTTGTTTTGTGAGTCCATAACCTACTAATTATTAAATTATGAAAACCCCCCTTTGAGTCAAACCATATAGCTTCTGCGTCAAGTTATTATTTTCAAGTAAATTATTATCTTTTTTCATATCAATAATCCTTCTCCCGATAGCGATTATTGAAATAACTCAATTCAGAGGAAATTTTCTGCCCGGAAGCTTTAAGCACAATAATAAGTTATAACAAGAACAATGAAAAATAAATCTAATGTCATAAACTGGAATCGAATTAAGTTACATCAAATCCCTAGTATAAAAGTTTAGCTAGACATAGTAATTAAATAAAACTCATTCATGTTTAAATCATTCATCATACTCATACTAAGGACAATAATGGGAAAAGAAAAAAAAAAAGAAGAGTTAGAAATAAAAACTGTATCCACAAGCTATATAGATGGCTTCCTTGATTCTTGCGCACAAAAAACTGGATGCTTTAAGCCGTCTAAGAGGAAGAGAATACGTAGAGAGTTTGCATTAAAAAACGAGATTTCCCTAGCAATGAGAGTTCCCTTTCTTTATATAGAGCTCCTGAAGGTAAGGTCTGCTCCTTTTAGGGAAATTAGAATCCTATTTGGTGCAAAATCTTTTCTTTTATAGGAGATCATGACTGTTTAGGCTTTTGATTTCTTCTTAATTAGGACTCCTTTCTCTCCCAAAATAGGTCTAGGTCTTGTTTAGTATGTTTAAACTCTCCGAGGCGGCCCATGTGAGAAAAAGATGGATTTGCGTATTTAGTTCACGCTAATTCTGTTCTGCGCAGCACGGGCGTGCCTTTGTGCACGGGATGGGCGTGCTTTAGTCTGGAAGTCTGGCTAGTGAAGCACGGGGTGTGCTAGGCAAGCACACCCTGATGAATCCCTGAGGCACGGGCGTGCCACCAAGCACAGGCTGCTTTGCTTCTGTCACTCCCGCCTAAAAGTCATGGGCGTGCTAGGTTTGACACGCCTTGATCCCATTTTGCACGGCGTGCCTTTTGGCACCACCCTGGCCGTGCTCTCTTACTGTCTCTCCTTTGATTTCTTAGCTTTTTGCACGGTTTCTGTGCCTTCTAGCATTGGCCTGGGTAGTGCTAGGAGGCTGAGTGTCTTGCCTATGAAAATGTTTCTTTTCTGTGCCAATTCCTTACATTTTCTCTTAGATCAAGCGGATAAAGAACTCAAGGAAGCTTTTGAACAAAATATATACCTAGATTGAATTTTAAAATCAAATTAAACTAATAAAACTTTACTAAATCCTTCAATAAACTATATTAAAAAACACTTATAAAAATTAACACCATCCAAAACACGTCACATACTTAAGGTGATTTGGGTATGGTTGGACAAACTTCATCTTCATGCACATTACTACTTATACAATTGGTTTTGATGGATAGTGTCTATAATATTTTTTTCATTTATTTTTTCTATTTTTTAAGCTCTTGCATTTTACATAGCTGAGTTTTGTAAGCAGGAGGTTTAGGTGTTTGTTTTTTCACTTATATTTTGCAATTTACATATTAGACGCTACAAACTGTTACAGCAATGTGCCAGATTATGCTTCCTGGTACGCAGCGAAGAACGTGTCTGGTGAAGTTATCAGGTGCGAATAATGTTTCTAGGCTTCCTGAGAAATAGATGCTAAGAAGTACATTGAGTTACTGAAGCAGAGATTGAGGAACTCAATTCGCCAGTTGGTAGAAAATCTTGCGGATGCGGCAGAATGAGTTGTTGGAGTACCTAACGGTCTCATGGAGCCCCAAAATCTGAAGTTATAGATGGTTATCACCTTTTTCTTCTTTAATTGTGTTTGTTTTCAATTGCAATACAGATGTCGTAACTAAGATGGTTTCTACATAATCATTCTGGCGTTTACAAATTATAATCATTCTGGGTTACAATTGTTATTCACTGTTCTTGCCGTATGTAAGAACATCTATTTATGATTTTCAAAGCATCAAACTTAATATTTGAAATATAAATTCTTTTTCCAAGTCAAAATTTTATGGGAAATGGGTCTGCTATAATCTTTACTTTCAATAACCTCTTTGTTTCTTGTTCCTTTTGCTGGGTTGAATGGCGTAACATTTACCTTGATTTGCTCATTCTGACTTCAAATTCATGTTTATGATTCTTTAGGAGTTGACGAGTAGTGCTGGAGAGGATGTTATTCTTGCAATGAACACCTTTATTAAGCGACTTTTAGCTGTTGCAGATCTGGAACAAATGAAGGTTTGCTTTTTTATTGAACCACATAAGCTTTGTTAACTGTTTGTTGGATTATTGGTGGTTAGGTTTTTAATTTGACTGTATTATACTTTAAAATATAGCTAAATGGATTGGATGTTTAATCCGCCAGAGAATTTGAATATTTAAAATGGTTTTTGCCTAGCATAGTGCTTAATTTACCTGTCAGTTTTACATTATTAAGAGCATGATATGATTCAGAGAAGACAACTTCTTTGATGATAGTGCAAAACAATAAGTCAAAGAATGAACTCACATAGTTCAGTAAGACATTTCAAAACTATGATTATGAGGGTTATGCAAATGACAGAGTATGCATTTGTCAAAGACACAAGTCATATCTTTTGGTTAGATTGAAAGATGTGTTAATCTGTGTTCATAGTATCAATTAGGTAATATCTTCATATTTAGATGGAGAGTGATGAACTTCTTTGGATTTTGTTGACCTTTAAAACAATCTTGTTTGCGAACTTGATACATTGAACTTTTTTGCTCCCTTTTCATCCCTCCTGCCTTTTTCTACCCCTGTCTGAATTTATTAACAAGGATTTATGATTTGAAAGTTTTGCAACACCTGGATGTTAATTGGAAAGTTTTATGCATCGAGCTTTTTTTAAAGGGTTGATGCAAGTAACTGCACTTGTTCTTGTTTTTGAACTTAATGTTTGTATACATTGAACTTTTTTGCTCCCTTTTCATCCCTCCTGCCTTTTTCTACCCCTGTCTGAATTTATTAACAAGGATTTATGATTTGAAAGTTTTGCAACACCTGGATGTTAATTGGAAAGTTTTATGCATCGAGCTTTTTTTAAAGGGTTGATGCAAGTAACTGCACTTGTTCTTGTTTTTGAACTTAATGTTTGTTGAAATAAATTTCAGTTTTGAATTTTTTCAAACTTCATTTCTGGTCACAGACAAGCATAACAGAGACCAGTGCAGCAGAACTTGCCAAACTGCTTTATTGGCTAATGGTGGTTGGATACAGCATTCGCAACATTGAAGTTCGATTTGATATGGAAAGAGTGCTTGGTACACCATCAAAGCTTGCAGAGTTACCTCCCGGAGAAAACATTTAATCACTTGCATGCATGGAAGTACCAAAAATATACGTTATGACATTGGTAGAGCACAATAATCTACTGCTGGATTGATTATGCGATGAAGCTGGCGGACATTTTTGTTCTCATCCATGAAAGCAGCAAAAGGCTAATTGCAGAACTAAACTACCAGAAAGTACGTGTTTTTGTATTCTGCTCTTTCTATAGTATATTGACTTACTTATTGAGGATTGTTGGTAGAATAGCACGTTCTGATATTTAAATTGGGTCTAGATTCTTGATATGTTATCTCAAATTCTCGCTAATGAAAAGATTCAAGTTTAGGAAATAATGAATCGTGTTTCTTCTCGTTTTGGTTTTGAGATGGAGAACATGATTAATCTTGAACTAATCTGTTGTGAAACTTGTTATTCAAAAGTACACTTGTTTATCCCACGAAGGTGCAATTGAGGCGATAGCGAAAGGATTGAAAACCCAAATGTACAATGTCCTCTCGATTGGCTGGAGCTCCAAGAAATTGATAGAAGCTGTGACTTCAACAAATTTTCATTTTTAACTTGCACTTATGAAATCTCCATGTGGATACATGACCATCGGGGACATGTCTGCTCTTTGACATTATATATTGTTTTTTTTAATTATTATTATTGGATTACTATTTGTGAATTGACAGAAAAAAAGGTGGCAGATGGATGAGGCAACTTTCCCCATTACAATGTCGCGGCGTAGACAAGAAACGACGATCTTCCCAAGTTTGAATGTTTTTTATTTTTTATTATTATTTTTTTTAAAAGGCCCTTAATTGTCTTGTAATGAGCTGTTAGCCTCGAGAATGAGTGTTTTAACTAGACAAAATATATAAATTGGAATGGAGAATATAACAAGAACCGTCTCATGTTTTTAGGTTATCCTGTTCCTAGTTATCGACGTAGTGCTCCAATGTACTTGCTTTTAGGTTTTAAATAGCAGCCATGAACGCATGATAAGCTTAGTGTACTTGAAAGATGGAGATTGAAGTCTTTTCCAGAGAAAGTATCAAACCACCTTCTCTGACCCCTAGTCACTTGAGAACTTACAAGCTTTCTCTTCTAGACCAGCTTATGCCTTCTGCACACGTTCCCATCATCTTTTTTTATAGGCCAATCGATCAACCTGTCATTCCTGCAAGATTACAACGGCTAAAACACTCTCTATCACAAGCCTTAACTTCTTTTTACCCATTTGCCGGAAAAATCAAGGATGACCTTTACATAGATTGCAACGACGACGGTGTTTCTTACACTGAGGCCAAGGTCAGCAGTTTTCTGTCAGACATTCTTGGACATCCTGATACCAAAACAATATTTAAGTTACTTCCTGATGATTCCTACTTGTTGGAAACATATAACGAAGGAAATGGAATTCCTGTGGCAATGATTCAAGTCAATGTTTTTAAGTGCGGTGGGATTGCTATTGGGACAAAAACGTCACACAAGATCATAGATGGTCCAACGTCAACTTCCTTCCTCAAAGCCTGGGCAGCCATTGCTCGCGGTTCAGGTGAACTAGTTGTGCAGCCTAGTTTCACTGCACCTTCTTTATTCCCACAAAATCATTCTCTGCCAAAAGATACATTATTGGCTGTATGGCCTTCATTGGTAAAGTTTGGCAAAGGTGTTATGAAAAGATTTGTGTTTGATTCTTCTGCCATAGCCACTCTTAAGGCTAGAGCTTCCAGTTCTTCATTTGTACAACGGCCAACTAGAGTAGAAGCTGTCTCTGCTTTCATTTGGCAATGCACAATGGTTGCTTCTGAAAAAAGAAATGGCTCGTATAAACCCTCTGTTTTGTCTCATACAGTGAACCTGAGAGGAAAGAAGACAGTCCATTTGCCTGAAAGTTCAGTTGGGAATCTTCTTTGGATGTCGATCGCAAAATGTTGCACAGAGGCAGAGAGAGAATTGCATGTTCTTGTGGGCCTTCTAAGAGAATCCATTTTAAAAATTGATAGTAATTTTGTTCAAAAACTAAGTGGTGAAGAAGGGTTTTATAAGGTTTGTGAGTGTCTGCAAGAATTCAGTGAAGTGTATTCTAATGCAGGAGCTGATTACTTGACATTTAGCAGCTTATGCAAGGTTGGAATTTATGAAACTGATTTTGGGTGGGGAAAGCCTATTTGGGTGAGCCCTGGTGGAGTTATTGGACCAGTGTTTCAAAATCTGGTGTTCTTGAATGAAACAAGTGGTGGTGATGGAATTGAAGTTTGGTTGACCTTAGATGAACAAGATATGGCTATTTTAGAACTTGAAACACATATACTCTCATTTTCTTCCTTGGACCCAAGTCCCCTTCAATTATGTAATTAGTTCATCTTTAATCTGCATTTTATTCAAGAATAATTAAGATTTGGAAAAATAAATAGAATGATTTGCTCACAAAAAACCTCTGAAATCAGATAATTTGCTATTTATCTTTTATTTGTTTGGTTGTGTTTGGACTTATAAGTTAGATGCCATGACAGTCAGTATACACCAGAATTTGTCCGGTGAAGTTATCAGATGGGATAATGTTTATATTTGCGGTTGAGAATCAATTTTTTATCAGGCAAAATATTCATTTTTGCTTTTTATTAATTTTTTAAAATGGCACAAGCATACCCAAATTGACCATTGATTTGGAAGAAAGAAATATGAAAAATATTAACTTAGTGAGTGGACGATTCCAAGACTAGCCTTCTATATATATAGTTCATGATCGTCTCATAGTTCTTATACTTACATGTTAAGCTGCAAAATGATGAATATGGAGGTTGAAATAATTTCCAGAAGCCGCATTCCACCCTCTTCACCAACGCCACCCCATCTTCAAACCTATAAAATCTCTCTACTCGATCAATTTATCCCATCTGGCTATTTCTATGTCATTCTTTTCTATCAAAATTCCCAAGAACCAAACGTAATTACAGAAAGATCGCTGTTGTTAAAGCAATCCTTATCTGAAACTTTATCTCGATTTTATCCACTTGCTGGTAAAGTTAAAGACAGATTTTCCATTGATTGTAACGATGAAGGTGCATGTTATATAGAAGCTACATCTAATATTACTTTATCTCAGTATCTCGCTAAACCTGATCTAGCATTACTCAGAAAATTGCTGCCAGATATAATTTGTGAGTATGAACTTCCTTCTGGATCTCATATTGCTCTGATTCAAGAAACCACCTTTGCTTGTGGTGGCTTTACCATTGGTATATATGCTTCTCACATGTTCTGCGATGGAGCTAGTTTGTTTTTGTTTCTAAAAGATTGGGCTGCTACTACATGCAAATCACCAACCAAACACCCTTATTTGGCTGCGGAGGGCATTTTCCCACCTTATACAGCATTTCCAAGTGGAGTGAGCTTCTTTACTACTATGTATGCTCCTTTTGTAAAAAAGGGCAAGTATACACTAAACAGGATTGTGTTTAACGAATCCGCTATTACCAATCTTAAAGCGAAAGCAAGTTTGAACAATATTAATCCTACCCGCGTTGAGGTAGTAACTGCATTTCTCAGCAAATGTCTTATAGCTTCTTTCAAAAACAAAACAGGTATCGATAAACCTCTTGCAATATGTCATGCTGTGAATTTGAGACGAAAAGCGGATCCGCCATTACCAGAATCTTTGTTAGGGAACATTATAAGCTTTGCAGGTGCAGTATTCACAACGAAGGAGAAGGAGTTGATTGAATTAGTGAGTGAACTAAGAGAAGAAATGAAAAAAGTGGATAATGATTTCTTGAAGAAGATAAAAAGTGGAGGTGAAGATGGATTCTCCAAGTATTATGATGCAATGAAGAAGGTTAGAAATTTATATACTAACCCAGAATTTGGCAGTGGAGCAATGGAGTTTGCTGGGTTTAGTAGCTGGTGTAACTTTGGTATTTATGATACTGACTTTGGCTGGGGAAAGCCAATATGGGTAACGTGTCTTGCACCGGATGAAGATGAGTCACATGTCAATTTCGTTCTTTTGATGGATACAAGAACAGATAGAGGAATAGAAGCATGGGTATTAATGCAAGAAGATGAGTTTGATGTTTTAGAGAAAGATACAGAGCTTCTTCAATATGCTTCCATTAATCCATCTCCAATTTATCAGTAATTAAGTATTACTCTTTTTATGTATTTCTTCTTCTGAAAGTAATTAAATTATGTTTATCTTGCGAATAATATATTTATTATTACCATCAACAACAATAATGGTTCTTTTGGCTAGTGGTTTCAACGATGATGCTCAAACTGTCGCAGAGCACTAAGAAATTATGCTCAAGTACGTTTGTCGTTTCTGGGTCTACCCACCACATTAATTTCCATTTTATTTGGCAATTTTTTGTTTGTCGTTTAACTATTGAAGGGATTCTCTTACAAACTACACAAACTATTTGTAAATTGTAAATTTGGAAATTACATTTACATTTTTACTGGGGATATGGGATTAAAGTGATTTAAATTGTTATGAAAAATTAAAAACTAAAATTCCCATATCCCTAGTAATTTTATTTTCTACTTAAAAAAAAATCCAAAAATTGATTGTGGGACCGACAAATGGCAGCAAGAAGTGGTGGTTATGCTGACGTGTCGGATGTGGACCTTCGAAATTTGGTTATCAAATAAGATTTGTTTTATATTATAATACAAAAGAATATAATGATTATATCTTGGGTCTAGTTAAAATTTTTCTTATATTTTATAATCGTGAGAATCGAACGATTATAAAAAACAAAAGTAAATTAATAATTCGAATTTTAAAACATTGAGAAACTGTAAAATCCATGTTAGAAAAATTAAACAGAATAGTACTTACCTTGTATGTATATTAAATGAATTCGTTCCATTAACTTAATGCATGTAATGATTCTCCAAACGACAATTATGGATTTCGTTTTTAAATCTAACGGATAATATCATTATTTAGAATTTTAGATTAAATAATTAAAATTCCCTTAAAATCTCAAAATCCCTAAAAATCCTCAAATATATTTTTTGGGATTATGAAATGGTGAATCGCATTTTTTTAGATTAATTATTAAATGGATTTTTTATTACTATGGTAGAGCCAGAAACAGTTGGCTTTTCACATGTCCATATGGGACTATATACACTTATATATATATAATTTTATTTATATAATATGAGGAACCATTTATATTATTTTTTTGAAGGAGGCGAATGATTTTCAAATACTATTTTTTTGGGATTATTAAATGGTGGAAAATCGCATATTTTTTAGATTAATTATTTAAATGGATTTTTTATTACTTATTGGATAGAGCCAGAAAACAGCTTGCTTTTCAGCACAGTTGGCTTTTCACATGTCCATATGGGACTATATACACTTATATATATATAATTTTATTTATATAATATGAGGAACCATTTATATTATTTTTTTGAAGGAGGCGAATGATTTATATTATTAAAAATATAAAAATATTTACAAAATAAAAAAAACATTATATGAAATAATAAGGTATAAAAATGCAATAATTAAATAGTTCCTTTCAGGAAATGATATATTTAAATGATAATACATCGTTATAATTTGACAATTAAATTTTTACAAAATAAAATTACTTATCAATTAATTTACTTTTTAATATATATATAATATTATAAAATATTTATACACGAGATATCTAGGCATGTCTGTTTTAACGATCAACAAATCCGACTAATCTTTGCTTGCCCTCGGAGTCAAAGGGACTAGCCCGAGAGGAGTTTGTATTGCGGATAATATTTTGCTACTATTAATTGAAATTTTCAGAAATGTTAATTGAAATTGCTACTATAAAAATGCAAAAAAAAAAAAAAATATATTGTCTAACTTTCTCTAAATCATTATAAGAAAAAAAAAAGAAGAATAATGATTACTATCACTCGAGAAAGTTCTTATTTTTAATGAAACATTAGGAAAGAAAAATAAGAAAAATTAATAATTATATTAATAAGGTCCTAATACATAAATTCATGTATACTTTACTAAAAAAAGAATTAATAGCACTTTGAACTTTTACTTTGACCTATTGAATGCTTCAATTTATAAAATTGAACCAATTAAATACTTCAACTTGCAAAAATTATTCTATTGAATACTCAAACTTCTAAAATTAAATCAATTAAACACTTATTTCATAAAATTTAAATCAATTTAAAACACTTAATACTCAAACTTCTAAAATTAAATCAATTAAACACTTATTAGATAGTTGAAAAATGTAAAAATTATTATTCCTAATATTACACTAACCACATATTAAACGAATATCTTGCACATAAATACCAAAAATACTAAAAAAAAAAAAAATATTATTAGTATAAAGAGGGATATAATATTGGCAAAATTCATAACTTTAGAGGCGTAATAGGTTACTCGCAAAGTTAAGGGATGCCACAAGGTTTTTTTATACTTCTATATTACTAACTCTGTTCCATAATACTTGTCACATTTGGAATTTCACGTTTCTTAAGAAAATTATTAAATTTGTCTAAATTATTGAGTAAATTGACGATGTTATCCTTAACGTAATATCAATTCTCTAAGAAAACCATTAAATCGAAATAATAATGATTGGTCGTATATAAAGGATAAACGGGGAAAAAAGAGATTTATTATTTTTTAAAACTATAAATGTGACGACTACTGTCTTGGAACAAACAATTTATGAAACAGATGTAGTAAAAGAATATAGTTGACACGTCACTACTAAGGTGATTGGTATGGTTGACAACTTCATCTTCATGCACATACTACTTATACAATTGGTTTTGATGGATAGTCTGATATTTTGTTCATTTATTTTTCTATTTTAAGCTGCATTTACATTGCTGAGTTTGTAGCAGGAGGTTTAGGTGTTTTTGTTTTTCTCTTTATTTTTGCATTACATAATTAGATGCTACAACTGTCACAGAATGTGCCAGATTATGCTCCTGTTAGGCAGAAGAACGTGTCTGGTGAAGTTATCAGGTGGAATAATGTTTCTGGTGCTGAGAAAATAGATGCTAAGAAGTACATTGAGTTACTTGAAGCAGAGCTTGAGGAACTCAATCGCCAAGTTGGTAGAAAATCTGCGGATGGGCAGAATGAGTTGTTGGAGTACCTCAAGTCTCTCGAGCCCCAAAATCTGAAGGTATAGATGGTTATCACCTTTTTTCCTTTTCAAATTGTGTTTGTTTTCAATTGCAATAACAGATGTCGTAACTAAGATGGTTCTAACCAAATCTTCCTTTGTTTTCAAACCAAATCTTTTCAATTTATACCCTCCGGCTATTTCTACCCTCTGGCTATTTCTACTACGTTCTTTTCTATGAAAATTCCCAAGAAACAAGTGTAACTGAACGATTGCTGTTGTTAAAGCAATCCTTATCTGAAACTTTATCACGATTTTATCCGCTCGCTGGTAGAGTTAAAGACAGATTTTCCATCGATTGTAATGATGAAGGTGCATGTTATGTAGAAGCTGCATCTAACATTCCTTTATCTCAGTATCTCGCTCAACCTGATCTAGCATCACTCAGAAAATTGCTGCCAGATGTAGTTTGTGAGTATGAACTTCCTTCTGGGTCTCATGTTACTTTGATTCAAGTTACCACCTTTGCTTGTGGTGGCTTTACCATTGGTTTTGGTGCCATATTTTTCTCATTATGGTCTTGTGATGGAACTGGTTTGGGTTTATCGCAAAAGGATCCTGGGCTGCTACTCGCATGTAAATTAACCTACCAAACACCCTTATTTGAATGTTAGAGTCCATTTTCCCACAGTTATTACTTGCATTTCCAGCGGGGGTTGAGCTTTTTTATACTTTAGTATGCCTCCTTTTTGTTAAAAAAGGCAAAAAAAAGGCAAGCATACAGTAAACAGGATTGTGTTTAACGAATCCGCCATTGCCAATCTGAAAGAGAAAGCAAGTTTGGACATTGTTAACCCTACGCGCGTTGAGGTAGTAACCTCATTTCTTAGCAAGTGCTTTATATCTTCTTTCAAAAACAAAACAGGTATCGATAAACCGCTTGCGATATGCCATTCTGTTAATCTGAGACGAAAAATGGGGCCGTTATTACCAGAATGTTCGTTCGGGAACTTTATAAGCTTTGTTGGTACAGTATTGACAGCAAAGGATAAGGAGTTGAGTGAATTAGTGAGTGAACTAAGAGAAGCAATGAAAAAAGTGGACATTGATACTCTGAAGAAGATAAAAAGTGGAGGTGAAGTAGGATTCCTCAAGTATTATGATGCAATGAAAGAGGTCAGAAGTTTATATACTAACCCGGAATTCGGCAGTGAAGCGACGGAGTTTGTTGGGTTTACCAGTTCGTGCAACTTCGGTATATATGATATTGATTTTGGCTGGGGAAAGCCAATATGGGCGGCTTGTCTTGTACCGGACGCCGATGAGTCACATGTCAGTTTCGTTTTTTTGATGGATAGAAGAGTAGATAAAGGAATAGAAGCATGGGTGTTGATGAAGGAAGATGAGTTTGATGTTTTAGGAAAGGATACAGAGCTTCTTCAATATGCTTCCATTAATCCATCTCCAATTTATAATTAATTATCATGCATTTTTAGTAATTAAGTATTACTCTTGCATTTTTAGTAATTAAGTATTGCTCTTTTCATGTATTTCTCTTTCTAATAACATAATATTTCTTTTTTTTGATAATAATATATTTCTCTACTTGTATGCTCAAATGTCACATAAATCTTTTGAATACAGTAAAGTCATCTTGCGAAACCTAATGAAATTATTATATAAATATAGTAATAATAAAAGTTATTATTTGCAATCACACTTCGAGAGGAAGAAAGTGCTAGGAGGAAGCAAAAATCGTTATTTCAATTCATAAATTACAAAAATAACCCATTTAATTTAATTCATTATATATTTTGAATTCGATCGGATTAAATTGAATAGAATAGTTCTAATCGGATAAAGTTAGAACGAGAGATGTGCAGTCTTACTGCAGATAACACGCACCAACTAAAATTTATGGTTCTGCGTTCCGCCAGATGTAAATGTCTTCTTGTATTTATATATTCAGGTTTAAGCATTTAAAAGTACCATGCAAAATATTGTCCTCTTTTGCTTTTTATTAATTTTTAAAAAGTGTACAACTCCCGAGATGAAATGGTGCAGTATGCCCTAGTTTGACCATTTTGATCAAGAAATATATTTAAAATTCTATAAAATATTAAATTGTATAACTTATTATATCTCACAGAAATAAATTATAATTATAATTATTTTAATGCAAGACTAGTGTCTATATATAGAACCCAATCTAAACACTCATCATCAGCAAATAGTTCTTACAATTACATATTAAGCAGCAAACGATGAATATGGAGGGTCAAATAATTTCCAAAAGCAGCATTCCACCCTCTTCACCAACACCACCCAACCTCAAAACCTACAAAATCTCTCTACTCGATCAATTTATACCATCTGGCTATTTCTACTACATTCTTTTCAATGAAAATTCCCAAGATGCAAATGTAACCGAAAGATTACTCTTGTTAAAGCAATCTTTATCTGAAACTTTATCTCGATTTTATCCACTCGCTGGTGGAGTTAAAGCCAGATTTTCCATTGATTGTAATGATGAAGGTGCATGTTATGTAGAAGCTACATCTAACATTCCTTTATCTCAGTATCTCGCTCAACCTGACCTAGCATCACTAAGAAAATTACTGCCAGATGTAGTTTGTGAGTATGAACTTCCTTCTGGGTCTCTGAAGGTGCATGTTATGTAGAAGCTACATCTAACATTCCTTTATCTCAGTATCTCGCTCAACCTGACCTAGCATCACTAAGAAAATTACTGCCAGATGTAGTTTGTGAGTATGAACTTCCTTCTGGGTCTCATGTTACTTTGATTCAAGTTATTACCTTTGCTTGTGGTGGCTTTACCATTGGTGTTTATATTTCTCACATTTTTTGTGATGGAACTACTATGGGCTCGTTTGTAAAAGATTGGGCTGCTACTACATGCAAATCACCAACCAAACAACCGTATTTGGAAGCAGAGTCCATTTTCCCACAGTATACTGAATTTCCAAGCGGGGTGAGTTTCTTTTCTACTTTGTATGCTCCTTTTGAGTTTCTTTTCTACTTTGTATGCTCCTTTTATTAAAAAAGGCAAGCATACAGTAAACAGGATTGTGTTTAACGAATCCGCCATTGCCAATCTTAAAGCGAAAGCAAGTTTGAACACTGTAAATCCTACCCGCGTTGAGGTAGTAACTGCAATTCTCAGCAAATGCCTTATAGCTTCTTTCAAAAACAAAACAGGTATCGATAAACCTCTTGCAATATGTCATCCTGTGAATTTGAGAAGAAAAGCGGATCCGCCATTACCAGAATCTTTGTTAGGGAACATTATAAGCTTTGCAGGTGCAGTATTCACAACGAAGGAGAAGGAGTTGAGTGAATTAGTGAGTGAACTAAGAGAAGAAATGAAAAAAGTGGATAACGATTTCTTGAAGAAGATAAATAGTGGAGGTGAAGATGGATTCTCCAAGTATTATGATGAATGAAGAAGGTTAGAAATTTATATACTAACCCAGAATTTGGCAGTGGAGCAATGGAGTTTGCTGGGTTTAGTAGCTGGTGTAACTTTGGTATTTATGATACTGACTTTGGCTGGGGAAAGCCAATATGGGTAACCTGTCTTGCAGCGGATGAAGATGAGTCACATGTGAATTTCGTTCTTTTGATGGATACAAGAACAGATAGAGGAATAGAAGCATGGGTATTAATGCAAGAAGATGAGTTTGATGTTTTAGAGAAAGATACAGAGCTTCTTCAATATGCTTCCATTAATCCATCTCCAATTTATCAGTAATTAAGTATTGCTCTTTTTATGTATTTCTCCTTCTGAAAGTAATTAAATTATTTCTATATTGTGAATAGTATATTATTATTACCATCAACAACAATAATGGCTCTTTTGGCTAGTGGTTTCAACGATGATGCTCAAATTGTCACAGAGCACTCAGAAATTATGCTCAAGTACGTTTGTCGTTTCTGGCTATACCAACCACATTAATTTCCATCTTATTCGGCAATTATTTGTTTGTCGTTTAACTATTGAAGGGATTCTCTTACAAACTACACAAACTATTCGTGAACTGTAAATTTGGAAACTACATTTACATTTTTACTAGGGATATGGGATTAAAGTGATTTAAATTGTTATCAAAAATTAAAAACTAAAATTCCCATATCCCTAGTAATTTTATTTTCTACTTAAAAAAAAAAAAACCAAAAATTGATTGTGGGACTGACAAATGGCAGCAAGAAGTAGGGTGGCCATATTACAGTTCCGGGAACCAGAACCGGTGGTTCGAACCGGTCGCAAACCATAACCGGAACCGGTGAAAATCGGAACCGGTGGAAACCGGAGCCGGTCTGAACTGGAATCGGAACCGGAGATTGTCGGTTCGGTTCCAATTCCAGTTTTGTTGGAACTGCAAACTGGTCGGAACCGGATGGAACCGTCGGTTCTCCGGCCAGTTAGAACCGGCGGTTCTAGCCCTTAGAAACTGTCAGTTTTTTTTTTTTTTAAATTTTATTGTGAAATCTCTTAATTACCCCTTTCAACAACCATAAGTTCAAGCCTTTTTTTTTTTTTTAAATTATGTTCAAACTTTTTTAAACAAAAAATAAATTCAATTGAAGACTTTTTTTTTTAAAATTCATATTGAAGAAACTTTTTTTTTAAAATAAACAAGTTTCAAGTTTTAAAAAAATAAATTTAATTGAAGCATTTTTTTAATTTTTTTAGGTGTATTTTTTTTTTTAGAAATAACTTTCACAAATTTTTTAAATTTTGAAAACCTGTCTTCAAAATTTAAAATTTAAAATTATGCGATTTGCCGGAAAACCGATCGAAACCGTCGGTTTTGAAACCGTCGACGAACCGAAATCAGAACCAGAACCAAAAATTTTCGATTCGGTTCCGATTCTGAAACTAAAAATTTTCGGTTCGGTTCCGGTTCCGGAACCGCCCCTAGCAAGAAGTGGTGGTTACGTAGACGTGTCGGATGTGGACCTTCGAAATTTGGTTATCAAATAAGATTTGTTTTATATTATAATACATGAGAATATAATGATTATATCGTGGGTCCAGTTAAAATTTGTTCTTATATTTCATAATTGTGAGAATGGAATGATTTAACATTATAAAAAACAAAAGTAAATTAATAATTCGAATTTTAAAACATTGAGAAACTGTAAAATACATGTTAGAAAAATTAGACAGAATAGTGCTTACATTGTATGTATAACGTATGTATATTAAATGAATTCGTTCGATTAACTTAATGCATGTGATGATTTCCCAAACGATTTATATTATTTATATAATATTAGGAACCATTTACATTATTTTTTTGAAGGAGGCGAATGATTTATATTATTAAAAATATAAAAATATTCGCAAAATAAAAAAAAAAACATTATATGAAATAATAAGGTATAAAAATGCAATAATTAAATAGTTCCTTTAAGATAAAAATGCAATAATTAAATAGTTCCTTTAAGGAAATGATATATTTAATTGTAATGATAATACATTGTTATAATTTGACAATTAAGTTTTTACAAAACAAAATTACTTATCAATTAATTTAATTTTTAATATATAATATAATATTATAAAATATTTATACACGAGGTATCTAGGCATGTCTGTTTTAACAATCAACAAACCTGATTAATTTTTGCTTGCCCTCGGAGTTAAAAGGACTAAACCGAGAGGAGTTTGTGTTGCGGATAATATTTTGCTACTGTTAATTGAAATTTTCAGAAATGTTAATTGAAATTGCTACTATAAAAATGCAAAGAAAATATTGTCTAACTTTCTTTAAATCATTATAAGAAAAAAAAAAAGAAGAATAATGATTAATATCACTCGAGAAAGTTCTTATTTTTAATAAAATATTATGAAAGAAAAATAAGAAAAATTAACAATTATATTAATAAGAGCCCAATGCATAAATTCATCTCTATATTTTACTAAAAAAAATTTATTTCACCTTGAACTTTTATTTTGATCTATTGAACGCTTCAATTTATAAAATTGAACCAATTAAGCTTCAATTTATAAAATTGAACCAATTAAATACTTCAACTTGCAAAAGTTATTCTATTGAATACTCAAACTTCTAAAATTAAATCAATTAAATACTTCTTAGATAGTGAAAAAATGTAAAAATTATTATTCCTAATATTACACTAACCACATATTAAGCGAATATCTTGCACATAAATACTAAAAAAAAAATATTATTAGTATAAAGAGGGACATAATATTGGCAAAATTCATAACTTTAGAAGAGTAATAGGTCACTCACAAAGTTGAGGGGTGCCACAAGGTTTTTTTATACTTCTATATTACTAATTCTGTTCTATAATACTTGTCACATTTGGAATTTCACGTTTCTTAAGAAAATTATTAAATTTCTTAAGTAAATTGACTATTTTATCCTTAATGTAATATCAATTGTCTAAGAAAACCATTAAATCGAAATAATAATAATTGGTCGTAT